AGCTGTACACCATAAACATCACAATTATAACAAATAAAGGCTTGACATATCTCGCTTTGCATGTCATGAGTCTATCTCATATATTAGTTTCACCTTTTAAGTTGAATTACTGAAATAAATGAACTTTTCCACAATAGTCTAATTTTCCGAGTTTCACCTGTGTACACACCAAAACACAAACACAGGGTAGTGGCACAGGAACCTGTCATCTGGAACATTTTGCTGCCTTCAGGCATGGCATAGCTCCCAGAGAAAAGTTCAGGTTTTAGAAGCACTGATTTCCAATGAAACAGACTTGTCTGATGCAAAAAAACACACAAAAACCTTAAATGAAAAGACAATTAAGTGTAGTGCATTAGTTTGACAATCCCTCCTCCTTTTGTTTAGCACTTAAACCACTTGCGCAATGGAGAGGAGGAGCTGGATTCCAAAATTTTTGAAGCTGCCTTCTGTTTGCCCAGATACATGCAACCCTTACATGCCTGTAGGAATCTACTGCGTGCTGTAGAACTCAGTCTTAAAATGAAATCATGTAAGTCATGGCGACAAGGTCTCCTTGGTTGTTCAGGTTTCTCAAAAGGCCTGGAAATCATAATACGTTTAAATCAGTTCTGATTTGTACCTTTCCTATATACTGTACTGAATAACTTTTATTTAGTTCTCCTCTTGCTTGGAAAACACGGCTTCACCTTCTGCAATGTTCATATTTGCCCACTAGAGGACAGGGTCAGAATACCGTCCACTGTTTCGTAAAATAGACGGGGCTTTTTACGGCATGGTCCATTTTGGAAATCCTGCACCTTCTCTGAAATAAAATGCTTAAATTGCAGGCACATAATCTCAAATCAAATATATTGACAAGGCCATTGCTCTCCATTTAGCTGAAGCAAGAAGTATTAATTCACAGCTTCCTTAACCCAAAGCTATTCTCGTTGTTTCCTATCAAATGATTAAGCCTTTTTTAAAAAGAGGTGACAACACAACTCAACACTGAAATTGCTTAACAATGCTAATATTAGTTCTGGTTTTATTCACTCTTGGATCTAGATTTTTTTATACATATGAAACACAAAATGCAATGCATTGCAGCTATTGGAATTCCCAGGGGGAGTGAAATACCCATTCTATCTTAGAGAGGGGCGTTCAAGATCTAGACTTGCCTCCACACTAGGCTGCTTAATAGTTTGTGCAGCTCGTCCCAGACTCATATTCACTTACATTTTCGGACACATATCTATTCTGTTTACTATGAGACATGCTGCTGGAATTTGTATGGCACATGTAATTTAACTCTTATCAGGCCATTTGGCCAAACTGGGTTGGCATTTTGTCATTTCATGGACTACTGCAATGCGCTCTATGTGGGGCTACCTTTGAAGGTGACCCAGAAATACTGAGGGGGCTCTCAATTTTGGAGGGCCTTTGAAACATGCTTTTAAATACTACATGGAATTCATTGTTGAACATGGAAAAGGGGCTGATCTGTTGAGAAGGATTAAAAACATTGTCAAGCTGGAGTTACCACGAGCAAGAGACAAGGGAAAATACAGTTACAAATATGAAGAAGAGCCGCGGAAGGGTCATGGAAGAGACTTGAGGGCCTCGGACATAAGGTTGCCAGGTTAATGGGCTAGATTGACGGGAATAAGGACTGACAAAACCCGGAACCAGGAGGAAGGGACGCTGGATGAAGATTGGATCTGTTTATACCTCTTTTTTCTACTATTAGAACTGTTTTATAAAATTGATGAATGATAGGAAAATGTTGGAATGAAAATACTTGACTTTAGCAAAGATGTTTAAAGAATTATGAAAGAATATTATGATTATGAGAAGTTGGTAAGGATAAGATTTAAGTTTTAAGTGTTAAGGTTTATTTTATTATAGAATAATAAGGTCAAGGATTTGCTGGAATAATTAATAACTAGGATACAAAGAAAGGGAGGAGGAGGAGGTCTAAGAAAGAAGGTAATGATAGTTAAGGATTTGAAAATAATGAATTTGTTTTTAAATGTTTTTAAAGTTTTGTGATTTTTGCATTCTTCTTTTTTTCTTTTTTCCTGTCATTTTTTTCTCATTTGGAATTTTTTCTTATAACTATTTTTATTCTTTGTATTCTCTTCTGCTTCTATTTTATTTTTTTTTATTTTTTGTAACATTCTGAAAATCTCAATAAATATCTTTTTTTAAAAAAAATTAAGGTGACCCAGAAACTACAACTAACCCAGAATGTGGCAGCTGGACTGGTGACTGGGAACGGCCGCCGAGACCACATAACACCAGTCTTGAAAGACCGACATTGGCTCCCAGTACATTTCCGAGCACAATTCAAAGTGTTGGTGCTGACCTTTAAAGCCCTAAACGGCCTCAGTCCAGTATACCTGAAGGAGCGTCTCCACCCCCATCATTCTGCCCGGACACTGAGGTCCAGCGCCAAGAGCCTTCTGACGGTTCCCTCACTGCGAGAAGCCAAGTTACAGGGAACCAGGCAGAGGGCCTTCTCGGTGGTGGCACCCGCCCTGTGGAATACCCTTCAGATGTCAAATACAACAACAACTACCAGACTTTTAGAAGACATGTGAAGGCAGCCCTGTTTAGGGAAGCTTTTAATGTTTGATGGATTACTGTATTTTAATATTTTTTTGGAAGCCGCCCATCTGGCTGGGCGGGGGTATAAATGATAAATTATTATTATTCTTATTATTCTTATTATTCTAATTATTCTTATTCTTATTATTATTCTTACAAGCTTGCATAACATTGGGATGGACATATTATGTACAGCTAATTTTCTGTAAGCTCGGTTTATAGACATTTTAACATTGCAGCCCTCATGTCCTGATCTTTGTTGAAGGGGGTTGAGGACATGTTGGAAGTGCCCCATTAGCAATGTGGGGGGGGGGGACTTCTGCCACTGCAAAGTCCCCCACTGTGTTTAGCTGCATAGGAAACTACTACTGGGATTTTTCTCCAGAAAGCCCTGAAACAAAATGATATAGACTTCTTGATCGACCTGATCCTTGGGCCCATCAGCAGAGGCAGCTCAGAGATGGTACAGTGAAAACACGAGAAACCTGTACCCACATTCCACCCTGAATGGAGGCCTGCTGTTCCCCAGTTGGTTTCAGGATTTCTAGCTGCAAAATTGGCGGTCCTCCATATATTTTGGACGCGGGTGGCGCTGTGGGCTTGCCGATCAGAAGGCATCAGAAGGTTGGTAGTTCGAATCCCTGCAACGGGGTGAGCTCCCGTTGCTCAGTCCCAGCTCCTGCCAACCTACCAGTTCAAAAGCACATCAAGGTGCAAGTAGATAAATAGATACTGCTCCGGCGGGAAGGTAAACGGCGTTTCCGTGCGCTGCTCTGGTTCGCCAGAAGCGGCTTAGTCATGCTGGCCACATGACCCGGAAGCTGTACCAATAAAGCGAGATGAGCGCCGCAACCCCAGAGTCGGTCACGACTGGACCTAATGGTCAGGGGTCCCTTTACCTTTACCATATATTTTAGGGTTCAGTTACTGAAGCTCTCAGCTCTACAGTGTTAAGATTAAAACAAAAAGGCTTGAGGCGCTTTAAAAGTTGACATACCTTTGTCTCGGGAGACAGTGGAAGAGTGCGCCTTTGGGGCTGAAGTCAAACCGTTGGGAGTGTTTCGGTGCCTGGTTGTGATGCAGCAGATGCAACATGTTTCTTTCTATGCTCCTCCCAGCGGTCATTCCTTGTCTGGAACGTCTTATGCCTGCATGCCTATGCACATTTAACTGGGAGTACTTCCTCTTGAGTTCAGTGGAATTTATTTCTGAGTAGATATGCATAAGCTGACACTACGCAGCTACAGTTCTGGGTACAATTTACTTGTAAGACCCTTTTAACTCCGTGGAGCTTACTTCCAAAACAAGCAAGATCCATGCTGCCATCAGACAGAAATCAAGATGTTTGACACAAAGTCATCAAGTAGATCATTCTATTGGCCTGGAATATGATGCAGTAATAATGTGGTGTCTTGAGAAGTTCTGGAAATCATAGTTTTACAATTCTTTTGTTCTATCTGAAACTTTGCAATACGTTTCTACTGCACAATTTATTTATTTTTAATGAACATCTTCAAGACTGCAAACTATTTCACAGGACTGGTCACACATATCACTTCTATGACAAAATACTTTTTATTTGTTTTTATTTATTTTAAAACTGTCCACAGCTTCACACGAGGCAAGCACCCAGTTCTGGCATGTGTGGATTTTTCCAACCTTGTGGAAAATCATGTTCAAAGTGATTCTCAGTGCACTGTATATGCATACTTTGGAAGCTTAGATGTTTCTCACTTAATCAAAATAAAATTTGACTTGGAATCTCTTCAGTGATTCAGATGTAGTGCTTCTTCTGTGTTTTTAAGACCTGTCTGACATTTTATATTATTTTCTGTTGATCTGTTAAAACTTTCAACTTATTTTATTATGCTTTTATTGTCTATAGATTTAGATTTTACATTGATCTTGAAAAAGAATAATAGCTTGTTCAAAACACCCAATTGATGTGGGGAATTAAATTTGATTAATATTCAACTGCTTTCTAAGCACAAGCACAAAATTAAGTTTAAGCAAATTTGATCTTAAAGGTAAAATGATTGTAAATTGAGCAAAGTTGGTTTTAATATCAAAATACCGTATTTTTTGCTCTATAAGACTCACTTTTTCCCTCCTAAAAAGTAAGGGGAAATGTGTGTGCGTCTTATGGAGCGAATGCAGGCTGTACAGCTATCCCAGAAGCCAGAACAGCAAGAGGGATTGCTGCTTTCACTGCACAGCGATCCCTCTTGCTGTTCTGGCTTCTGAGATTCAGAATATTTTTTTTCTTGTTTTCCTCCTCCAAAAATTAGGTGCGTCTTGTGGTCTGGTGCGTCTTATAGAGCGAAAAATACGGTAGGTGTGGTTTTAATATCAAAATAGGTGTGCAGAAACCCATCTTTCTGGCCGGAGTATAGCAAACTACACTCAAATTATAATACTATTCCATTCATGTTTATTTATCATATTTTAAATAAGCAGCCAATAACTGAAAAATATCACTACAAACATTAACCTTTATTACATTAAAATACTGCTGTTCAAATTTTAAATGCAGAAAATAAGTGCAATCCAAGCCATTTTGGTGAACATACTAACAAATGCAGTACTTTAAAGGAAAAACACTTGCTAGTTCTGGAAGTTGGTTTCTAAGATATGGTTTAGTTTTGTGGGCAACAGACACACAAAATGATTAAAAATGGTTTAAGCAAATGTCAACAAATTTTTACTGCTGTACAAAAAAAGGCCACAACCACAAGAAACCTTGAACTTAAGTGTGTCACATACAAACAGGTCTTAATGTGCTAAAACTGAAGGCACAGGTTGTAGAAATGTATGCTACACTTCAAAATGGTGAAAAGTACCCCAGACAAAATGTTTCACATTTTGTTCTGTAGCATGAGGTCATACAGAGATTCCATTACATTTCTAAAAGGTTCTTGCTCTGGAACTCATACATTTTTGCTCCTTAGAAGTCCTTTGTCAAATCCTGTTCAGTTTAGTGACGATGAGTACTCTCAGTGTCTGATCAAAGGCACTACAGACACAGAGACCCATTTTGTCAGGGCTCCAGTCAAGGCTTGAAATAGGTTGTGTTGACAACGTCACATTCTGTAAAAGGCTAACCGAACCTGCTACTCCCATCTCATTTCCCTCTGAATCTTGCTTAGACCGCTGCGCAGGATACTCACTGGAAAATAGATCAAAAAAGGTATGTGAAAAGCCTGTTATAAGCACACACCACATGCTCTTTTTTCATATCAATATTTCCACCAAAGAGTTCAGGGTCACTTACAATGGGTATCTTATGTTACCCTCACAACAATCCTGTAAGTTGGTTTAGGCTAAGATCGTGACTTGCCTAAGGTCACTCCATGCATCTCACAAGTGACTCCTCAACCTGGTTTCTTCACATTCAAATCCAACCCCCAGAAACTATATCATACTGACATTGCGGGAGATGGGAGATATCACAAAGGAAATGCAGAAGATTCCAGAATTTTAATAATGCTAAGTTACAGTACATTCCTATGCACGTCTGTTCAGAAGTCCTAATGAATTCAATGGGGAGAAATCCCAGGCAAGTGAATACTGCAGCCTTTGGCAAACCAAAGCTCAGAAGGACGTTAAACATCAAGGCCAGACATAGGCAAACGTGGCCCTCCAGCTGTTTTGGGACTACAACTCCCATGATCCCTAGCTAACAGGACCAGTGGTCAGGGATGATGGGAATTGTAGCCCCAAAACATCTATGCCTGATCAAGGCTGTGTCAATAAGCTTTCTGTTCTATAAAGCTCCTTGGTAAAATGTTAAAATACATAAATATGTATGCTGAAATTTATTTATCAAGACGTGTATGCTACTTACAAAAAAACCTCTAGCTGGAGTAATTTTAAAAACGATAAAGACAGACATTAAAAACAGAAGATGTATGCTATTCCTGAATTTTATTATATTCAGTATGTGCTCAGTGTAGCCATTTAAAAGAGCTAAAACCTCTTCTCTTGTCTGTCCCACCCAAGAGGGTGGAGTTTGTGGTTCTGTTCAGAAGTTAGTTTTAAATGGCATCTGTGCTGGAGCAAAGCACACTGCTTCTGGAGCAAGAAGGCTCATATAAACATCAAGCCAATTCACAGAGTGGAAGAGCCTAGCAGCTCAGCAAACCCCCCCCCATACTCTAGTTCTAACTAGCCACCCTTGAGTAAGGGAGAATGAAATTATCTCCGTTTGTAGGAGCTAGGCAGAGAAGAAACAAAGGGCTTAAGCCACTGGACAGTGTGTTCCCTGTACAGACTTACAGGGAGAATAGAAACAAATCTGTGTTGGTTAAGTATTATTTCAGGGACTTGTTAGCATTAACATGTTACAGGAGGACAGTCACTGTTAGGAACACTAGTAAGGTACTCAATCTATGGAACAAAGATCATATATTTTCATTTGGCAGAGGAATGTACAGCTGCGTTTGAACACAAAGTGATGGCAAAATTATTTAAGTTTCCTGCGACATATAAGGTAAAGGGTAAAGGGACCCCTGACCGTTAGGTCCAGTCGCGAACGACTCTGGGGTTGCGCGCTCATCTCGCTCTATAGGCTGAGGGAGCCAACGTTTGTCCGCAGACAGTTTTTCCAGGTCATGTGGCCAGCATGACTAAGCCGCTTCTGGCGAACCAGAGCAGCACACGGAAACGCCATTTACCTTCCCGCCAGAGCGGTACCTATTTATCTACTTGCACTTTGATGTGCTTTCAAACTACTAGGTTGGCAGGAGCTGGGACTGAGCGACGGGAGCTCACCCCGCCGTGGGGATTCGAACCACCGACCTTCCGATCGGCAAGCCCTAGGCTCTGTGGTTTAGACCACAGCGCCACCCACGCCCCCCTGCAATGTATATCCACTGCCCAAAAAAAAAAGTTAGGTTGCAGATGCAAAGCTAAGCCACTTCTAATAATTCGGTCTTAACAGCAAGCTCTCCTACGACATGAAAAGCTACCATCACCATAACCCGTAACTAAATGTACAGAATTAGGGCTACTCAGACAAACCTGGTCCTACTTCTCTGCCCCCCCCCACCCAGATGAACAGTAAATACTTACTATTTCCAAAGGTGAAGGTTTCCGGCTCCTCCACTAGTCACAAATATATCTCTGTTCTGTGGAAGATGCCGAACTTGCCACATGGTTGATTTGTGGGCCTAACAACAAAGTTATACAAAAATTGTACATACATTAGTCTAATCCAGTGATTTTTAACCCGTGTGCCATGGCACCCTGGCGTGCCTTGAATGTTGGTCAGGGGTGCCACGGGCAACACTGGCCTCCGTCCCTCTTTCCTTCCTTCCCTCCTCTGATGCCCTCTCGCATCTCTGCCTCCCAAAGGCTTGTGTGACTGCTAGCTGCAGCAGCCCTAGCAAATGGTGCCTCTGGGGCTGGCCAGGGGGTGCTTCCCAGGCCCCTGTGGGGCAGTGTGAGGCGGCACCTCCTTTGGGGCAGGGCGGGGCAGCTCAGACATTTGGCACCAGCTTGGCTGGAGGAGCTGCTGGAAGGAAGCATACAAGGCACCACCCAACCGCACTCCAAACTTAGCCTTTTCTTCGCTCAAAGATAATAATAATATAATAATAATTTATTATTTATACCCTGCCCATCTGGCTGGGTTTCCCCAGCCACTCTCGGCGGCTTCCAACAAAACACTAAAATACAATAACCTATTAAACATTAAAAGCTTCCCTAAACAGGGCTGCCTTCAGATGTCTTCTAAAAGTTTGGTAGTTATTTTTCTCTTTGACATCTGGTGGGAGGGCGTTCCACAGGGTGGGTGCCACTACCGAGAAGGCCCTCTGCTTGGTTCCCTGTAACTTGGCTTCTCGCAGCGAGGGAACCGCCAGAAGGCCCTCGTCCCACAATTTATTTCACAACATTTATATACGACTGGGGGAGAAAAGAACCTCTTCATAGAAGTTTACCAAAAAAATCTCCACTGCAAAAAGTTAGTTGACTACTGCCCCATGAGAGTGTTCAGGGGGAGAAGTCTTCCAGAGGTTTAGGGCCCCAGTCATAGTATCCTTATGAGTATCTGTTCCGACCTAAACTTTTTGCTTTGCCTCTTCCCCATGGCAAGAGTAGCATATTTTCTGTCAGAACAATGAACAGCCTGTGTTTTATACCGTACCTTCTCTGAAACTGAAGCAAAACCTTTAGTTGGATGCTGAGTCCTCATGTCAAAAACATGAAACTTTCCTTCAAGTGATGTTGCTACCAATTTGTTCATATTTATATCTTTCCTGTCAAATTCAAGACTGCAAACCTAGGAGCATAAAGCAAGCAAGCATTAAGACTTCAGCGGAATTGCGGTGCAATCCTAACTGTATTTATTTAGAAGCAAGTCCCACTGAGAAAAAGCTCAAGATGGAAAGGCATGCAGGCCATTCCTATGTACATTTAGGTATGCCTAGAATCAAAGTGACGCTTCTGGGGTATAGTTATATATGCATATTATTCATTCATTCATTCATTCATTCATATATTGCCTTTCTGCCAAGGTACCAAAGGCAGCTTACAATTTTAAAGGACTAAAATAAATAGTATAAAATGTAAAGTTGACTGGGGTGGGGTAGAGTGGGAAGACAGTCCAGCTGGAACAGGCCCTGAGTTTGTGGCTGTCGTCTCACCCTCTTCCTCCTTCTCAACGGGGATTCACAAATTTTGGCTGGCAGTAGCAGCCAACCCAAACTACATAGTCTCTGGGATCCTGACCCGTTTCCAAGGGTCCTTCCCCAATTGCCACAATACAATCCAGGGTTATGGGCAATCACCTGCTACCCTCCCTTACTCTGAAGTTTGGAATAGGGGAGAATATTCCTGAATCGTAGGGCAATTTAAGAAGCAGCCTCATAAGCCAGCACAATGGTAGGCTGATGCCTGCCCCACGCCTTGAATTCCAACTGGAGACCAGGCTGGGGCTCATTTTCTTCTTTACCTTCTCAGGTGATTGGAGCACCACAGAAGCGTAGAAGCAAGCATAACAAGTCTTCAGCTCAAAAGGAAAAGAGTGGGCCTTGCTGTTTTTTAGGTGTGCTTCTGTGCCTTCCTTTCCTACCAGGAAGGGATTTTCACTGCGGTTGCACTGAACTCTGGGGGCGTTCTGAGCACCTCCAAAATACCGTGCAACAGTAAAGAGAACCTCAAGCTGTTTCTCTAGCTACACAATTGGGGATTTTCTGATAGGGGGCAGCAAATACACTTGCCAAGGGAAGTGTAATTAGGGACCTTGGGAGCAATCCAAAAGCTTAGGCATGCCTCGTGGGATTCCTGTTATAACAGCAGACCTCCATGATCGACTGTAATCTGGCTTTGAGACTACAAGAGTTTCAGAAGTGGTAGCTGCCAGGATGCTTATAGCAAAAAATTGGAAAGGGAGAAAAATTCCATCAATGAAAGAATGGCAAATTAAATTTTGTGAATCTATAAATCTGGCAAGACTCACAGCATTCATAAGGGGACAATCGGACCAGAAATTATTAAAAGAATGGGGATGTGCTAAAGAGTATATGAAAAAACATTGCTCTGGAATAAACATATCGGTATGTAATGAATGATGCTTTACAGGGTTAAAGAAAAAGAAAAATGGTGTAAAAAAGTATAAAGATAAAAGTGATCTACATTAGACACAATTTAGAAAGAGTAAAAGGGACAAAGGAACAAGGTCAATATGTGTATATGTATGTAATGACTAGATTAGAATGAAGATATGGTTTTATTTGTAGATGTGTGCTTTTTCTTTTGTTTTTTGTTTCCTTTTTGGTGTTCTGTTTTTCTTTCTTGTTTGTATAGTATTATCTTGGATTCAATGTTTGTAATTTTTGTTTGTAATTTTGCATTGAAAATTTAAAAAAAAATAAAAAAGAGTTTCAGAAGTGGTTTGACATGTACAGTGGTGCCCCGCAAGACGAATGCCTCACAAGACGGAAAACCCGCTAGACGAAAGGGTTTTCCGTTTTTGAGTTGCTTCGCAGGACGAATTTCCCTATGGGCTTGCTTCGCAAGACGAAAATGTCTTGCGAGTCTTGAGATTTTTTTCCGCTCCCCTCCCCCTTTTTCTAAGCCGCTAAGCCTTTAATAGCCGCTAAACCGCTAATAGCGCTAATCCGCTAAGAGGGTTGCTTCGCAAGACGAAAAAACTGCTAGACGAAGATACTCGCGGAACGGATTAATTTCGTCTTGCGAGGCACCACTGTAGCAAGGGAGCTTGCCGTTCCAGAACACAGGCCCCAGACCTACTGCGTGATTTTTAGGGGAAAGGAGGGAATCCCAGCCAAGAGGACTGGGTACCCTGAACTCTGTATAGAACTACACTTTTCATTTAGTGAACTACTGTACTTTTCCATCTATAATATGCCCCCATGTATAAGAAACCCGCCTCCCATTTTTGAGACTCCGCTTTAAGAAAATGAGGGGAGATGGCCCAAAGTTGTTTAGCTTCTCCCCCCATGCAGCTGTGGGCAGGAAAAACTCCCTAGATCGTTTCGCACTCGCTGCAGCATCAGGGGAAATTGCGGTCCCGCCAACCGGCTGACTGGCAGTCGCACCACTTCCCCCACCCCTTGCCACTACCCGTGTATTGGACGACCCCAGTTTTATGACATGACTTTTTAGTCAAAAAACCTCGTCTAATACACGGAAAAATACGGTATATTTCTCATTCTAACTGTGTAGATTTTATTCCTCTACAGATCCGTGCCTTGTAACAAAGACATCCTTCAATGTCATTTCCAAAGCCTGAACTACAAAGTATTGAGGACAAATGCAAGCTTAGCAACTTGTACTGACTACTGTCATAAAAAGAGTAATATTTTTTTGCCATACCCCCCAAAAAGTGCACAGAAAAAAATAACTAAATATGCAGCTTAATTTTAATCGCACTAAGCATAATTCCCAGACTAGAAGTATCTGTATTGCAAAAAATAATTTTTTAAAAAGATGGACATTTAGACATACATTTGTGAAACATTACCCCATTCTTGATGTTGGTCTCCCACCGCAGTGTCATGTTCCTAAGGTCAAACAACTTGACATCCCCATTGTCATAGCCGGCACATACAACACGTTCCTCTTGATTGTAAGCATTACCTAGTTAGAAAAAAAAAGAGGCACTGCTTAAAAAATCATATGACCAACAATTTTTATAACAAGTCACATTTGTGCACCTATTCTGTTATAAAAGCATCATGCATTTCTGGTAGAAAACCAGTCCTGGAATGACAGGTTATTACTATTCAAGAAGAGATAAAGGCATTTAACAAAGGACAAGGGCAACAGCTGGAAAGATTTAGTGCAAGCTACTGTCTTTCTGTAGGGAAGTGGGTGGCGCTGTGGGTTAAACCACAGAGCCTAGGACTTGCTGGTCAGAGGGTCGGTGGTTCGAATCCCCGCGATGGGGTGAGCTCCCATTGCTCGGTCCCTGCTCCTGCCAACCTAGCAGTTCGAAAGCACCTCAAAGTGCAAGTAGATAAATAGGTACCGCTCCAGCGGGAAGGTAAACGGTGTTTCCGTGCGCTGCTCTGGTTCGCCAGAGGCAGCTTAGTCATGCTGGCCACATGACCCGGAAGCTGTATGTCGGCTCCCTTGGCCAATAAAGCGAGATGAGTGCCGAAACCCCAGAGTCAGTCACGACTGAACCTAATGGTCAGGGGTCCCTTTACCTTTTACTGTCTTTCTGTATTACTTATTTTATTTAAAATGTCAAAACTGCATTCTTGGAGACAGAAGTGGTGCTTCTGCAACAGAAAGCTAGAACCCCGAGAAGATCAAAGAGAAAAGGAAGTAGCTGCAAGCTATATTTCCAAAAGCAGCACTCTACAGACTCCATTTCGTATAGAGTCATTTAAACTCCATGTTATGGTACAAAAGCGATGGGAGCAAAGACAAGTTCCATGATATATGTTTGTATGCCATCAAAAATCAACCAGCTCAAGAGAGGCCTTACCAAACGCAACTGTCCAGCAGTCTCTCTTGCTCTCTCCTTGGGCTGGTTCCATATTGGCAACTGGAGTGTCTTTTTGTCTTGGGTCCCACACCTTCACAGTCCCTGCAAAAGTGGATAATGGATTATTATTTTACTGATAAAATACCTGGTGGCATTTATTCTATCACTTCGGCCCCAGCAACTTGCTTAATAAAACCTATTAATGTCTCCCTTACTCCTATTCATTTTGAATGTACTTTTTAAAAAAATAGAAGAGTTTGTTTCAATGCTTTCACAATTTGATGGATGAGCTGTTTCATCCAATGAGCAGACTAACTGATAAATTAAAGAAGATGCAACTCAGCTAAAATACTAGCTTCCGTTTCCTGGAAGCTGTAATCTCCATTAAGAAGGCAGGCCTACTAATACCACACATTTTTATATGTAAATTATACAGATCTTTCTGCAATTGTCTTGATGTTGTTCTTTTTGTATCCTCATATATGCAGATATCAGTTTGCCCTAGCCCTCTAATGACTTATGTGAAAACCCTGTTCTATGTGGGACTCAAAATAGAACATACAGCATATGTAGATCTGATTGCAGTACCCTTGTAACCATATCATATGGCAGCTGAGGAGGAACCTGGAATGGAAAAAGGCTGGCCAAGACTGCTGTTACCAAGTATATACTAGTTGGGCAGGGGGCGGGGAGGACAACTATGGATAAGCAGTGATAGACTGCACTAATCAGTAGGTGTAGTCTTATTAATTAGAGCTGTAAGAGCATCCTCTTCCTAGTCTTAAAAATCTGACAGATTTTTGTTTTTAGATTGCTGCTTTGCTTTTTTTCATATCCTACTCATCCCACCCCGCAAAAAGGCCTGGTCCTCATCTGACATCCCTTTGAAACAGAATAATAGAAAAAGCTTCTTTATACTACAGGCTTATAATTCAATAAGTTTTAACGAAAGCTCGACATGATTTAAGGGTGGGGAAATCAGAAATAGACTCTTCTTATTTTCATCCTTTTTTGCTCCCCTATTATACCTAAGTAAACTTGATTTGCTCTGACATCTGGTGGCAATCTATTAAAAACAAGAGATATTGTGCCACTAACTTCAACAGGGCCTGGAATGTACACAAGAAATGGACTTATTTAAAACTATCAGTTACTAGTTTACAGAATAGCTAATGTGCCCAAGCATGCGCAAACATTGTAAGACAGCCACAAATGCTCAGTACAGATTAATCTTCAGGGGACTTCTTAGTTGTAGCAATGCCCATGCTGATTTGCATCTCTGTAGACCCCGTGGCATTTCTGCTTGCCCAATGAAATACAGCCATGCAGTGTTGCTCCAGCTGGTGTTCTTTTAAAAAAAAAAAACACACCACAACGCCAATGACCTATCTTAAGCTAATGTACTGCACCCTCTGGAGCACCTGATATCAGACAGGATGGTCTGCGATTGCTGCCACTCACCTCCCTGGTCAGTCCCTGCTAGAGCAATATAACCGTCCACCTTTTTTGCTGCACATAGGCACAGCTCAAAACATCATCATCCAGTGTTACTTTAGAACTGCTGCAATTAACAGCTATTCACTAGTTCTCCATCCTACAAGCTGCTATGCTTGTAAAGTGATTCATAGGAGCTTGTAACTGAACTCATAGAAAGCAAAAGGCCACATTAAATAAAACAAGTCAAGTGAAGACCCATCAGAAAATGAACTGCTAGAAAGGTGGGGGCAGAGAGGAAATAGATGTTCATTCCTTTGTCCTCCCTCCACAAATTCAGGCACATTCATGTTCTTTCACGTTTAGAGTGACAAACCAATCTCCACTTGCATCTCACTCTCCCCTCCCCTTTCCAGTAAATGATAGAAGCACTGGCCTCCCCAACTTTCTCCACTGAGCGGCTCTGGATCCGTCAGGCAGGAGGACGCAAGTCCATGATGCTACCCTTAATGTCAGACATCAGGTGAGCGCTCAGCCAAGTCCAGTTCCCAGAAAAATACTGGGACCTTGAGTTAGCAAGGCAGGGACAATGCCCTTCTCAGCTGCTGGAGCTTAGAATCCAGTGGCCTCAAGAAAGTGCACATGTACAACCCTTGACCATGCGATGCTTGGGAGATGCAAGATATTTTGATCTAGTAGTTTTTTAAGCAAGAGTAGACCATCGCCCGAGGGGACGCGGGTGGCGCTATGTTAAACCACAGAGCCTAGGACTTGCCGATCAGAAGGTCGGCGGTTCCAATCCCCGCGACGGGGTGAGCTCCCATTGCTCGGTCCATGCTCCTGCCAACCTAGCAGTTCGAAAGCACATCAAAGTGCAAGTAGATAAATAGGTACCGCTCCAGCAGGAAGGTAAACAGCATTTCCGTGCGCTGCTCTGGTTCGCCAGAAGTGGCTTAGTCATGCTGGCCACATGACCCGGAAGCTGTACGCCGGCTCCCTCGGCCAATACAGCGAGATGAGCGCTGCAACCCCAGAGTCGGTCACGACTGGACCTAATGGTCAGGGGTCCCTTTACCTTTACCTTAGACCATCCCCCATGCTTCTCAATCCTCTCACTTTCCCATTCTCAATATCCCTACATAGTTGTCCTAGTTTGAAAAAACAATGTTTTAGAATTGCTTAGGTCTCAGAAACTATCTTATGGTAAAGACAGGTGACGGAATCCTGGGCACGTTTACTTGTAAGTTCCACTGTGTTAATCAGGCTTACTCACAGGAAAGCATGCCAATCTCCACTGGGAGTAAGCCCCATTCAGCTGAACAGTACTTACTTCTGAGTAGATGGAAACACCCTTTAAATTTAGATAACAGGACTAAATTGGTTCATAACATATGAAGACAGAAGAATGGTAATCATTGGAAGCTATTAGCTGGATTTATCCTAACCCACTTCGCTTTTCCTTCTAACCAGTGACACTGCAGTAGATCTAACTCACCATCCCGACTTCCCGTCACAATTTCTGGTGCTCCTTCTCCGATTCCTAAGCCACCAACGCCATCAATACTATTGATTATTTCTTTATGTCCCTTCACAGAGTACACTGGGATTTCTGGAACTTCCAAATTCCTAAACACCAGAAAGGAACAATTATTTTTTTACGATTTCCAAAGATGAAGCTAAGAGTCTTACGGCAACTTACAGACGAATACAACTACCGTGTCATAAGCTGGTGCACCTGAGGAACTGGACTTTAAATCCATGAGAGCTTATGGCATAATTAGTTTTGTGTTCTTTAATGGTTCTCAGTAAATTGAATTAGGGATATTTTATACCACAATGGTTAAAACAAACTATTCTCAATTCAGTTTCAAATAGCAGTGATTATTAAAATGATATGCAAAAACTTGTGAAATTTCTGATGCAAAAACCAAAAGTGGTTTTAAGAGTAACAACCCATTAATCAAAATCTGAACCTGCTCAAGCCTTAAGAAGCAACATTTTTATCGTTGCTATTTGTTACAATGACAAATTTGATGCAAACATTTTTTTTAACTGTGTTCTTTCCTTTCCCACCAAAAACTGATGGAATTCCAAAGGTTCAAGAAACACCTTCACAATCCAAACTACAAAAATTCAAGACTACAATTCAACTTTTTGATTGGTATGCTGAGCCTGCAAAGGCCCAGTTCACATGCAGTGCTAAGCCAAATCATAGCTTAGTGCAAATAAGCAAATTTGCGGATTACTGGAGGATTCCCTCCCACCTCAGTGCTGTTGCTGCTATGCTATCTGATACTAAATCATGTTTAGAGCTAGTAAAAATATAAAAGATAGAAAGAAAGAAAAATAAATGGGAAAATGGAGGTTGAAATATGTCCCTTTAACTTTTTTATAGCTTTATCATAAGGTTGGGTGAAATCCTAAGGGGTGGGGATTCAAAAGTAAATAACTTTTGCTGCTGACATCTAGAAACATCTGAAGTTTTCTAAATCATTCAAGAAAGGGACAACAAGAACCAGAAGGTTGTAAAATGTGCCACTTGGGTTGTGAGTTCAATAGTAATCTTACCATATTTGCAAATCCTGTTCTTTTTAGGGTTTTTCTTTTTCCCTTAAGATCTACTTTTTCTTTTAGCATCTGGACACAGTGCTTCTTTCTAGCTAGTCAATGCTACTATCATTCAACAACCCGCATACACCCTCTGCTTATCAGGACAAATGAAGAAAATGCAAAATACTCTTATTTAATCTAGTTAATACATGTATTAGGAGAACTGGTGCAGGAAACAAAAGCAAGTTGTTAACAAGGTATACAGATTCATGGATTTCTCTGTCTGGTGAAACCATGATTAATAAGGGTCAAAAGGTAAGCATGAAGAAAGCTCCCCACTCCCAAAAAAGACAACAACAACCACCACCACCAAGTGCCATTATCTTTGGTGGTTTTTCACCTGTGAAGGGAACACTTCAAAAAGACTATGAAATTTATTAAACAACAGTATCTAAAAACACTACCTAAATATGTTCACTGATATTTAAAAATTAAAATAGTAGTCTATGATTGCATATCACAAATTGCTTTGGAAAGTCACAAAACCATGCAGAGGTGGCATAATTAACTAATTTTTCTATATAACTGAATTAGGTTACAACTGCCTAAAACCTTTGTGATCCTATAATGACAGAATTTTGAGGTGGAATTTGGGAGTTGCAGGCTGGGGCTGGGACAGAGTGCGAGACTGGCTCATTGGCCTGAGATAATGTTAAGTGGACAAGAATTGGCTCCAGTGAAAAATCAAAATTAGAAGACTAGTGTTAGAACAAACAAATTGTCAGAATATGAATTTGCTGCTGAAATGGAACACTCAGGATGGCTTGACAGAAATCTGCTAATATTAAATGGGCAAGGCTAGATGAACTACTCTGTATTATGTTGCTGACTGGGGTGTGGATACACAGATATGGTACAGCATGTAACAGAGAGTATTATGAAATGATATACAGTATTTTTATAACTGATCAAGCACATATCATGTGCCTGATAATAAATGTTGAAAGAGGCTGAAGGTACATTTATCACCTTTGGTGGGACATGCCCCCAAGATTGGAGCTTTCTGAAATGATATAATAATTTAAAGAAGATGACTAAGTGCCTTCATAAAAGGAAACCAGAGGCCTGGGCATGTCAACAAATGTGATAAGGATAGAACACTGTATATATGCAACAACAGCGTAAAATACTCATTTACTTATGGAAGACAAAAGTGCGCTGAAGATGTGAATGGCTGATGAGACACATGTGGGTGAAATGACTGGTAGAATCCGTGACCGAGGAAAGTGAAGACGGAAGAGTTCAAGGGTATTTGCAGAAACTGCAAAATTGGAATGCCAGAACAAATGTTACATTGAAAATGGCTGGGACTCAGATTCAAGTATAGACAAGAATAGATTAAGGTGGGACAAAGTTTAATGCTTTATATTATATTAAGATTAGGAATTGGGATAAGAAGAAATTGCTGGTTTATATCGAGTCAGAAGAATAAGTAAATTTGGCGAAAGGTGATATTGTTTTTTAATTGTTCTGTTTCTTTTTGCTTTTGTTTGACCAGCTTTCTTTTTAGTGTATGTACTGTGCTGATTTATTGTTTCTTTTTTTTATGTTACTGAAGACCTCAATAAAAATCATTTAAAAGGCTTTAATGATCCTAAACTAAGACAGCAGAAATAATTATTGGAATTTGAATTAGCTGAGAACAACAGAAATGTTCTTACCATATGTTTAAATTTCCACCAAAATCTCCTGTAGCTAGGTATCTTTGTTGCAGAGAAGAAGCACCAAAGGTTCCACATTTAACAGGCTTTGATTTTTCAATCTGGAAAGGAAAAAAAAAACCTAGAAGGCTTAATAATTTTACATTTATTATCTTGTCCAATCTAACAGACTGGTTCTGTTAGTATTAAGTGCTGATAAAAAAGTAAACGTCAAAAGCCGGTTTCTCTTGTTTGAAGAGTTACTGCTGGTAGGCTTTAGCAAAATTCAAATATGCACCATGAATATTGATATTAACAGACAAGTCAGACATTTTAGTCTGATTTTTGGTTATGAAATTTGATTTGTCTAAGTGAATATGGGAGAGATTTGTCATTAATAAGGCTATTTTAAGTCGCTGTGGCTGCAATCCCATACACATTTGCCTAGGAGTAAATTCCACTTGAATTCAGTTGGACTCATTCTTGGATCGGCATCCATAGACTGAGCTGTCATTCTTCTTTCCAATTTATTTCAGAGATGTCCATAGTTAGTAAACCTAGCAACTGCTGATAAGTTTGCAAACATAAAAGTAGATTGCAACTTACCTATTATTTTCTCCCTCCCCTTTTCATATTTTTTAAATTGGCAAATATCAGAACTAGTATTATTTATATACCACATGTTTTGGGGATAGGATTGCGTAACTAAAATCAGATTATAAAAAAATTATGAGCTGCATCCACTTATGTCATCCTTCCAGCACAAAGAGTTCTGCCTGCACAATGGGATTCCTCTCCGCCTCCTTTCTCCATGCAGCCCCACTCCCACCTCCACCTGCTTCAGAGGAGTGGGGATAACAATAGCTGTGGGGTGCAGGGAAGGAGAAAGAGAGATTAAGTCCTGTTGTTCAGGTGGAAATCCTTGCACAAACAGGAAAAAAATGCTGGATGCAATCCTATGTTTAAACAAGTGCCGTAAATAGGCTGCTAGTCACTGAGAACAATGCTAAAATAAAACAGCTTCATTCTCTGAACGCTAGAAAGCAATAAGAGTACAGTGGTACCTCGCAAGACGAATGCCTCGCAAGACAAAAAACTCGCTAGACGAAAGGGTTTTTTGTTTTTTGAGCTGCTTCGCAAGACGATTTTCCCTATGGGCTTGTTTCGCAAGATGGAAACGTCTTGCAAGTTTGTTTCCTTTTTCTTAACACTGTTAATACAGTTGCGACTTGACTTCGAGGAGCAACTCATAGAACGCGATGTGGTAGCCTTTTTTGAGGTTTTTAAAGACTTTGGTGATTTTTGAAGCTTTTCCAAAACTTTCCCGACACCGTGCTTCGCAAGACGAAAAAAATCGCAAGACGACAAAACTCGCGGAACGAATTAATTTCGTCTTGCGAGGCACCACTGTAGTTGTTCACTGAGAAGACCTCATGATTGATTTCACATAACTGGCCAGCCAATCTATCGGGCGAAAAGACTCTCACTCCTCAATACTTTATCCACAATCTACTCCTCAATGCATAAGGCGGCCAACATTGTGTTCTCCTACATCGCTATAGCTACAGCAACCAAAGCTGTGTGGGAAGCAAAGGGCTGTGTAGACAAGCAAAGCTAATGGTTATCACCATGGTGATCAGCATGGTTTTCCCCATCATTATTGGTTTCTAAACAGTGCTTGATTATGAACGTTAGTTTGCCAAATGCTGAGTAAAACAAACATTACATTGCTTCATTTTATCTATGCCAATCCATACATGATTCTCTTACTACCGGTATTTGATCCTGTTTTGGGATATGCTTACAGTTCATTATCAATCTTCCTAATTAAAAGTTGAAACTGAAATTAGTTATCATCTTGAAGCTATTTTTAATATTTACACTTCTTCACCCATCTCTAAATGTGTCTCTATTATTATTATTATTATTATTAATCCTGTCTTTTTGCCCAACTAGGGACTCAAGGCAGCTTTACCTAAGAATGTGAGCTATGAGCCCAATTCAAATATCATCTTAGTCACAAACTTACTTAGCTGACCTAAGGCACCTCACTCACTGAATACAATTAGATTACTACTTACAATGGCCAGAACGTGATACATGGGAGTGAACAATGGTGACCAAATATATTAGCCATATAAAGCAGGGGTCAGCAAACTTTTTCAGCAGGGGGCCGGTCCACTGTCTCTCAGACCTTGTGGGGGACCGCACTATATTTTGAAAAAAATGAAGAAATTCCTATGCCCCACAAATAACCCAGAGATGCATTTTCAATAAAAGCACACATTCTGCTCATGTAAAAACATGCTGATTCCCGGACCATCCGCAGGCCGGATTTAGAAGGTGATTGGGCCAGATCCAGACCCCAGCCTTAGTCTCATGCTCTACTGACTGACAGGCTTTACTTCTGAATAAACACCAGCAAGACTGGCTACCCTGTGACTCCCTCCCCCTTTTTCCCTTTCCTTTTTAAATGGGGCTGAGGAGGGGTGTGTCTTTGGAAAGGGAACCATAACTTATGAAAGCAGTTCCATATATTGACTCCTGTTTCCCACATAATAACCTGAACTCAGAATTGGCATGCTTCAGTTCAGGATGAATTGCAATTCACAAACGCATAGTTCCTAACATTGTCTGCCTTTTCCTTGTTGCTTAAAAGCATGAATCCACACTATTTCAACCCTTCATATAATCCTGGCATGAGAAGGCAAATTGGACTTCTGCAAGGGTGGGGGATCTGTGGCTCTCCAGATGTTTCTGGTGCACAACTCCCAAACCACCCCGACCATTGGTCATGATGATGGAGTCTGGCAACGGGTTCCCAACTCCTTTGCCGACCAGCCCAGGAGGCTCGCCTAGTGCCTTCATTGCATACAGTCATACCTTGGGATAAATACGCTTCAGGTTAAGTATTTTCGGGTTGCGCTCCGCGGCGACCCGGAAGTAACGGAGCGCATTACTTCTGGGTTTCGCCGCTCGCGCATGCGCAGACGGTCAAAATGATGTCATGTACAGAAGCGGCGAAACACGACCCGCGCAGTCGTGCCTTACGTTCTTTTCAGGATGCGAACGGGGCTCCGGAACAGATCCCGTTCACATCCCGAGGTACCACTGTATCTTTAAGCACCAGGTAAAAACTTTCCTCTATTAGCAGTCCTTCCGCGAATTATCACCCTATATACCGGAGGTCAGCAACCTTTTTCAGCCATGGGCCTGTCCACCATCCCTCAGACCACGCGGTGGGCTGGACTATATTTTGAAGGGGGGGGGAATGAACGAATTCCTATGCCCCACAAATAACCCAGAGATGCATTTGAAATAAAAGGACACATTCTACTTCTGTAAAAACACGCTGATTCACAGACTGCCCGCGGGCCGGATTGAGAAGGTGATTGGGCCGCATCTGGTCCCCAGGCCTTAGATTGCCTACCTCTGCTATACAGTGGTACCTCTGGTTACATACTTAATTCGTTCCAGCGGTCCGTTCTTAACCTGAAACTGTTCTTAACCTGAAGCACCACTTTAGCTCATGGGGCCTCCCGCTGCCGCCGGAGCATGATTTCTGTTCTCATCCTGAAGCAAAATTCTTAACCTTAAGCACTATTTCTGCGTTAGCGGAGACTGTAACCTAAAGCGTATGTAACCTGAAGTGTATGTAACCCGAAGTACCACTGTATACCCTTTTAATTAGGTTGTGGGACGGGGGGGGGGGTGTTATCAGCTTGTTTTTGTTCTTATTTTTATTACGTACTTTGTGTTTATATATATACATATATGTAGTATGTGCATGTTGTGAACTGCCCTGTGAACTACAAATGAGGGTGTAAAAATTGAATAAATAATTATTGCGAATAATTATAATTTATTAAATTTGCACACCTTGACCTGTAGTTCTCACAACATGGGAGACGAGCACGATTAGAGTTGAATTTGATTATTATTATTATTATTATGGCAGCCCATTCAACTCGCCCTCCTCCCCCCTTCTTCGTTCCCTTTCCCTCCCCTGAACGAACACGAGGCGGGCCAAATTCCTCAGCAGCAGCCGGCGAAAGGCAGCGGGAGCCCGCGCTCCGCCCGCCCGCCCGCCGGCCCGCCGTCCCTCACTCACTTCGCGAAGCAGGTGGAGGCGGCCGCCTTGCAGCTCGTAGAGCTGGACGACGCCGCTGCCCCGCGGGAAGCTGCCCAGGCAGACGAGGCGGGCGCTGCTGGGCACCCACTTGCACTCGAAGGCCGTGTAGTTCAGGCTCTGCTGCGCGTGCGCGATGATCTGCGGCTTCTCCAGGGGGCCTCCCGGAGACGACATGGCGGCCCGCCCCAACGGCTCCCCGTTCAAAGCCGACGCGTCTTCGGCTGCCCCAACAACGGCAACATCCGGGCTACCGGGAGGAAGCGCGCAGCGGGCGCAGCGCCGGACTCCCCGCCGCTCCTCATTGGCCAATAAGGGTTCCGTCGGCGGCAGGGGGACTCCAACTCCCGTCGGCCCCCGGGGCAGCGCGGCCTCTCCTCATAAGGGACGGGCGCTGAAGGGCCGCAGCTGCCCCCAGGTGGGGCTGGGTGGGGTTTGTGTGTGTTGCCAGGTGCTTTCAAGCTCAATTCGTGGAAGGCGTGGGAAGGGAATCGGTTTCACGTAGGAAGGGCAAAGCACGCGCGAGAGAATCACAGCATCGTAGAAAGTTAAAGGGAAAGCTGCATGTGTTAGAATCATACATTTGTAGAGTCATCAATGCAGGAATCTCAACCAAAGCATCCTTGACAGGTGGCCCTCGAACCCCTGCTTTAAAAACCTCCAAGAAAGAGAATGCACAATTTTCTTCCCAATTTTTTAAAATTAATTTTCACAACATTATAAACAAACAAACACATAAAACAAGCAAACATAAATCATAACCTTATTAAAAATTACACTTATTAACATTATTAAGTGACTTCCTCGCTTCCCCTTGGTTGAATTTCATTGTCCTTTTAACGGTTTTCCAAATCATAGTTCTTAAAATATTTAACTTAAACATTAACATCCTTACATCTTCACATTATGAAATTAAACCTATTAATTCATCACTTAACTTGAATAAAATCCTAAGCCAATTAAGTATCTGCAAGCTGTTTTCAGTTAGTTTAACTTAACATGTTTAACAAAGTAATCATTAAATTTGATCCAATCTTCCTGATACTCCTCCTCCTTCTGGTCGTGGACTCTTCCGGTTAGGTCGGCTAGCGCTGAGAAATCCATCTTCATCTGCCATTCTATCGTTGGTAATTCTTGGGTTTTCCACTTTTTAGTTAACAAAATACGAGCCGCAGTTGTGGCATACAAAAATAATTTTACATCTTTCTTGGGCAATTCCAAACCTGTTATTCCAAGAAGAAAGGCCTCTGGTTTCTTTATAAATGTATATTTCAACATTTTTTTCAATTCTTTATATATCTTTTCCCAGAAGACTTTCACCTTGGGGCAGGTCCACCACATATGATAAAATGTTCCTTCCTTTTCGTTACATTTCAACATAGATTATCGCAGTTATGATATATCTTTGCTAATTTTACAAGAGTCAAATACCATCTGTACATCATTTTCATTATATTTTCCTTTAACACAGTGAACCTGACCCTTTTCGAGAATCCACCATCTTCTGAGGCAGTTCCATTGCACTGTCAAACGGCTCTTGCTGTCAGAATGTTCTTTCTGATGTGAAGTTGGAATCTCCTTTGAAGCCATTGGTTAGAGTCCATAGCCTCCATGTGACAGCTCTAGAGATATTTGAAGATGGCTATCCTATCTCCTCTCAGTTTCCTCTTTTCCAGGTTAAACATACCCAGCTCCTTCAAGCGCTCCTCATAAAGCTTGCTTTCCAGACCCTTGATCACCTTGGTTGCCCTCCTGCGCACATGTTCCAGCTTGTCAACATCCTTCTTAAACAGTGGTGCTCAGAACTGGACACAATATTCCAGGTGGGGTCTGACCAAGACAGAATAGTGTGGTACTATTATGTCCCTTAACCTGGACACTATGCTTCTGTTGATGCAGCCTAGAATAGCATTAGCTTTTTTTGCTGCTGCATCACACTGTTGACTCCTGTTGAACTTGTGGTCTGCTAAAACCCCATATACTTTTCACATGTGCCACCATTAAGCCAGGTGTCCCTATCTTATACAGTGGTACCTCGGGTTACATACACTTCAGGTTACAGACTCCTCTAACCCAGAAATAGTACCTTGGGTTAAGAACTTTGCTTCAGGATGAGAACAAAAATCGTGCAGCGGTGGCGCAGCGGCGGCAGGAGGCCCCATTAGCTAAAGTGGTGCTTCAGGTTAAGAACAGTTTCAGGTTAAGAACAGACCTCCAGAACGAATTAAGTTCTTAACCACTGTATATGTTTTGTCGGGTCTCTGGATCGTAATAAAGATTGATTGATTGATTGATTGATTGATTGATATTTGTGCGTCTGGTTCTTCCAGCCTAAGTGCAGAACTTTACAATTCTTGCAATTAATTTTGTTAGTTTGAGCCCAGCTCTCTAATCTGTAAAATTCATTTTTAATCCAGATTCTGAATTCTGCAGCATTAGCTACCTCTCCCAGTCTAGTGTCATCTTCAAATTGGATGAGCTTGTCACTCCCCCCCCCCCCACAGGATTATGACACAGCATTACTGGCCATTCTTTGGGTTCAGTCAGTCAACCAGCTACAAATCCACCTAACAGTTACCTCATTCAGTATAGGTAAAGGTAAAGGGACCCCTGACCATTAGGTCCAGTCGTAGCCGACTCTGGGGTTGTGGCGCTCATCTCGCTTTACTGGCCGAGGGAGCCAGTGTACAGCTTCCGGGTCATGTGGCCAGCATGACTAAGCCGCTTCTGGTGAACCAGAGCAGCGCCTGGAAACGCCATTTACCTTCCTGCCGGAGCGGTACCTATTTATCTACTTGCACTTTGACATGCTTTCGAACTCCTAGGTTGGCAGAAGCAGGGGCTGAGCAATGGGAACCGCCGACCTTCTGATCGGCAAGTCCTAGGCTCTGTGGTTTAACCCACAGCGCCACCTGCGTCCCTTCATTCAGTACATATGCCCCCTTTTAGATCGGCGTACAAATTATATGTACTGTACTGCTTGTTGTTGTTGTTGTTAGTTAATAACAGGCATAGGCAAACTCGTCCCTCCAGATGTTTGGGACTACAGCTCCCATCATCCCTAGCTAACAGGACCAGTGGTCAGGGATGATGGGAGTTGTAGTCCCAAAACATTTAGAGGGCCGAGTTTGCCTATGCCTGGTTAATAAGCCCAGTTGGTAGCGCAAGAGACTCTCAGGGTTTTTGAGCCCTACTTCGGATTCCTGCATTGCAGGGGGTTAGACCAGATGACCCTCATGGTCTCTTTGACATGCATGATTCTACTTTTGTTGTTGTTAATTATTGCTACTACTGTTCAATGGGGGGGGGGGGAGGAGGAGGAGGCCGCAAGACGATAGAGAGCGCGAAAGGGGGACGCTAGAGCGGCGGAAGTGGCGTCGCGGGCGTGATGACGTTTCACAGACCGCCGGCCCCGCCCCTTCCTTTCGGCGTGTCCCTCGGACTGGGCATGGAGGGCTCTGCCGGCGAGAGCGGGGTGGCGGCCATGGAGGCGCAGGCTGCCGGCGAAGGCTTCACGCGGGTCCGCAAGCGGAAGCGGCGCGCGTGCGAGCGCCAGGAAGGCGCCATGGAGACGGCCGAGGGCCCTCCGCCCCTCAAGCGGCCGGATTTCCCCCCTCTCCGCGGGGAGGCTCTCGGGGTGAGTCGGGGAGAGGCTCGTGGGGGCGAGTCGGGCCCTCCAGGCCCTGCGTGGGCGGCTCAGGGGCCCCGTCCCGCCTCCGGCTTCGTTTTTATTTCTGTGACTTGCTACGCTTCTAGAGCTGTGCTCCTTCCAAGGTGCTTCGCGTGGTTTTCCCCCTCATGTAAATCCCCACAACCACCCTGTGAGGTAGGCCAGGCTCAGTGATAGGCCCTACGTCACCCAGTGAGCTTCATGGCTGAGAGGGGGATTCGAACCCTGCTCGCCCTAGTCCTTTTCTATATTTGTTGAGAAAATGCACCTAGAGGTTTCGTCAGTTGCCTAGTAAATGACGTAGCCAGATAGCATCTGCCTAGCCCAAATAAAATGGGGTGCTCTCCCCTCCTTCTGCTCCTCTCGCCTTAAATTTGTTCTGGGGTTTTCCCCAAGACTCTGGATAATTTTTGGGGAGGGACTAGGGCATATCTGGTTGGGGAGAGGAGGGGCTATGTGTTAGACAAACCAGCCATGTTTGTTTCGTCACAATGCCTGCGCCAGTCACATATTCTACTTCTACTTCTTTGGCAATCGCTTGTAGCTGAGTAAGATTGTCTTCCATGAACATGGTCTTAACAGCGAGTCCGTAAGTGACTGTGGAGGCCGATTCTGGACCCACATGTCCTTCCACAGTGTTGTTGTTTAGTCGTGTCCGACTCTTCGTGACCCCATGGACCAGAGCACGCCAGGCACTCCTGTCTTCCACTGCCTCCCGCAGTTTGGTCAAACTCATGTTGGTAGCTTCGAGAACACTGTCCAACCATCTCGTCCTCTGTTGTCCCCTTGTCCTTGTGCCCTCCATCTTTCCCAACATTTGGGTCTTTTCCAGGGAGTCTTCTCTTCTCATGAGGTGGCCAAAATATTGGAGCCTCAGCTTCACGATCTGTCCTTCCAGTGAGCCCTCAGGGCTGATTTCCTTAAGGATGGATAGGTTTGATCTTCTTGCAGTCCATGGGACTCTCAAGAGTCTCCTCCAGCACCATAATTCAAAAGCATCAATTCTTCGGCGATCAGCCATCTTTATGGTCCAGCTCTCAATTCCATACATCACTACTGCTAAAACCATAGCTTTAACTATACGGACCTTTGTCGGCAGGGACATAGTTTTCCAGGCGGACGTTGATCATGGTGAGGGTGTGCCAAATTTGCCTTCCTCTTAGCACCCTTCTCCCTTTCATCCTGCGTTTGAGTGTCTTCAAAGCCCATGACACCTTTGGTAAAGGCTGTTCTCCAATTGGAGCGCTCACAAGCCAGTGTTTCCCAATTGTTGATGTTTATACTACATCTTTTTTTTAGATTTGCCTTGAGAGAGTCTTTAAACCTTTTTGTTGACCACCAGCACCCTTTCAGTTCATTTTTAAGTTAGAGTAGTTGTTTTGGAGGACGACAATCAGGCATCCACACAACATGACCAGTCCAACAAAGTTGATGTTGAAGAATCATTGCTTCGACACAGGTGATCTTTGCTTCTTCCAGTACACTGGCATTAGTTTGCCTGTCTTCCCAAGTGATGTGTAAAATTTTTCAGAGACACCATTGATGGGATCTTTTGAAGAGTTGGAAACATTAGTCACTGCACTACACTTTCTGCACGATGATCATACGAGAAGATCTTACATCATGTTATGGGAAATCTTTGGGTATTGCAATTCCTGGGTGCAGCTATCATTTTCAAGTGAAGTACAGTCGGTTTTTCCCACCACACCTTGTGCCAGGAGTCATACAGGTCTGGAGGGTGGCAACACAAGAACAGACTCCCCATCTGTGGAATGCTCTCTCCAGGGACGTTTGCCTGGCACCTTCATTATGCATCTTTAGGCACCAGGCAAAAACGTTCCTTTTTAACCAAGCCTTTGGTTGATGGGGAGCGTATTGGGTTGTTGCTGCTTTTATTTTGATTATGTATTTTGTGGTTTTATATTTTGATTTTATTCTGTGCACTGCCCTGCAACATGCAGGTAAAGGACAGTATATAAATAATAATTCAATAATTAAAATAGATGGCCCCCTGAGTACCTCCCAACTCTATAATTCTATGAGTCTGTGTTTTGAGATGTAACGGGCACTTGTATCACAGTGAATTACTTGACACGGGGTACTGTGATTAGACCTTGATTTGGTTCAGTGCTCGAAATTCCACAGGCTCCAGTTGCGTTTTGCGACTGGTGTGGGTCCATTTGCTACCAACAAGTGAAGATGTCTTGTCGCCAGTTTTGGCAATGGACATCTCCATCTGGCTGGTGTGTTTTCTGCTTCAGACATGCCCCCACATGCCCCGGCATCAAGAGACACTGCTGCCAGCTGGCTGATCTTTGGACATCTTGTCCTTATTTTTTTCTTGATTGTTTTATTTGATGTTTTAATGTGTTGTAAACCACTTTGATTTTTTTCTCTTTAAAATATAAAGCAGAATAGAAATGAAATTAATAATAATAACAATAACCTTATTGTGGGGGGGAATGGCGACTAAACAGTATGTTGTGGCAACTGTAACCTGGTGATTAACTTATATTTCTTAGTTTCTGACACTGGTTTGGTTCTGCATTCTGATGCAAATCCTGCTTTGGCCAGTGCAGGTCACTCAATGGGTTATGATCAAGACTTAAATTCTTGGCTAGGTTTTTGCTGTTATTCTGCCTCCCCATTTCTGAATTCATGGGTGTTGCAGGGAGACAAATTATGGTTGAAAATTGTCATTTTGGAAGGATTCAACATTCAGTATGTGAATATTCCCCAAACCTGAATCTTGGTTAGAGGTAGGGGAAGTGGTAGCATGTACTATGTTTACTCGAAACTTTTGCTATACAGCCTAGTTTCTCAACTCTGTTTGATCATTCTGAATAAGTTCTGTCTTCACTAGAATATACTGTTATGGGATGATTTTCCTTATATGTTTCTGTACTGCTTGTTAGGTCAGTATAAACTTGGTTACCAATTCTGAACAACAACAACAACAACCTCTCAGACTTAAAGTAAAAGTTTCTAGCAAAAATAAGTCAACTGGGCTTACTAGCCACAGTTTTCCTAAGGTTATTGAAAGCAAAACATTAAGATAATCATTGAATTGAATACTTAGAGTAATTTTACTTGTCATGCAATTTAGATTCTGGTGCAAAGGGATCTTATTTATTTGTACACATAGGAATTTATATACTGCATTAAAAAAAGCTTTCTCAGGGAAGTGTACAGTTGATATAATAAAAATGCTTAAAACCAACATTTCTTTCTTTCTTTCTTTCTTGTTTGGTCTTTTATTATAGGGTGGAAAAGGTGAAGTGAGGAAAATTTCTGTACCACCAAACAGATACACACCTCTGAAAGAAAACTGGATGAAAATTTTTACGCCTATTGTAGAACACTTACAGCTTCAAATTAGGTTTAATTTAAAAACAAGGAATGTAGAGATAAAGGTGAGCTGTAGGATGTGTTTTCCTAGAACGTATAATGGTAAGCCATCGTGACCAAAGAGTGTACAGGGGCACAATGCTCATTTGTGCCTACCCCTCAACTTTCACCTGTGTCTCCTCATGCCAGGAGGAATAATTGATAGATAGGAAAGACTTGAAAACCTGACTGCTGAACTAATCCCATGTCCATTCTAATTAAACTATGAGTTAAGGGGCAAATTTAGTCACAAGCAGACAATTGGCTGTCCCAAATCCAGCATGGGTCAAGGGAAGTAATAGTGCCACTGTATTCTGCTCTGGTCAGACCTCACCTGGAGTACTGTGTCCAGTTCTGGGCACCACAGTTCAAGAAGGACACTGACAAACTGGAACATGTCCAGAGGAGGGCAACCAAAATGGTCAAAGGCCTGGAAACGATGCCTTATGAGGAACGGCTAAGGGAGCTGGGCATGTTTAGCCTGGAGAAGAGGAGGTTAAGGGGTGATATGATAGCCATGTTCAAATATATAAAAGGATGTCACATAGAGGAGGGAGAAAGGTTGTTTTCTGCTGCTCCAGAGAAGCGGACACAGAGCAATGGATCCAAACTACAAGAAAGAAGATTCCACCTAAACATTAGGAAGAACTTCCTGACAGTAAGAGCTGTTCGACAGTGGAATTTGCTGCCAAGGAGTGTGGTGGAGTCTCCTTCTTTGGAGGTCTTTAAGCAGAGGCTTGACAGCCATATGTCAGGAGTGCTCTGATGGTGTTTCCTGCTTGGCAGGGGGTTGGACTCGATGGCCCTTGTGGTCTCTTCCAACTCTATGATTCTATGATTCTATGCCCTTTGCTGCCCAGAATGTGTTGAGCAGAATTGATGGTAGCAGAGAGGGAGGTGCTAGTTAATGTATGAGGTCTTTGGCCCTGGGATGAGGAGAACAGCCTGCAATCAAGCAGCCTCTTCCCATGTCATGTCATCTGGTGCTTTGTAAAGTAGGAGGACCTAGTATTTGCTATTTAATGAAAGCATGTCTCTCCCCCCCCCCTTTTAGCTGAAAAGGGCTCACACAGCAGTTACAGGCTAAAAAGACGTGACACGAAAGCAGGGTGGGAGACAGGGTCAGGCCCTAGTTCCTAGTGAAAAAGTTCAGCAAGTAGTAGTGGGCTGGATTTAAGCACTATAGTCTCAGCGGTGCCATTTGGTGGCTGGCATTGGAGCAGTTGCGGCGGCTCTCAGATAAAGCCGGAACCAGACAGGATGGATTCTCCTGTTTAACTAGCTGAATTAAATAACGAAGCCATTGGGGCAGAGTCATTGAGGTTAGTGGATAAATCAGTGCTGTGGAAGTTCCATTAATCTCGGGAGAACCTCACTTATTTCTTAGTAACACAAAGATACAACAACTTAGATCTGAGCCATTCATCATGGAGAGTTAACTTTCAATGCGGAATAAAACTTTCAATGCAGAATGACTTTACAAAATCATTATGTACTGTTGCAGAGTGTTTTTGTAAGGGTAAATATAATACAGATTTAGGAATGGGTAAAATTAAAGTGAAGTTGACCATTGGGAGTTGTCAGCATATGCTTCTGTAGGAGGAAGAACAGGGTCGCCTTTGTGTTAATGGAAGCACAGGGCTTGGTTTTTAAGTTGAATGATATAGAGAAGAGCAGCTTGTATACTAAATCTCCCAGCGCTCCATTGCCCAAACCTTAACAACTTATTTTCTCTTCTAGACTTGTAAAGAAACAAAAGACGTAGGTGCTTTGACAAAAGCAGTTGATTTTGTGAAAGCTTTTCTACTTGGATTTCAAGTTGAGGTGAGTTACTTGTTTTTAAACAGATTCTCTGGCATGCATAGGGTAAAGGATTTCTTTTGTCTTTTGAACAATGGAGATTTAACAATCTGTTATCCAAATGAAGAAATTGACTTTGTATTGTTGTGCTGTGTTCCAGCCATCCCTGCACTGAGATTTGCATGCTTGACTTTCATGTATGATTTCTGTTTTAGAGTTTATTAAAGCTGTTTTCTTTGGGGTGCTTTGTAGTCAAAAGGGGAATATGTTTTGCCAGAGTGGATGTTTCCAGGTTTTTAAAACAAAGGTGATGGTTTAAAAATAGGAGCAAAAGTACCAGATTAATATTGACTTTGGAAAGCTTTCCTTAATATTTGCTAATATACCTTAATCCTCCTGTTGTGGAACTTGTATTTTTAAAAGCTACAAATGATAGCCAACTGTGGTGTCCTCCATGCACTGGGCTTTTGGTAGTGAGACATCCCTTCTTCCTCCTGCATTCTCCATGCCCACGAACCCCCCAAAAAAATCTGTTTAAGGGTTGAGGTGAAGGAATGGGTTTCTGTGCAGTCAGTCTGAAACGGGACCCAAACTCCACATTTTTCCTTCTCCAAGGGAGCATTTCTAAAATGCATTAACTTGAGCTCTTGAGTCAATGTATAAACAGAAAACCCAGCTGTATAAACAAGTGCTCAAAGCCCTCTCCCTTATCAGTCCGTGACGGCAATGAGTGGCCTTGCCAGTTCCGAGTAGAGCAGGGAGGGCACGTCTGGGTCTTATCTTACATCCTGACCACAAAGACGCACAGACCTTGTCAAGTCTGACAAGAGACCCGGGAATGATGCCAGGAGTTGGTGACCTCCTGCCCCAAAATAAGAGTATAGGAACAGGAACAACCTTTTATGGTCAAGAGTGCCGGAACAGGAACAACTGTTTATGGTCATGGATGTCAACTTACGTGTATAAGCTGACATGCTTGGATTCCTGGGGAAGGGGGGAGAGGGTGCCTGGAGGATATATATACTGCATGAAATTTCTCATTTCTTTGGACTTGCTGTGGGCTGACCACGCAAGTGCCTTCTGCTATCCGGAGAGCAGAATAAACTCTTTCTCTGAATCAACCTCAGTGTCATTTGACTTCCTTCCACCCATCCGGGAACAACGCAGACCCCACCAGTCAGTAAAGTCTAAGAAGGCTACAGAGGAACCCCATAGGACAGATTGGGGGAGCAAAGGAAGAAGTCCCCATCACACCTGCTGTTGTGACATTGCCTCGCCCTTTATATCCTGGGTTCTTCAATGCTCCGTGAGCCATTTTCACAGGACTGTCAATCACTGGATGTCACCCACGTCAGGTGACCCATTTTAGCCATGCTGCAAAAGAAAATTCAGAAGCCGCTGCCAGTCAGTTCTATTTTTGTTCTAATTTTCATACTGTCCCTAATTAGGTCCTGTGCCTGCCCTGTAAGATTACTGATTTTTGAGAAGTATTTTTTTGTTTCTTATACAAAATTTCAAATTCCACAACTCTCTTCCAGGATGCACTTGCTCTCATCAGATTAGATGACCTTTTTCTGGAATCCTTTGAAGTAACAGATGGTGAGTCTTCCATTTTTAAGGTCTTGTGTTTTCAAAACCTCAGTATAGATGCATTTTTCAGTTACTGAGGAATGTGTAAGCACTTACACTTAAGTAACAAACGCTACTGCTCGCTATTAAAATGAAAGGCTGTTTTAAATATCATTTTCCTTCACTCTTATAACAACACATAAAATGATTGCAGAGCCTGTGTGTCCTTAACTTTAGTTGTCTGATCTCCCTATTAAAGCTTGCAGCCTTAGTTTTAACAGTTAACAGTTCTAAGTGTTACTAATTTCAAATAGCTTGCTTCAATTTGATTATTAATTTTGGAATAAACATTTAAAAGTATTTCATTCTCATGTGGTTCTCAGTGATCTCTTACTCAAGAGATTAACTCGGTTCACAGCTACTGAGCATTAGTTGTGCAACATCACATTCACCCATATGATTCATTGAGCCCAGAACAAACTTATTTAGGACTAGGTTGGAAAAAATTTGTACGATGAAGTAACATTGACCTTTTCTCTTTAGTCAAGCCGTTAAAAGGAGATCATCTTTCTAGAGCAATAGGAAGAATTGCTGGGAAAGGTGGAAAAACAAAATTCACTATTGAAAATGTGACCAGAACACGAATAGTTCTTGCAGACTCGTAAGTATAATCCAGTAGCCTGTAACATTTTCTTGTGGTATGAATATGAATTGGTGTACTTTCCGTGCAACGTTCTATCTGGACAAGACTTTTTAAAAGTGATTGTAGGGGACCCTGAATAGGCAGTAAGATGCTATCTGGCGACGTCATTTACTAGGCAGCTGACGAAACCTCTAGGTATATTTTCTCAACAATTTCAAATAGCTGTGTATGTTTTCTTGTGGCAATTATTCCTCATGAAACAGCTGTATTATACAGCACTAAGTAAAGAATGGATTAGCCCCAATTAAGATGGATTCTCCAGCCGCCGCTGCCGCCCCCCTCGGTGCGCTACGGTAGATGGTGTGGTTTTTATCATGCAGTGCAGCAAAGTGGATCTGAAATGAAGTAGATGAGGACAGTACGATGCCATGGCTACTTTTAATGCTTAGGATTTAGGAAGAGCTGAGCATCTGATGACTGAAATCTCTCCTTATGGAGGCACAGTTCAGTCAGGTGCTGATTCTACCAATGTGAGACTGTTTGGTCCTTTGGGGTCACTAAAAGGATTTTTTTTCAAGTATTAGTCAAATATTCCTAAATACTGTACATTCCACATGTAAAACTTCTTATTTTCATTACAGGAAAGTTCATATTTTAGGGTCTTTCCAGAATATTAAAATGGCACGAACAGCAATCTGCAACCTCATCTTAGGTAAGCCTCTTTTAACAAAAGGAAATCTAGATTTAAAGAGCCCTGCTTTGGGCTAGGACTTTTAACTGGCTTTGCTTCCATTGATGGCCGAGACACTACATTTCTGAGCAGAAATAATTACTTACGACTTTAATAATCCAGAATGGTAGTAAGAGGTAGGTATAACCATCAGTACCCATACAGAAGGAAATTAGGTTCAGAGGCGGCTTTTGTACTACTATCTACAGGGCTACGCATCTCTAAATACTTGTTTGAAAGCTGCTTCTTTTGAATATATTGGTACTCGTGGTTTTATCTATTTTTAATCATTTTTCCTATTCCTTAGCAGCATGACCTTTGTGTGCATGTTCATTTTATGTCTTAGGATTGTCTAGTAAGATCAACGTTGGTATCAATTATATTTTCATTTTAAGTGCTGAATTTCATTATCAGCAGTACTAATACTTTGCTTTCTTCTACAGGAAGTCCTCCATCAAAGGTTTATGGCAATATTAGAGCAGTGGCCAGCAGAGCAGCAGAAAGGTTTTAAGACGGACAATGTTGGATTTGAAGCTAAATGGATTTTCTGTACAATGACTCGTATACAGAAACAGTGGGACTGAAGAAAAAAGTCTGTGGCAACTCTTCACTCCAACATGGGTGTAGGAAAGACTGTAACTCTGTTCTCCAGCAGACATATTGTCTGATGAGCATATGTAATAAAGATGGCAAGCAAAAGTTTTGCTATAGCCAACTTGCCTAACACCTCAGTGTCTCAAGGTGAATGTCCAATTTGATAATTCTGTGCAGTGATCCCACAACGGTGCTTGTATCCTAGCGGTGTTCGGTAGTAGATGTTGGACCAGTGAGATGTGTGTTGACATGGAAACTCACCTCCACCACCGATACCCCTCAAATTAGAAACTAGCCATAGTCTGTTTACTGTATTTGGACACAATGCACCCAATAAGCTACCCTACAATAATTCTTCACACCCCAGTTTAAGTATTGTGAATACTAAAGATAAAGGTAAAGGGACCCCTGACCATTAGGTCCAGTCGTGACCGACTCTGGGGTTGCGGCGCTCATCTCGCTTTACTGGCCGAGGGAGCCAGCGTACAGCTTCCAGGTCATGTGGCCAGCATGACTAAGCCGCTTCTGGCGAACCACAGCAGCGCACGGAAACGCCGTTTACCTTCCTGCCGGAGCGGTACCTACTTATCTACTTGCTCTTTGATGTCCTTTCGAACTGCTAGGTTGGCAGGAGCAGGGACTGAGCAACGGGAGCTCACCCTGTCACAGGGATTCAAACCGCTGACCTTCTGATCGGCAAGTCCTAGGCTCTGTGGTTTAACCCACAGCGCCACCCGCGTCCCTAATACTAAAGATACTGGGCTTTAAATGACAAGACAGTGAATACTCATTTTTGCATCACCTCAACTAATTTGTTGATGGAGCAGTTAAACTCCCACTCCCCTGAAAGCTTTATGTAAAATGCTGAACACAGTTTAAGTAGTTCTGACAGGGATTGGTTACCATGCTGAGGGGTACAGACCTCACTCCTGTATTGGTGTTCCCCCTGGGGTGCAAACAGTGCTTTTCCATGGGTGCTGAACTTGGTCTTTAGGCCTGCGTACTCAAAAGCCCAGTCAAGAGTGTTGGAACTCTACTATATAATGTACCGTATTTTTCGCTCTGTAAGACGCACCAGACCACAAGACGCACCTAGTTTTTGGAGGAGGAAAACAAGAAAAAAAATATTCTGAATCTCAGAAGCCAGAACAGCAAGAGAGATCGCTGCGCAGTGAAAGCAGCAATCCCTCTTGCTGTTCTGGCTTCTGGGATAGCTGCGCAGCCTGCATTCGCTCCATAAGACGCACACACATTCCCCTTACTTTTTAGGAGGGAAAAAGTGAGTCTTATAGAGCAAAAAATACGGTAACTCAGGAGAAATGTGTCCTATTCTGCATTTCGGAAGTGCTTTCTACTCATGCATGAATGTCATTGCATCCAAGCCAGTACTGATGGCCGGTGTGTGTGTACATTAAATTGTAGTCCAAATTACACCTGAAGCTATGATTAAGGTTTTACATCCCACTGTCTTATTAGTAAGACTATTTATATATCTCCACCAGCTTGCTACAAGTTAGTTTTGTTCAGGAAGTTTTGACTAACACAGTGGCATCCCAAGAAGGTAAGTCAGAGGCAGCTGATTATCTGTCACTGATTATTTGGTGAAATACTGCTTGGGGTTTATGCATAAACACATAACTGGCATATTAAACCTGAAATCAGGGGAAATGTTTTAGTTTTGCATTTACTTGCCTGTTCTATAGAAGCTTCAACAATTCTATGGTAAAGTTCAAATATTTTATTTTTTATTCATACAGTATGAAGGTTCCTATAGTTCCAACTGTGTATGATGAAGCATGCAGAGGAAAATCTAAACATTCAACATAACGCATTTTCCACACACAAACTAAAAAAAAAAAAAGGCTCATCCCCCCCCCCCCCAAAATAAGAAAGTAATGTTAGCACTATTTTTCTATAACGCCAGCCAGGATATGCACAAGCAATTAAGAAATAGAAAGCATTTGCTAAAATGTTTGTAACAAATACTTATGTACAAAAAATTCACAAAAGACTAGTTCCCCCTTGAAGCAGAGCACATGGCAGTTGACACTGGAACAGATACCACCACTGGCTGGGATTCTAAGCCACGGACTGATCCAGAGGAAGAAAGTTACATGTAGTGGAGATTCTCTGTTTTTAACATTTACCAAAGTTTGGCAACATTATCGTTTTAAATTATGCAAATCATGTAAACAAGAGGAACGTTTCAAATCGATCTACATGCAAAACTTCATGTCATGCAAGGACACCAAGCACCTCGATTTCTCTCTTCACAGACAGAGCCCATGATGTGCAGCACTCAGTTGAAGGAACAGCTATGGCAGGCAGGTAGGCAGGCAGCTGATTTTAAGTCCATACAGCCTGCCCTTTCCATTGCCAATTATAAAACCTTTTAAATAGGAAAAACTGCTACACAGGAAAGGGTGCGCTATCCTAAAAAGTCTAATGAATGTTTTTCTTCTAGCCAATAGTACCATTGCAGAAAAGGAAAGGGATGATATAAAGTTGTAGAACATGGCTCGCTACTTTTATATCACACATATAAAGTTACTATCCATTACAAGTCATGATATGGACAAATCTAGAAAAAAAAAAAAACCCTCTCCAAATGCTGGAGAAGAACAAGAGGTATAAATTTAGATAAAGTGAAGCTTTCCTCCTTCCCTATGGCATTGGTTAATGTTTCCCCCGTAATATCCGTAATAATCCTATATACACATATATAAAATATTACCAGTTTATTTATGCAACTTGGAACTACTACATTAAATGCATAAAAGAATCTATATGGTTGGGACATAACTTAATGGCAAGAAAGGTTTTATAGTCTCACTGTGCAATGGGAACTCTATACAATTGTCTTGTTAATCCTAAATTCTTAATTAAGCTAAGTGCTGAGAAACAAATGCAAATACTTTCAACTGTTCTATCTAGACTTAATGGATCACAGCTGATGCTTACTAAGGGTATATTATGTGCAACTGCATCCATTTAGTAAGTGAAGGGATGAAATGGCCATAAGCATCTTTTAAATCCTATTTGCACACAAGGACTAGTTCTTGGCATTAACATTAAATTACATTTTCTCATCCTAATAAGTAGAATTGTACTGAGAGCTATCGAGCAAAGATGCAGTCCCTGGTAATATATCAACAGGTATATAAACAAACTTCAGTTTCCTGTCTTACAAAAATGTAATTAGGGAAATTAACAGGAAACAATGCTTTCTCTGCCAGTCAATATATAAATATTTGAAATAGTCACAGGAAAAAGGAAAGAGTTGACCTAACAACCATTTAAAACTTTACATTCTTCTACTATATATATATAAAACTGTGTGACATAAAAGTAAAGATGTATATCCATATATTGAACTGTTAATGTTCTGCTTGGCACTTTGTACTCTATTTTTGTTTCTGAATCAAGTATATTAAATTAAAGCCCACTTAACTACTACATATAGAAAGCTACATATATATCTATATATAAATACACACATATATATAGATAGATATTTTCTTGTTATAAAAGATGAGAAAAATAAATTAAAAAGCCAACCCCCTTCCCTTTCTCCACCACACTGATATGCTCTTTCCATCTTGCTGTCCTTCAGACTTTAAAGTGCTACACTTGAGTTATTGAGAGAATAAAAGTTCAATAACACTTAGTTGGCTTCATGAGGCTCATGTTGGAAAATGTGGCTTCACAGAGAAAAATACTTCCATTTAAATACACAGAGAGCGTTGCTGGACGTCTTGAGCAGATCTTCAGAGATGGAGAAGAAAGCAAAAGTGTTGGGTGGTGTCCTAAAGAGTCACACATCTACCACCATCTTTTTGTGGATATCTAGGCCTCCTACAACCTGAAATGTTGATATAAGAATATTATATGAGAATTCACAAGAGAGTAGAGTATCGGCTGGTAATTAAAATCAACTGATTCTGATCTGCTCTTCACAGAAATAGACTCTCACCTCAAGAAAGGTCAGTTTCCATAAATTCAGGGTTGTAGTTGTGGAACAACTTCTGTTCACGCAAAGATACCTCCCTCTTCCTCCCACATGCCTCCAGTGTGCACACCCCCAAATCTGCTCTGGGGTTTCCCCCCAACCCTTCAGGGATTATGTGGGCAGAAGGAAAGGGAGGCAAAGTTCTGTGCATGAGCAGAAATCTTTCCATCGAAGCAATGGCTTCCTTGGCCACAACCCTAAGCAATGAGTCAAAAACAGTATGCAAGACAGTTATGGCATTAAAGGTCTGGCTCGTGGGCCTAATTGGGCCCTATATGGGTGCCAATTTGGCCAACGATACCAATTAAAAAAAAAAGACCACCTGCCAACATATTAATCCAAGTGGGTATAATTAGCACAGAATCAAGTGTGGGGCAGGTAGAGATATTGTTGCCAGGATACAACTGGGAGCCTTAAAAGTGTGTTCTCAGTTGTAAATTGATAATGGAGGCTTGCTGATCGGCAGTGAGAGAAAGCCTGGGGACAGCTAGGCTACAGAGTTCCCCACAGGCTGCGGACTGTGTGAATAGTGGGGCAAGAGGGGCTCCAGTGGGCTTTAAAGCCACTGCCTATCAGCTGACAGGTTGAGACTTCAAGCCCACCGGACAGGCTGTACAACTGAGTTCTCCATGGGAACATGGTACAGGAAACTGGCTTGGAGTCACAGCCTATCAAGCTGTTGAACAGCAACTTCAAGCAGCGATTGGCTTGTATTTCCTTTTGTAGTATGATCTGCACGCTGCAGAGGAAAAATTGCTCGCCTCGTGTCATAATGACATCAGGCAATTGACAGGTGGGCAGTCTAAGTGGCCTGCCCACCCCTAAATTACCAAGTGGGTATAATTAGCACAGAATGAAATTACAATTTAGTTTTGCAACAGATTCTTGTAGCCAACCTAATTTTTCTTTTTTTTAAAATAATATTTATTACTTTTATAGATTACAAAAAGAGAAAAAAGAAAAAAAAAAGAAAAAAAGGCAAAGAAGGAAAGAAAAAACAAAAAAAAATACAATATATAAACAATGCAATACACAAGCTAAACTCAAAACTATACACATTAAACTAAACTAAACAAACCCCACTCCCTAAACTTAACCCTAAATTTTCTCACATCTGAAGACCTAAAACATTTGAATGTGGGGAAGCTTTAATCTATGATAAATGAAGCAAGCAGTAGCAGGAGGCTATTTATGTCAAGTCTCCAGAATGCCCATATGATGTGAATGAAAAGAACTGCCAGAGGACAGTTGAGTCAACAAGGAGTCTTAAAATGGGAAGGGCTTAAAGCAAAATTAATACGTTATCCTGTAAAGAATTTAAGACGAATGTCGAAGAAAACAATGGAATAAGTTAAATGGGTTATTTTCTAGGAAATAACGACATCATCTGCAAGGGCAAAGTTGAAAATGAAAAATGTGTATATGAACATACTTTACTAAAAATGAACTTACAGCACAGAATTCCTCAAAGGATATTCTTCCATCACCATCTTTATCTGCATTTATTATGGTTTTGTCTACAATTTGCTGCAACTGGGTATCTTTGAGATTGTTCCCAACCATCATCTTCAGAACCTGGAAGAGCTCCCCGTTGGAGATATAGCCATCTTTGTCCATGTCATAGATACGGAAAGCAACTGCAAGATAAGAAAAGCTCAGTAGCAAATATGACTTCTGTGGCCCATTCAATGTTTTCTTTCTCTCACACGCTGGTGATACCCTTTCTCCTTTTCTGCACTGTTTTCTATTAACACAACAGACTTATTCTGATTGTTTAATAACTTCTGAGCAGTTGAATGTTCATAAATCATTCTTTATCTTAGCAGCTAAGTCAATGAGTATTTATTTATAGCATTTATTTATACCATTCATTCAGTTTCCTAATTGAAGCCAAGGCTCTTACTTTCACCACTTAGTGAAGTTCCAAAGACAGAAGATCAACTTTCTTTCAGGTATTTTTTAAAATTTATATTTTAAAATTTATATTTTCTTTGGAAGAGTGAAGAAGAGACTTGACAGGAACATTTTACTGCAGATCGGTGTTACACACTTCATCTAGACATCTTGTCTTTTTACAGCCATATCGGGTATCAGAGATATATGAAAAAATAGCTTCTATTAGATCAGCTGTGCCATTTCAATCCTAAACACTGTATAATGTCACCGTAATTGTCTGGCTACAAAGTGATTGGCGTACTCCCTTTCAGAGTTGGTTACATTGGTTACATTGGTTGAAACCCTAAACCCAATTAGCTGGAAATATGTTTCACTTATATTAGTGGGTTTTAGTTCTAACTAAACATGTTGAGATGGATGGGTTGCATGGGTAGGCAACCTAAGGCCCAGATCCGGCCCAATCGCCTTCTAAATCCGGCCTGCGGGAGATCCGGGAATCAGCGTGTTTTTACCTGAGTTGAATGTGTCCTTTTATTTAAAATGCATCTCTAGGTTATTTGTGGGGCATAGGAATTGGTTCATTCCCCCCCCCCCAAAATATATAGTCCGGCCCCCCACAAGGTCTGAGGGGCAGTGGACCGGCCCCCTGCTGAAAAAGTTTGCTGACCCCTGCTGATCTAGAGTTGTCCCGTTTGCTCCCAGGCAGGGTCTGGGAAAACAATTTTTACCTGTTAAAGGTAAAGGTACCCCTGACCATTAAGTCCAGTCGCAGATGACTCTGGGGTTGCCGCGCTAAGCTTGCTTTACTGGCCAAGGGAGTCTGCGTACAGCTTCCGGGTCATGTGGCCAGCATGACTAATCCGCTTCTGGCGAACCAGAGCAGCGCACGAAAACGCCGTTTACCTTCCCGCCGGAGCGGTACCTATTTATCTACTTGTACTTTGACGTGCTTTCAAAGGCCCCAATACCACCTCCCACACTGTTCCAGAGGGTTCCCCAACCCTATGAAGCAGCTTTTCAGAGGGAAGGAGAAACTGATAAAGCCTTCTATGCTAGGACAGCTTTAAGTCTGAATTCTCTAGTGGGGTGTATATCTATATGGGTGGCTGCGGGGTGGAGAAATCATTCTATGCTTTATTATTGGCAAATGACACAATATTTGCAGGCACAGTATTTCATTGTGTAAAAAACAAACAGGGCCAGAAAAGCTTTAGTGATGCACCTACAAATCTAAAACACCCACTAAGGTACTTTCAATTACAAAAAAAAGCAACTCCTAACACAAAGCCTGTGTATTTCACCTTGAACTGTACAAAAGATTTAGTATGTTAATTTTCCATTCTTCACATAATTAAGGATTTTCAAATGATATTCAAGTTATTTCAAAGTACTTACTGTTTTATTACAGAACAGACATCTCAATGATGATTTTCTTCTCCACCCCCCCCCCCAACTGCCCAATTGCAAACTTTATTTGCCAGCTAAGGAAATATCTGATACTTACACCTCAACTTCTGTTCCTTGTCACCTTTGACACTGAACTGAGAGACTCCTTCTATAAATTCTATAAAGGCAAGAAGAACATTTATAAAATATTTTACATATTACATAACATACAATTACCCCCTCTGGACTTCAGTAATGCATGTCTAGCATTCTCTCGAAGTAAGTCAATCCTGAATGTGGTCTGCCTAGGTTGGTCAATGTTTTTGTGTGCTACAACATCCTATGGGCTTCACAATACTCATAAAAATCTCAGCTTTCATTTAAGATATGTAGAGTGCTTCCAGGTGGAATTGATGCTACCATAGACTTTTTGCAGTGTCCACACAAAGTAATTTAAAATGCCAGTCAATAGTTTTTCTTGGATTGATTTCCATTTATCCATTCTGCAGAGAATATATACACAGTCACTGCTAGTGTGATAGCTCCTTTCAGGTTGGTGCCCTATTTCACCACATGCTTGGTAATGTTTTGGTCAGTGGCCCCCTATCACCATACCCTTACTTCTGTTTGCTCCTCACGTGAGCATAACCTAGCCATTCTCTTCTGATGCGCCTAACTACTTCCACCAACTACCACCTTCAGAAGGCAAATTTCAGAGCAACTGTTCTCTCATGAGCTCTACAAAGCATGTAGGGGATTACTCCTCAGAGACTAATCTCATTTCTAGTTTTCAAAACAATATAGTGGGGTGTTGTGAAAGACCTCTTAATCACTCTTCTTAAAGCCTTAAAAAGGTAAAGGATAAAGAGACCCCTGACAGTTAAGTCCAGTCACGAACGACTCTGGGGTTGCGGCGTTCATCTCGCTTTACAGGCCGAGGGAGCTGGCGTTTCTCCGCTCCACAGACAGTTTTTCCCGGGTCATGTGGCCAGCATGACTAAGCTGCTTCTGGCGCAATGGAACACCGACACCACAGCAGCGCACGGAAATGCCATTTACCTTCCCGCCGGAGCGGTACCTATTAATCTACTTGCACTTTTTGGTTTGCTTTCGAACTGCTAGGTGAGCAGGAGCAGGGACCGAGCAACCGGAGCTCACCCCATCACGGGGATTCGAACCGCCGACTTTTTGATCGGCAAGCCCAAGGCTCAGTGGTTTAGACCACAGTGCCACCCATGTCCCTCTAAAAGCCTTAGTTAGGTAAATTAATAGTCTTGGACAAGACCTCAGTATCAATTTATGAAGAAAAACCAAATGGAAATCATTACCCCGCCCCCTCCACACACACCCCTGCTTTCATTTTGCCCATTGTGGAACATGCTAACACTTATAATGTTCACAATTGTGCTCTTTTGCACTTCTTGGATTTCTTTTTAAGGTATCTGTGCACAGGGATAGAAATATCTGCATGCATGACCAGAACAAAAAATGTTAGCAAAGGGCAGGGGAATGACTGAAGGAAATGAGAGAAAAGCAGTCTACATATGGTTTCATCAAGCTCTGCCCACTCATGGGGACGGCAGGTGGTGTAAAAGCAAGGAACATCATGACTGAAAGAATGAGAGTGTGTGGATAATTGTGTGACCATTGTACACTCAAAAATTGAATCTGAATAAGAAGTTTTTGAGGTAACGCCCCCAACTAAAAGCACCCATAGTTTCCAACTCACAGTTAGAGGCTTGATATTATGACAACTAAAAGAGGTGGCAATAAAGAATGAAAACAACCAAAGTTGACTGCATTTCCGATGCTATGACTTCTAAGTCCCCCACCTACTCCCTCCAAGGTAAAAAATATTCTACATTTTAACAAGGGAGGCAGACAAGCATATATTTATAGTCACTATAGTTTGGCACCAGTCAAATTCAGTAAAAATATGTAGAAAAACTGCATGTGAGCAGCAGGCCTCGTAACTATTAAACATAAATAATGTAGTTTTTAAGTGCTGAAGTCATCCTTCTAATTTGTAATATTGTGGCTTTTCATTAAAATGCTGCACACAAATGACACTTTAATTGCAAATCCTAACCTTATCCAAAAGCTTGAAAGTATGTCAAGGCTGAATTAAAAGTAGGTGGTGACTTAAAATATACAAATGTAAGTGTCCTGCAATATAAGAACATAACAACTAAAGGGCTTCCATAGTTATGCACATCTTTGATACTTTATTGGGTGGAAGAATACCTTCAGGCAGAGCAAATCAGTATAGCTGGGTTGTGCTCACTGGAATATCTAGTTGTAGAGTATTAGGACAGACAGACCCATCTTCAAATGTGAGGCTATTGTTTACCATACCTAGCATGCTTTCCCTTTAAAACTGAAGGGAGAAAACTTCCTGAACTCCTTGCTTTGTATTGCTTCCATAGTTTTATTTGAACTGTTTGTCTCATTTGGGAATGGTTGTGTGCTCTGTTCTGGATAGTGTTGCATTCCTCCTGAATGATCAAGTTCATTGCTTGAAGGTGCTGTTAGATGCAACCCTATCTCAGGAGGCCAAAGTGTCTTGGTAGTGCAAATAAGTGGAATATAAATGCTTAAAATAAAATATACTCCAGGTTATTATTTCTCTTCCCTTGTTTAAGGGGGGGGGGGAGAATGTATGGATAATACTGTTCAGATGTGCATATGGGTGAAAGGATAATCCTATTAAGGCCCCAGATTTCCACATTACCCAGGTACTCTGGGTAATAACTTAAGCCAGTACTAGTATGAAGGAAAGCTGCTCATTCCTAGACCCTGCCCCCTTGGGACCTATGCTGCAAACAGAAAAATTAGAGGTAAGATTTGACAAAGGAAACAAGGGCATAAAATGATGATTACTACAATGAGATTATGAATTGCATATTATCAACTCACAGACCTAAGCCACTATCTGTATACATGCACGAGATCCAGCCACTGTTTGCAGAAAAAATGTATTATTTTGGTGGAGCAGCTATTTATGTTTTTGAAATTCACATCCTAGTTAAGGTCAGATATTGACCAATTTTAGAATTTAAAATAAGAGCTTCAATGTTCACATTCTAAATTTTGTGTGTCAAACCCTGTAGTGACAAGCAATAACCAGTGAAGATTACTATAGCCAAATATGTGAGCTAAGTTTCTGTCATGTAATATATCACCCAAATTATGACTCTGTAAAGCTCCTTTAAGTAATATTGAATTAATGGGAAAATTAAGAATATGTTTAAAATACCTCCCATTGAAACAGGAAAAAAATTGCTGAACCTTTGCTGGATTATGACTTTCTTCTAACAAGCCTAAGTAAGTAAAAGCCAAAATATGTTTTTAAATATATTCTGGCAGTTAACAGCCTCACAAGTTATCAGCATTCACAATCGTATGCATGCCTACTCAGAAGCAAACCCCTCTGGGTTCAAGGGACTACTCATAAGTATGTGATAAAACTGCAGCCTTAGTCACAAGTCAGATCTTAAGGGAAATGATCTTACATAATACCATTATTTAAATTGGTACGTTCCCTATAATGCTATAGGAAAGACAACTTTCTATGCACTTGGAAAATTAGAGGTCCTTCACCAAACACAACTGAGCAGTAACATAAATTTCACAAAATAGTACCCCAAAACGGTGAATATTCCATTTCCTCCTCCTTACTTCATGAACCATTTCCCAAGCAAAGAACCAAATTATCACGCATATTCTATGGGATGTACTAATTCAAACAATGCCTGCAATCCTACACACATTTACCTGAGAGTAAGTCTCACTGAACTAAATGGGACTGAAAAAGCAGACATGTATAGGATTGAGCTGGAAAAAACCAAAAAGCCAAGTTTCAGCAGAATGTTCTAACTAGAGTCCAAGTGTGAACACACTGCTTTCACATATTAAATTTAATATATCCAGAGAGAATGGCTTCTTACCTTTGAAGTCTACCTCTCCATTCCCATCTGTATCGAATATATCTATTACTCGTTGTACCAGTGGATTCTGTTGTAACTCAGGCAAAGACATGAACTCTTCCACACTCAGAGAACCAGAATTATCTAAATCAAGCTTTTTAAACCTCTTTCCCAATCGTTTAATCTCATCTGCATCAACTGGGGTGGAAGGAAAGAGAAAAAAGTATATTGTTAGAAACAGTTCACTGTACTATTTTATATGAAGCAATGACTTACTGTAATGCAGTGGTATTTCTTTAAAAGTATATAGTAACTCTGCATACTTCTATACAAAAGGGTTAGCTTTAAACATTTCCAATTCAAATTGCTCACCTTTTTTCACAGGGCATGCCATGACACATTTAACCTTACAGCTCACTATAAACTACAGTATGCTGACTCAAATGTTCAAAGGAGTGATAATACTAGCTAATTCTAGTCACATGGCTGCTCAACTATATAAACATCCATCCTGCTTTATCATAGACTCGCTCTGTTAAACTGTATATAACATCATCAAGGATCTTCAAAAAGGAGTCAGCTAATAATCATTCAAAAAGAAATTCAATCATTTAAATCTTGTATCAATTTCAATTCCTTGTGATTAGGTAGAAATACAAAAGGTGCTATTCAGATACTAGCTTAGATTGCATTGAACTGAATTCACCACAGCTGTCTTTTCTGCAGGAGAGAAGAAAATCAAATCTGTTTTCTTGATTGATGGGATGGGCATGGTCTCATTCCAGGACCTCATTTCTGCATGAGTACTGAAAAACTTCTAAGTCTGGCTAAAAAATTTCCATCAAAAGGTGGAACACAATCGATTTTTAAAAGTTTGTTTAAACTACAACTGTTACAAGAAATCAACACCTGAAAAGTTGCAGTCACAATGAAAGGCAGAGTAAAACAGTTTAGCTTTACTTGCCATGCATCTAACAGGGAAACAAACCCAAACCTGCCATATAGCAGTTTATTAATAAAGATGGCTGCAGAAAATGCTTTGTATTTACAGTTTTACTTCTCCTTTGAACAGAATTCAAATGTGTCTGTGAGAAAACAAGGAATTCTCATATTGAAGAAGGTAGTTTGAGAGAGCAATTCTAACCCTCTGGTGTTTGTTTCTGGGGGGTAAAATGAAGCCCAGGCTCACTAGTGATGGGGGAGATGATTCACCCTCAAAAAGGGTCTGATCTGGGTCCCTTGGCACCACTGCACCTTGGCACCACTCCTCAAAACATCCCCCCATTTTTAACCCAGAATTTTGAATGGGATGGTGGTGTGGCTCAGCTGTTCCAATCATTCCCTAGATAAGGGTTAAGATTGCTCTGTCTGAATATGGACAGAGTACTAATTCTAGCAGAACTTTATTCTGTAATTTTCCCATAAGAGTTACATAACATTTTTAAAAAGATTAAATGTATTATGCAAATAATTAAAAGGGCTGTCAACTGCAGTCAGTCAATTCTGCTGTAATAAAAAAAAACCTCATACTGCCTTCAGAAGACACCAAGCTTTAGGTGTCTAAAGTTGAAGTATAATTTGGAGCTAGGAAACCGCCTACCTCTTTGTATATTTATGCTGTTCAAAATTTATGAAATTCATGTGCAGGAGTAAGTACTATGATGAAGATAGAACTTATTAATTCTTGTTTCAAATCAAAACATAATAATGAATTCACTGGTGATTTTATGCAGACCACCATTTGTGAAAATAAGGTGAGCCATGCCTATAGGAATATTGTAGGAATTACTGTGAAAGATGCATTCCTGCACACCATTTCGCTTCGAAACTGCTCGATTTCAATGATTGTGTCAGGATACAGGAAAATAAAGTGATCCCCCTCAGTATGTAGAACTTCATGAATCAAGGCCAAAAGACTACAAGAAACCAGTGCAGATGCTTGAAACCTAGATAGTGCAACTTTGTGATTATAAATGACAGAAGGCAAGATGTAACCTTGTTTTAAAGGTTTACAATTTAAAAATGGATCTTTGATAAATTGGGAAGTGGGAGAGAACTCAAAGGAGCTGGGCCTGTTGGCTAAAGACTGAAAGGGTACCCAATAAAACTGTTCTGTTCTTTAGTTACATTCTTATGTCATAGAATCATGTCATATTCAAGAAACCCAGAAGGGTGTCTTAGCCTAAAAACCGGGGCTGTGTAACCAGTTTGTGCTGTGCATGGGGTATTTTGGCCCTATTTTTGAAAGCACAGCTGTTCTCTTGGTGCGTGTAATTCTTTCCTATACTACCAGGCCCTCATTCTATTACCAGTGGTTAGTTTATTGTCTTGTCTCTCTTTTTTGTTTAGATTTGCAAATATTAGTTTTTCCTGATCACCATCTCAATTCTGGAATCAAGTCTGGATCGCATCCGGGCCAATCCGGATTACCAAATTCATATTGAAATGCGGGGGGGGGGGGGGCCTGAATAGCCCTACTAATACTGTTGTGTGTGTGTTGAAACATACAGTGTCAACATGAGCAGTGTGTCTCCGTGTAAGGTGGAAGCCCTGTCTGGCAAGATGATTCTATGTGGAGGGCAGATACATTCACAGGTCTCAGGCTATATAGGAGGTTTCTGAACAGCTAGCATGACAGATGATGTACCGGAATAGATGCACATTCTGCACATTAGCATGGGTTTTTAATTGCTGGTTTAGACTCTACCATAAATACTTAAGGGTGCAATTCAATGTTGTGCAAGCGTACTTCCACTTACACAACGGGATTTCATCTCCCTCTCCCCTCACACACAGACACAGACACAGACACAGCCCCGCTCCCAACACACCACCAAGATCTGTTCAATCCCCTACCCTTTGAAATTGATTGTGAAGTGTGAGGACATCATACTGTGCAAGTGGAATTCCATTCTGCTTGTGCACAAACGTTGTTGGATTCAACCCCAAGTATTCACTTGAAGAAGCATACATTACAAGGATGCAATAACTAAAAACTGCACTAAGACATAATTTATAAAATTATGAAATAAGTTATAAAGATGTTACAATTACATTATATAGAGCCTTCAAAATCATAGCTTAGTAGAAAAAAGTGTTAACGTAGCTTTGAACTTACAATGTGAGCACATTTCCAGTGGGTAGCTTGCCTCATTTCCCTGAAAAAAAAAGGGGGGAACAAAGTTAAAAATGCACCTTTATAGACTCTTTGTGAAGTTAAGTAATAATCTTTTATATACCTATTTTTGTTTCCTGTTTTTATTTTATAAAACCACATACACCAGAAATTTCATTCTAAGTCATTAATAGGTAGTGGTGCCACCTCTGGTTGCTGCCTTCTTGGCACAGACCTGCAACAAGGCCTTCTCGGAAGTGATTGTCTGTGGAATCTCCTTCCTGCTAAGTTGTATCCCTCATTAGTGACTATTCAAAAACATCCTATTTAATTAAGCATTTGATGCCTGAAAGTTACAGGATATTGTAACCCTGAAATTAATAACTGTGAGGTACATTATTATTTAAATGTTTTTAGATGCTCTAAATGATTATTTTTAAATATTTTTAACATTTTTATTTTTTATTTAAAACTGCATTATTTTAACATTTTGATGTTTGTCACCATGGGCTCCTTTGGGAGGAAAAGTGGGACAGAAACATAATAAATAATAATTCCTGATATACTGAATTTATTCCCAGGAAAAGCATCAGCAGCTAAGAATAAAATTCCTAATAAAATATTAAATCAATTTACATATAAAATATGTAAGAACAGAACAGGTCCAAGTCTAAATACATCTCAAGATTTACATGCTATATATGGAAAAAACACCCTGAAACACTATAAGTACTAGCCAACCAGGTAATACTCAAAGTACACTCACTAAGATCAATGGATTGCAGTAACAAGCCCATTTATTTCAATGTGTGCACTATGAGAATGCCTTAGATAGATGTTATTGTATTATGACATTTCCAGAGCTGTTTTCAGCAACACCTCTCAGGTAAGTGCCATTGTCATTATAAGAGAATAAGGGAGGTGTTCATGGTGAGTTCCAGCACCTCTTTTTCTAGAAAAATAAATGTTCAATAACCTTTACTGAACATTTGTAAGTAGCCTTTCAGTTGAGTCAGAGCAGAATGCAGAGTTCACGGTAGTCTTGTAACAAAAAAAGAAAAAGACACGAGCTCTTGGCTCCTGAAAAGAATTCTATTTAGGTAATCATTTGATTTAACTGAATCCTCGGATATGCTCTTTTTCCAGGGGTAAAAAGGTAAAGGTAAAGGACCTCTAGACGGTTAAGCCCAGCCAAGGGCAACTATGGGGTTGTGGCGTTCATCTCCCTTTCATGCCAAAGGAGCCAGCATTTGTCCACAGACAGCTTTCTGGGTTATGTGGCCAGCATGACTAAACCACTTCTGGTGTACAATGCTTGTGGTTCTAAAGATTCAGATTACTTCTGAGCTCCTTGCTATTTGGGGAATCACTTGGGGAATGGAAATCTGGGCCTTTAGAACCAACTAACAGTGCTGCCTTTGAAAAAGAGTGCAAGCTTGAAACACCTCAAGCAAGTGAATTAAATAAACAATTCTGTAAATAAACTATAAGCACATTTTTCGTCACCATTTTGATGATGTCACTCTCCCGTCTTCCCACCCCAAAAAGATACCTATCCAAAGAACTGACACTTTGGTGGTGATACATTTTTCCATCAGCTAACAAGTCTTCGCATACAGAATTCACAACCTAATTCACAGCTGGAATCACTTTATCTACCATAGATCCTCCCAATTACCTCTAAGGTGCGAAGGCAATACCACCTGGGCCTCCAAATCCTATAGCTCTGCTCTTACACTTAAAGGTGTACAAGCAACTTGAAATTGCACAACAAGCTATGCTATTTTATTAAATCTGCACACATCCTCAACATTTCTATGTGGCTGGCAGCCAACATAGCTGCTAATTGCAAAGAACATGGAGGTGGATCAGAAGAAAAACACTGCTTTTTCACAGTACAGTTCCCAAAGCCTAATTATGTGCTGAACCTGGGTATACAAAGCTACCATGAGCATGCGCCACCCTTAAGTCATCTTTGAGGCTTTTAGCACAGTAACTGGTCAAAGTGAGAGCCTAGTCAGTGATTTGGATCCAAATATACCCTTCCTGAAAATATCAGAGCTCCTCTGATTGGTGGAAGGGTCTCAAGCAGAGGCTCTCACTGGAGGAAGGGTGGTGATTTTCACCTAGCACCCCTTACTCCTGCAATTCCTCCTCCATGCTACCTCCCACAGTATTCCAGAGGGTCCTTTAACCCTTTTCATTGGTCATTCATTCTCTCTCTCTCTCTCTCTCTCTCTCTCTCTCTCACACACACACACACACACACAGTAACAAATTAGAGTGGTATCTTGGTTCTCAAACTTAATTCGTTCTGGGTGTCCGTTTGACTCCTGAAACTGTTGGCGCAGCTTCCGATTGGCTGCAGGAGCTTCCTGCATTCAAGCGGAAGCCGCTTCGGACATTCAGCTTCCAAAAAACATTCGCAAACCAGAACACTTACTGTATTTTTTGCTCTATAAGACTCACTTTTTCCCTCCTAAAAAGTAAGGGGAAATGTGTGTGCGTCTTATGGAGCGAATGCAGGCTGCACAGCTATCCCAGAAGCCAGAACAGCAATCCCTCTTGCTGTTCTGGCTTCTGAGATTCAGAATATTTTTTTTCTTGTTTTCCTCCTCCAAAAACTAGTTGCGTCTTGTGGTCTGGTGCGTCTTATAGAGCAAAAAATACGGTACTTCCGGGTTTGTGGCATTTAGGAGCCGACTTGTTCGGCAACTAAGCTGTTCGGGAACCAAGGTTTGACTGTATAAAAAATACAACATACCAATAATGGAATAGCCAAAACCAATTAAACACACAGTAACATCTGGAGTAAAAACTCAAAAAACCCCAAATCAAATCTAGTATTAATCCCAAGCACCTGCTTATCACATTGTCACAACAGAGTAGAAGTGTTCATACCCTCTTTTACTCTGTTTAATTTACAAGGATTTGGGTTTGGGGTTTTTTCACTCACAGAGAAACTGCAAAGGATGGCACCAAGAACATTAAAAGTCACTCAAGGATAAAACACACCTATTTCTACAAACACCATAGCACAACTCGGTTATTCGGGAATAACCAAGTAAGTAAGTACTGAGAGAGAAAAGTACAGACACTATCAAATCTATACAGTTTATAATATACTAGGAGTAAGCCCCAATGGATTTAACAGAACTGACTTCTGAGTAGACATGGTTAGGATTATGCTGTATCATGTGTCATTATGGCCAGATCTGCTTTCTCTAGGTGGACACAATTCATGCATCACCCCAAACTGAGCAAATGCAGGTGTGCCTACCATACAGCTGTACATTGCTTAGCTAGAGTGTAGACCAGTGACTATGTTCAAACACTGTGCAGCTTTTTTCCCAAAAATCCACATTAGGGAAATATTTTTATAAAGCCAACCAAAATATCACAAGACAGGGTGCAAGCTTTTGTGTTCTCCGGAACTCTTTATCATGTTAGATTAGGGATTGTGAATTCATTTCAGCCAGCGAACCTCACTGCCTCATGGGCAACCCTGCATGGGCCCCATACCAGCAGTGGCTGCAGCAACAGATGTGACTTCTATCTTTCTATGGCAAGCTATAGTTCAGTAACATAAACTCAGCAGTTCCTACACTACACCTCTCTATCCAGGCAAGCAAAATACATTACTACAGTTCAAAGACACAGTACAGTGAAGGTAAAGAACCAGACAAGAGAGGCTGGCAGTCTCCATTTGGTCCCCAGGCCTGAGGCTCCACACTTCTGGATGGAATGGTAAACAGAGCAATTGAGGGAAGTGGGGGGGGGGGGAGAAGGTGAGGGGGGAAAAATTTAGTTGATATGAAGCCCTAGAATCTGCATCTGGTCACAGTATTAAGATGGAATGGAAAAGGAAGTTACAGACGTCAAATGGGGTTCTTTAGGTGCAATGCATGTATCAGGTTATAACAAGGTCTTCTGAAAATAAGAAGCATAATAATGTTCAACTCTCCAGACTGGTAATATAGCAAACTCAGAAAAGTGCACAGCTAATGTCATGTTTTTATTTTTCTTCTTAACGACAGAGGAATCTGGTCAAACTTTTGAGGGAGGATGAAAAAGGAGACTTCAAGCAGTGAAGATTTTCTAACCTGATACTGAAAGGTTAGTATTAAGATCACTGAAAACCAGAGGACAGAAAGAGAGGTCTACAGCTGACGGACACTTAACCTGGGGAGCAGTTGTCTATGACTCACTAACTATTTATAGTCATGGAGAGGAATCAACTTAAGACTTGGCTGTAATGCACAGATCTATCACAGCAGTAGATCTCAGGAATGGAGACATCAGAGTTTAAATCATAGGCCCTTAAAATGTTTGACCATTTAAAAGTATTTGGTCAAAGTAAAAAGTATTTACTTTCAACACAAAAACTTAAAGTTCCTCTGAGCTATTTTGCCCTATTATCAGAAACAATGAATGCTGAGGCCTACACATCACTAGGCCACTGTAGTCCAAGAGATGTTTGATTGCCATGACACTTCTTAAAAAGTGGAGAGAAAGAGAATGTGGTCCTTTTACTGAGCAAGCACACGGAGAGAAAAGTTAGGCAACACAAATATTTTAATTTGAAAACTACACAGCAGTCTAACCTATGTGCAATACAAAAATAACAGACAAAAGAAGTTTAGGCAGGATGGCTAATGAACACAATGACCCGCTTGGCCAACCCTTTAGTGAAAAGCAATGCTAAGCATATAGAGAAATATCAAACATACTTTTCATTGATTTGGAGGCTATGTGGTCTACCAAACCATGTTGCTTTGCTGGAATGTGCTGTTACCAACAACCCATGGGGTAGGAATGAAGCTGTACAAGTCAAGTAAGACACCTACGGTCTTCTGCCTCAAAAGAAAAAGTTTCATGTTACCTCATCACATTTTGTTCCAGAGGCAAGTTATACCTCCACACTTTCAAGCAAATTAGGACCTGTATGTAGTGGAGCGTCTGCAACAGGAGCAATCTTTTCTCTTTTAAAAAACACTGACCCCGAGGAACCATTCAGAAGCGAACTCACTATTTTCCTATGATTGCTTAAAAGAGAATTGCATAATTATATTGTTCCTACTCTCTCTCTCTCTCACACACACACACACTAGAGGGGAGTATTAAGTTGAACGTATGAGAGAGATCAATGAACCAACAGAGAAGAATGTGGAAAGGAATGTGGAAAACATGATGCATGGAAACAGGCAGCTTTGAAAAACAGGTCATAATATATGTGAAATTTTCATTTTTACTATTTTACTGTTTCAATGAAATTAGGAAGAAATGCTCCACCTGCTCAAATTACAGCCAAGGAAGTAGAAGCAGTGGATTAGGTATTAGACTGGACTCTTGGTTTCCTAGAATTGATGGATGAGTTGCCATAGTAAAATGACAGTGTCCATCTTAGTGGATATTGTATTGACACATTATCTCAATCAACATGAATCACTCTCCCTCTGCTCCCACAAGAAGCGCTACAGTAAAATTACACTTTGTCACTTCTTGGAATTGAAACTTGGCAGAGAGAAAGGAAGGTAAGCTATTGCCAAAAACAAAACAAAGGAAGGATGTAAGATGATAGTTTTGCCCAACATTTAAGTATTCTTGAATCAAGGAAGAACTTACAAACTTAGTGGGTTTATATGCATTTCACCTTCAAAATAAATTTTAGTTTGTACATCATGTAAACAGCATACTTGTCTGCTGATAATAATAGCTCTAGTTTATGGGTTAATAGGAAAAAACAACACTACCCTCAGTCCAGACATGCAATCTAGAAATTCCAATTTCTGAAAACGTAAAGCAACAGTCCTTACTGCTTTTGGACATTCAACAGAATTCAGTTATAGACTTCACAGAATGGCTATTATATAATGCCTTTCATGGAGACATTCCTTTCATCCACAGAAGACTTTTTGAGCTAATGAAGGAATCTCACCGGTGAAGAGGGTTAAGCAACTTTTGCCAATTTCCTCAGCCCGTCCCATCTGAACTTTGCCATTTGTCTCTATTGCTCTCTGTGTCTCTAAAGCACTTTGTTTTTTTTCCGAAATCTAGCAGCATAAATTAATACTTTATTTATTTATTAAAATATATACCAAACTGTATCAAATCAGTTCACAACAGTAAAAATAAAATAAAACTATACAATAAAAGCATAAAATGCTAAAAAGTTAAAAACAGCAAAGTTAAAAACAAAGATCAGTAACCCATTGTGGGAGATACCTCTTCATTGTCTGCATAGGCCTGGCAGAACAGAAGTTTTCAGCCAGCACTTTAGAGGGAGATTTCCATCTCAACAAAACAAAGCTTTTGGAGAGGTTGAGGATTTGGTGACTGAAAAAGCAAGATCTTGGCTCATGGGGTTGGAAACAAAATGAAAGAAAATGGGGCATCTGTCTTTGGATGTGGGGTAAGAAGTGGTGGGTCTGGATTCTGCCTGCTTCACCGCCTCACCTGGAAATGGGGTTTGTTTGGGGAAAAGCTCTCTCTGGAGGGAGGGAGAGATGGCAAGGTAGCTGGGGATAGTTCTGAGCCGGCCAGATAATTTTTCCCAAGAGGAGAGAAATTAATGACATCCCTTTTCTGAACTTGCTACAATTCTTAAAATGCACATTTTGGCCAGACAGTTATGATCAACTCCTAGTCTTAATTTCAACGTCTGTTCTCAGTCTTACAAGAGCTTCTTTTTGTCAAAAGCTCATACTAAATTATTCCTCCCCACTCCAGAAGCCAGGCATTCCCTTTAAAATCCTAATTTATCAACACTCGATACAACAGTACAATGGTTTGAAGGACTGGGAAACAAGTTGTGAGCTCACACACTCCCTCTTTCCCCATGACTGCCTGTTTAAGGCTACCCCTAGTTTGTTGTGGCAGCTAAACACCAAACCATGAGTATCGCTTGCCCTCTCTACCAAAGTGGAAATTTATTTCAGAACTATGGTTTCCGCTGATGGTTTGGAGAACAAAGCAAAGGGTAATCTATAGTTTTGAAACTCAGATGTCACAGCAAACTAAACAGAAAAAGAGATGGAAGTTGTGTTTGTTAATGATGTAGAGCAGTGGACGGCAACAGTAGCTGGCCACAGGACTTCTGAGGAGAGGGGGGAGGAGAGAAGGCTGAGGGAACACTCCACAAGGGAGGGTGTTTGAAAAAGGGTGACAGCCTGGCAGCTCTGCAAGCAAGGGGTGACATAACTGGGCTCCTGAGCCTTCAGGGTGCTGCAGAAAGAATGTAGTTGGTGAAAGGAGCAGTGGACTCAAAAGGTTGAAAACCTCTGATTCAGAGAATAATTTAAATTAAGATGTCAGGTTTAGGCAAGATCTGAGGTTTAAAAAACTGATAAACTGTATATAAAGAGAGCCTCCTGGTAAAGATTTTAGATTAAACAATCGCATGTCAGTCCAAATTTAATGGTTATGATTTTCACCAATAAATTAAAATAAGTGACCTTCTGTAAGTGACCTTCAGTACTAAAGGAATTCAAATGAAGATTAATACCTCTTGAACAGAGCATTTAAAAATGTAGACATCAGAGATAATGAACCACGGCAAAGGGGATTGCAGGATTTAGGATTACAGCCAGGATCAGGTCAGGTTAAAGCTGTTACAGCATTCAGCCACTGTTACGCTTCAGCACCAATGATTTTTAGTCTAGTTGTGATTATTGCATGCTTTATTGAACTAGGAACAGCTTTTTTACTTCTTCGACTTTCCTAAAATAACTGGCAATGTCAAGATCAACAGAGGTTTTGTGGGAGCTCTAGAGAACAAGCATTTATGAGGAGGAGGAGGAGGAGAAGAGGGAGACTCTATATTCAGTAATCCCACCCTCCCCAGTGTCAGCTCCAGAGCAGGGTGTTTTTTGGGGAGGGGTTAGAGGGGGCAGAGGGAGTAATCACCAAAATCATCCCTCCATTCATTCAGTTACTGAGGTTGAGTCTGGATCCCACCCAGGGTAGTTTGAGAATCTTAACAGTAGTGTATGATAAACACAAGAGTAGCTATTTTGTAGTTACTTTTCAAAACACTTCTTTACAATCCTCTTATGACATACTGTGTATGTGGCTCATTTTTGTCTAGGATTAGCTCAAACCAACTAGCAGCTATTTTAAAGGAAGCACTGAACCCCTGTTCCTGCCATGTAGTACTTTGGGCCACCTAATGCAACTCCTGCTTTTATTGTCATTAGTTAAGTACAAACTACACTTAATTCAGTGGCTACTGCCAGGAATTTTGGCTCAAGGAGGGTGGAAGAGATAGAACATAGGATTGTGCTTCTTTCCCTCCTAATTTACTATTGCAAGAGCCTAAGAGCAGGAATCTGTCTTTTTTTTGCTTACGCTACTCTGTAAACCAACACACTGGTAAAGTGAAAGTAAAAGATAACTTACCTGACTAAATTCCAGAATCAGGTTTGGTTTACCCCATACTGAATCACAGATGTATAGTTGTGGGTTGTTGTTTTTTACATTTTATTTGTTTTTTACACAAACCAAGTTGAACATTAACAATAAAAATAAATAGCAATAGTAAAGGTACAAAAATTCAAAATGAATAATGTTTTTCATTGTATTATAATTTCTTGTGTATAAGATGCTTACTAACTTTTTTTATCCTAACAAATCCTCCAAATTCACCATGTGACTAGCTGAATACCTAGTTAAGCTGATTTCACCTACAACAATGCTCTTCCCCCAAAACATGAGCTTACAGACACCATCTTTTGCACTAAGCAAGATTGATAAATATTCTAATAGCAGGCTCTGGTAACAGAAAATGAAGGCTGCCACAAAGCTGCCACTTACTGCAGCCTTTGGACAAGAAAGTGATTATGTCAGAAAAGGAAGCCAGAAAGCGTGCTTTCAGCATGCTCCTATATTTAAAATGGAGTTGCTTACCTGGGCTTTCTCTCATCACTGGGCGACAAAGGTAAGAGGAACCAATTCATATATTAGCATTAAGAATGTACCCTTTTTGAGTTGAGCCAAGTTCAGTAACATGGGTGAAAACCCTAATATTCAACAAGCTTTTCTCACATGGTTAACTTTGACCAGACCCATATGGGCAATGCTTCACTTCTCTGATCAACTATGTGTAGCACAGTATGCCTAAAACCACAGCATCAGGATAACAGAGTGTCCGAGCTCCCCCTGACTGAAAAAGAACTGGAACTCACAACTCCAGTTTTGCTGAAGGTTTTTCTTTTCAGACCAGACTGGTACATAAGGCAAGTCACAGGTTACAGGAGTCAGTGGGTATAAGAGAGCCAAAAGGCATGGCTAAGCATGAGCTAAGATGTTGAACCAACAAGCTACACATCCCCTTTGAAGAGTGGTGCAAGCACAGCAAACAGGTGAGTTCCTAGACTGGACAAGCAGTCCTTCTACTGGGTTAGGTTTGAACATGCCAGAGATTCTGTGTTCTAGGAAATGGATAAGGGGTAAGGACCAGCTCAGCATCTGAGACTCCCAGCTACCTCCTCAGGAGATGGCTCTTGTGCAACCAGGGGAGGTACCAGAGGCAGCTCCTTGGCCTGCAATGCTTGGGCAGGCATATCTGAGGGGTTGGAGACAGTGATTTCTTCTGACAGAATGTGGATCTCCACCCCCCCAAGCCCACTAGGATCACACACCTCTAGGGGTTTAGCCACCATGATTGCAAACACACCAGCAGTGGCGGAGCATCATGCTCTGGCACCGGGGGGGGGGGCGGCGGAGAGCAGGCGGGGGCATGGCTGGCGCGCATCCCGGGGGTGCACTGCCTGCAGGGGCATGACGCCCAGCGTAGGCAGGGGGCAACCATGATGGCACCCCACCGGGATCACGCTGCCGTGGGGCAGTGCACTCCCGCCGCACCCCTCTTCCTCTGCCAGTGCACACCAGAACCCTCTCCTGTGGTACTATGCAAGTGCTAACGTCTCCCCTCCCAAAACCTAGTAGGAGTTCTTTTTACTGAGTCTGTAGTTCTACTAGCACTGAAAAACCAACAATACAATCCTAATAATAACTGTCTATCCTAGCACTCTCCATATTTTCTGGGGAAAGGTGAGTGCACTGTCCCTCCAAAAGTATATTCTTCCAAACCTGTGTGAATAAGCATGTATACAACCATCACCACATACATGCTTTTTATAATACATTTCAGGCTGTGAAGTGGTTTTTACCCCATAAAACAAAATCAGAATTAAAAAGGAGAAAAAGCCTTCTCTGCTTTCTTCAATCTACCCATAAATTTTCAATTTTCAAGAGTGCTCTGCTTAGCAAAGGAATAAGATGTACTTGCATCAAAACTATCTCATGGTTCTAAATCAGAAAACAATAGGTGGACTTGTTCATGCAACACTAAGCCATGGTTAACCACAAGTTAACTCATAGATGACCAAAGAAACTGCAGCTTGCTTCAGCAGCTTGCTTCGTGCATGTTTTTTGTTATTGTCTTCCAGGTTGTCTAGCCTTGTGCCTTTGTGACTTAATGAGCATCCAGGATGGGTGGCCAAACAATCTACACTTAAGAAAGGAACAGTGTTTTGCACATAATGCCAAGCAACAGTTAAAATTAACCAAGGTTTTTAAATCAACAAACAGTGAGTTTGTTTTTTGACAGTAAACAAACCTAGTTAAGCCACTAGGAAAAAAAATCAAATGATTAAACATACAGTAGCTTAATAAACCTTTACTTAAACTGCAATCCTAACTCCACTTACTTGAGAGTAAGCTCCGTTGAATTCAATGGGACCTACTTTGAGTAGACATGGTTAGGACTGCACTGAGTGTTGTATGCAAACCAGGCTATTCTCTTTCAGATAACCTACCTCAAACAGATTTTGAGGGGAATATAGGATAACCACACGTTTGCTAATATAAGCTCCTTGGAGGAATGGTAGGGTGTAATGTGATTAAATAAATGTGTGGTAGAGCTATGGGATATGGCGGTTCCAACAAAGCCTAGAAACCAGTGTTAGAAACTCATATATAAGACAGGCGCCAAATGGCTTCTTAAACTAAGGTTGCAGTCGCCAAAACAGAATGTATACTTGCCATTGGGGGGCAAGATGGCTCTAAAGTCTTATTTTTCAACTGATGGGCCTGATTGTGATTATCAGTTAAACATTTGGCTAGTTAACAGTTAAAACATCTGACAACCTTCAGCTAGATTAAGAACTTTGAGAACTTAAAAAAGAAAAGTCTCTTGATCCAGGGACAGTCCACATATATATATTGACCTATTCCTACCTCTTTTTCTTAATGGTGACCATTCATAACATAGGAATATTCTTCACAACTGTGAGCAGGGCAGTGGGGTGGGGTAAGTGAAGGCAAACTACAACAATCAACTACAACATTTTTCACTGCTCCTACTCAGGCTGCACAGAAAAATGCATTTTGGTTCCTGAAATTCATTCTGATTGTGCATGTAAAATATAACTGATAGAATTCTACAGGATGGGGTATCAGTGTGTGTCAAGATCCAATGATCCCCAGGCATGACTCTCCAGATGACGGAGATGTCAGGTGCCATGCCCAGGCATCTTCACTTGGTTGCAAGTGGCCAATAGTCAGGTGCAAAATGCACCTGGCGCCTTGTTAATTTCAAACACTGCTAGAATCTTCCCTGAAGCCCACCTAGAAACCTCTGTAAGCAGGACAAACCTACCACTCTCCTATTCATCTTTATTTTTGTTGAACAAAACTGAACAGTTAGCTAGTGTGACATAAAGTGCCTGGATGGAACACTGTTGGATATAAGCTGCTCTGATGTTTCTTAAAGAAAAGTAAGTAACATAATGAGCCCGGTACACCGAATTAAAGAGAAATGAGCTCAAGCTGGAGGTCCACACTCCACGATTTTTTTAAAAGAAATCGGATAGAAATACTGATAAATTATGTTAATTTACCTAAGTGTTTTTGAAACAGCCTTGTATTTAGGCACTATCCTGACAACCACAGGCAAGTGCATGACAAATGAACAGGCTGGTGGAGAAGGCATGAAGCACTTCATTCCTCCCCTGTGCCTAGTGTGCCTAGTACAGAAATTGCAATGAGCTGCTGCTCTTCTGTAAGCCGTCAGAAGGCAAGTAACATATAACTAACTATAGACATGTATTTAATTAATTTAGTATTACTTACAGACTTAAAAACTAAAACAATAGTGCTTATAAAGCTAGCCCAAACTGTGAAATCAAGGAAAATTGCTGCCCTAGGCTCCTTTGGGAGGAAGGGTAGGTTAGAAATTTAACAAATAAATAAAACAGATACTAAAGGGTAGTAACAAAAGATATCCATAACACCAAGTGTCTTCTGCCACTGAAGGGCAAGAAAAAGTACATTTAAACTCCAAACATTTACATAAAATTTGGCAGAATATTGCTCTACAAAAATAAAAAAGGCTTTAAGGTACAAAATGCATTTGCTTTGATGCAAAAGGATCATGTATTATTTTTAACTCCCACTGAAAACTCTAATGTATGTGATGTCTTGTTAGGTTCTTCAGTTTTGAATCTATTAAAATGTGGCTAAGGCTTGGAATTCCTGGATCAGTGCTCCTGCATCAAATATAAAGTAAGTTAACTACACTTTTGGAGTTGTGCTTTTCTAGATTTTTGAACTTTGCTCCCATCTAAACATTACCCTGTACTCTTAGCAGCTAAAATTTCCTGATTTTTTGTCTTTCATAATGATCAGTTTTAAACAGTTAAGACATAAATGCAAGACCGAAATAGACCTATTCATACTTCAAAAACATGAAAAAGCTAATGAAATTATGTCATATCTGAGGTTACTTCACTCCGTGAGCATGGTCTGTAGCCTCGAACCTGCTCAGCTTTAAAATTCAGTTCCGTATGAAAAAATCCACACTCAACATCTATTTTCCTCTTCAAGTATACTTCAGTTTGGTATTAATTCCTCATTCCAGTTTTATTCAGGTTGGTCTAACTTGAGAGTCAATGAACAGAGACCTTGACTTTAATCTAGAAGATAAAGTCGCATCTCAGCTACAGACTCCCTATAAATGGAAATAATAGTAGTCTACCTCCTCATAGGACTGTTGAAAGGACAAACATGATAGTAGTAAATTAAAAGGAATATGCTACTTCTGATTCTATTAAACTCACAGAAGAATGGTGCGGCTGCTTGCTGGTGCCGGACCTGCCTGGTACTGGTGTTGGACCTGCCTGGCGTTGCTGCTGCAGATGTAACATAATAGAGATTTTACACTTCTTTTCCTCTATATAAAATATGAGCCATGTGTTCATTTAGAAAGTGTCTTTCCCCCAACCTTTTATACAGATCAGTTTTCCATTCGCCACTACTTTGATTTAAAAACCCAGCCTTCCATTATATTGACTAACTAATAATTTACTGTGGCATGAGCTTTCTTAAGGGATACTTCATCAGATCACAGTTACCTTTCCATGTAGGCTAGCAAACATGTCACAATTTACTAGACCTTTAGAAATACTACTCCATGACTTAAACACTTGCTTATAATGGAAGTAGTTGCCCTGTGCTAGTTAATGTGATTATTTTGAAATAATTACTCATAGTCATTCACATAATAACTAGAAGGTTGGAGGGCTCAGTTCCAAATCCTGTATTTAGAGTCAAAACTTAGCCATAAAAGATATGTGCCTCTAAGCACGACAGAGTAGCTTTTCTTCACCATAGAGCAGTAATGACCAGCCTGTGCATTTTTAGAAATATTATAAAGTCATGCCCCTTAGAACAGGGATAGAATGACATCATTGTTTTCTAAATCAGTCTCTATTTAAAATTAATTCTTTGCATTGGAGAAATGACCATCAATATTAATGCAAACAGAAAGACCCTCTTTTACAAATTGAGCCTGCCTTAATCCCACTCAGTTCTGAAATCTGCTACAATTGCTGGCAAATATGTAGCTCAGTTTTCTTAAGAGTGCTGCACTTTTCAATATGCATGCCTATTTCAGAGCTTGCCACCAGCAGCTATATGCATGCCTACTGTGGACAACAACTGCCTTAAAAGATCACGTGACCAGAAGAGAAGCACCAGAGAGGCAGGAACACTCAATATACACAACATAGTCAGGTGAAACTTAAGAAGCTCTTCAAAGGTAGGAATAATTTCCATCCACAGCAACAGAAAGGGCGCTTCAAACACATAACCAGAAGAAAAGCAATTTTCACATATTTCCCCTCCCATGTAGCAACTTGAATCCTCAAAAAATCTGCTCCCAACGTTTGGGGGACTCATAGGGACAGCATGTGAGATAGTGTCACAGATTAAAAAGGTAGTATGATATAGAATGGAGGAGCCAATTTTCATCTAAGTGGAAGCTTCCATTGGATCACACGCTCTTCCTTTCACTGAAGGACTAGTTATATGAATGGAAGGGAACCCAGAGACCCAATCTGTTTCCTTCAGGAATAAATAAATTCCAAAGTTAAAATGTATTTAACAAAATGATTGCCTGAATTGTGGAAGGTTGCAGAAATGGAGGAAAAAATACTAAGCTGCACGACACTTTGAAATGTAACCATACAAGGTGATTTCTTCCAAAACCAACTCTGTCCATTAGTAGTCTAAATAGACAAAAACAAGTAGGGCCCTGTAACAAAATGTTGCAGTGTAGAGTGCTTCTGTTTAGGGTTTAAATTGCTTCACTCCATTCCTCTTCCCCTTGACCACAATAGCCAGTACAGTGGTGCCTCGCAAGACGAAATTAATCCGTTCCGCGAGTGTCTTCGTCTAGCGGTTTTTTCGTCTTGCGAAGCAACCCTATTAGCGGCTTAGCGGATTAGCGCTATTAGCAGTTTAGCGGCTATTAAAGGCTTATCGGCTTAGCTGCTAAAAGGCTATTAGCGGCTTAGCGGCTTAGAAAAAGGGGGGGGGGAGCGAAAAAAAATCTCAAGACTCGCAAGACATTTTCGTCTTGCGAAGCAAGCCCATAGGGAAATTCATCCTGCGAAGCAACTCAAAAACGGAAAACCCTTTCGTCTAGCGGGTTTTCCGTCTTGCGAGGTATTCGTCTTGCGGGGCACCACTGTATTCTGTGCCCACTGAGAATGCTGCAACATATCTGTGTGCATGCTAGTTCAAAACAGCTGTGAAGCATCTCAAATTACCATTATAGGTGTTCAGCCAAACCCTTCCCACAGATTTGTCCAGATCTAAGTAGCTCCAACAACGCTATGAGCAAATAATCAATAGGCCATGTATTGATTGGCAGCTTTCATACATAGGTAACATCATTAGGAACATCATTATTATTGATACATAGTGGCTAAGGTGCCATGGGAATTTATAACAGTATTGTGCTTTTGGATTTGTTGCTGCATGAGCATAGACAATAAATCTGGTAGGGGCATCAGTGGCAGGGAACAGATTGATCCATCGGCAGCTAGCTGGCACTTACAAGAATTCCAACAATTGGAAATGCATTGCAATTCTAACTTGCCAAGGACCAACTGGAAGTGTATCATGTAAGGTGTGGGGCAAATGGTGAGATTTGGGGGAAACAGCCTCACAGGCCAAATTAGGACCACTGCCTGACAAAATTAAACCTGCAGGCCAGAGGTTCCCTACCACTGCTCTAGTAGCAGACTTGGGTGACTGAATGCCTATCAGAATGGAAAATTAAAAAGACAGATAATGTTTGAGTTTCTCCAAAACAGTGCAGCAATCATCTGCAAGTTTCCAAGGCTGAGGGACTAGAGTTAAGAAAACAACTTATCCAATAGTCTAGTGGGGGAACTGTCAGGTTCACAGTGAAAGCCAGAGACAGTCTGTGTTTGCTGCTACTTTCTGTATGGTAATGTGGGGTGGGAAGACTCTGCTGTCCTCTCATAACTACACTAAATTCCTGGATTTCTCCATAGTTTTCTATGGTCAGATCTCACTTTCACCAAGTGGGTTGGGGGTCTAAATTAGGAGTTAAGAAATCTGTGGTCTTCCAGATATTATCAGAACCTCAACGCTCAATAGCTGCAGCCAGAAGGGCTGCTGAAGAGGAGTAATAGAACATGTAGTCCAACACCACCAGCAGAGCCAGAGATTCTCTTCTTTGGTCTAAAAGGAACCAGAGGTCAGGCAGGCTGTGAGAGTCTATTAAGTTTTATGGTTCAGAGTAACAGAAATACAGATCTTGTAGCATTCAGAGGAAATGGGAGATAGCCACAATCAGCTGAGACACAGAATGCTAAGTGGTGTGTGTCAGTAGCAGGGGCATTGTGAGGCATCAGCACAGCTGCATGACACAAGTTTGTATAAAAAATACATATGCTAATTTCTCTTTAAAGATACAAATTCAGCCTGACTCTTAGACGAAAGGAATATACTCCAGTCACTTGAAATGAGATTTATTCCCTAAAATATCCCTTGCTTTTCATGAGAATGATAAGGATTTGATCCAAAACATGTCAGGTCCACACATATTATAGCAGAGAGAAGCATATCTTACCTTTTCAGATGTTACATCAAAAAGTACAAAACACAGATGCATACTAGTATGTTGGAAATCAAGCAATTAAAGAAAATACTTGTACTAAACTAAAGAAACAACAACAACCCTTCATTGCCTGCAGCATAATTTTGGGTCCTATCCATGAACTCTAAAAGAATATATAATAACTCCACTTTTATACAGCAGACACACCTGGAATATTTCATTTGCTTAGTGGTTAAGAGAGAGGAAAATGCCTTAACCCTCTCTACAGACATTTAAACAGTAGCATTATTAAAAAACCAGCTTGGACTGTGATATTGCCATAGCTCAATTCATCTTCAAAAGGAGGAGTGGGCAGAAGTGGGGTTGGAATCTATCTGAAGGTCACCAGATGATTTGCAACAGATCAGCGCAAGTTTGATTCCTTATTATCAAATAACAAAGAAGCACTTCACCTAAATTTTAAAGTTGATAGCATAGAAAATGGAAACCAAAATCCAAGGCCAACTTTGGTTTATCTTAACTGGAATTAAGACAAACACAAAACAATCTCCAGGGCAAAGGCATTATGAAAAGTTGATTACCAATATATGAAACCTTTTAAGGCAAAACAGTCACATTATAAAAAAAGGACAGGAACACTAGCATTTTCAACTCTTATACTGTTAACTTAATACTTGATGAGAAATAAGTGCCCTTTCAAAACCACAGCCATAAGCAGAATTTATAATTTTCTATAAAGAGGAGTATAGATTCCAAGCATTTCCAGTCAAAAGACTAAAGCTATGTAGCAACAGTATTTTCTCTTCAGGATCTGTAGTACTTGTTCATTATTAAAATTGCTTTGGATGACATGTGGGGGGAATGGCTATTTTTTAAAAAAAATCTTCTGTGTGTATATATATATATATATATATATATATATATATATATATGATCATGTAGGTAAATCGGGGACCACTAACACTGCTATAAAGTAGTAGGTTTGCTACTAATGTTCTGCCTCTAATATTAAATTGGAAGCAATGAGCACAAATATTTGCTTATAAATCGGAATCATCCAAATGTCATCTTTGTTCCACAAGAGCTATCCAACTCAGGTGCACTATCCAGATAACAGCATGCCAAAAGAAAAGGTACAGCGCAGAAATGGACCTATTTAGCAGTACAGTATACACTTCAGCCCTGCCAACCTAGCAGTTCGAAAGCACGTCAAAGTGCAAGTAGATAGATAGGTACTGCTCTGGCGGGAAGGTAAACGGCGTTTCCGTGCGCTGCTCTGGTTTGCCAGAAGCGGCTTAGTAATGCTGGCCACATGACTAGAAGCTGTACGCCGGCTCCCTCGGCCAATAAAGCGAGATGAGCGCCGCAACCCCAGAGTTGTCCGTGACTGGACCTAATGGTCAGGGGTCCCTTTACCTTTACACTTCAGCAGACAATTAAGAAAACCTAAATCATATAGAAGGGAGAAGAAAGGAAGCAAAATCTGGTCACTAGTTAACCAGACCTTGGAAAAACCAGAGAGATTACTAGTGATAACTTGCTACACACCTATTATGCCCTTTGTTCATGAAACAGTATTCCATGAAGCCATAGCAGTTAAAATTGATGCCCACTGACTAACTAGGGAACTTTATTGAGCATTTATTTCCCACCAAACCTAAGTGTCACTAGTAGTAAACCTCTAGTATTATAAAAACTGTCAAAAATGACTTTGGATAAGATTTATGAATAATCACATGCAGTCAGAATTAAGGAACAATAACAGCTTGTTCATATATACAATTACTACTGCTGACTATTAGTAAAAAGTTATACACAGAGTATAGAACACAGATCCGGTCCAAAAAAGCATGAAACTACTTCCAAGAGTCCAAATGGATTTTAGGTTTCTTTTGCCTGTCCAGAAATCCCCTTGTTGTGTCAAAACAAACTGAACAAGAAGCAAGACTTTCTCTATATAAAAAATCAGTTTATAAAAAATAAATACCAAGTTTATCTTAAATAATAATTTGTTTAATTATCAAATCATATCTATAAAAGCATGTTAGCCTCTTACACAGAAAGCTTTTGTGTGCAAAAGCTGAATCAGTCTGTCAATTTCTCAGATATGAATATTTATGCTCGTACTTACTAAACGTAAGAATTTCATTTCCACCTGATGAAATCAGCCTGTCTGCCAAAGAACTATCAGTCATGGGCATTTTATCTCTTGTTTACCACCTTCTTTTTATGAGGCTACGCTAAGGCAAAGTGAAGCAGAAATGAAAAATATTGAAAAGAAGGTAACATCCTCCAGGATTCAGGTTCCTATATTCCCATACTTTCCATCTTTCAAACTGTCAAGGCTATTCGTGTTAAGAAAGTTTTATAAAATAAATATATTAAAGACACTGGGTTGCATACAACACTGTCTACAAGTGAGCTTAACAGACTTCTGTTTGCGCAATGGAACTTTGCAGTCCCCCCATCTCTCCTACAGTCCTCTGCAAACCCTAAACATCTACTCTAACAGATTTTGGGGCTGTGCAGGAGAAGAAGTGAATTCCGGTTGTGCAAACAGAAGTCTATACACACACTAGTTTCTGCCTATTCCTTCTATTGTAAAAAAAAAAAAAAGGAAAAGGAAAACCTGCAAAATATATATAGTGTGACACGCAAGACTGTGGTGAAAGAAACAATATAAGTAATACCCTATTTAACTGTAAATTAGTATGGCTTAATATTCAATTTGCACCGCTGCTTAGGAAATATATGAAGTAATCAACAGGAAACATGATTAAAATCACTTATTTAAATTGGCATTTCCCCCCTGTTGATTTAAATTGCCTTGATTTAATTCAATCCACGATGCCTCATGGCATACTTGAAATGGAGGAATTTCAAAAGCTGGTCAGTACTGATTACTTATTTGCAAATCTGCCAACAATGGACGTAACTGAACATATACCCCTATTAAAGTTATTTATGCATGTACATGTGATCCAAACAACAACTCAGCTTAGAAACACTAATCCCACTTTGCTCACATCCTAAAAGATATGCGTCTTTGAGGTTTTTAACGTTTACTGATAAACTGAAATTCAAAATGATGGGCCATAGGAAACACTATGAAAGATACAGCTTATTCTCCTGTTCTTAATTACAGTGGTACCTCTGGTTACATACTTAATTCGTTCTGGAGGTCCGTTCTTAACCTGAAGCTGTTCTTAACCTGAAGCACCACTTTAGCTAATGGGGCTTCCCGCTGCTGCTGCGCTGCCGCCACACAATTTCTGTTCTCATCCTGAAGCAAAGTTAACCCGAGGTATTATTTCTGGGTTAGCAGAGTCTGTAACCTGAAGCATATGTAACCCGAGGTACCACTGTATTTCTTTATCTAAAGGTATTTGAACTGCCCTTACAGCTGTTCAATTAATATTTATTGGAAGGTTCTTGATTTGAAATATATTGATTAAAATATGAAGTAATAACATGGGGGGGGGCTAAATAAGCTGACAACTGGCATATGCCAGTAAATTTGTGCAAGGTTTTACTTTACACATATTTTGTGCTTAATTGCACACATGGACTAATGTGGTGCTTCAGGGTAAATGAGGACAAACTGCAGTAGGACTCCGGCTCTTGCACAGTTTTTTTTTCTCCTCTGGTGCAGCCATGAGGAGCTCTGAATTGTTTGCTTTCATTTTTACTAACCTCAAATTGTTGTGATGCTTAATTGTATTTTAATGATTTTGTTTAATTGCATTTTTATTATTGATTTTGCTATGTTTTAAGCAGTTTTTGCTTTAACCAGTAAGCCGCCTTGAGTCCCATCAGGGGAAAAGGTGGGGTATAAATAAATTTGTTGTTTATTATTTACTATTGTTATTTATGATGATGATGATGATGATGTTTGAATAAGGATAAACTGCAAATAATGCTTAACGCTGGGTAGGAAAAACAAACCACAATTTACAAAGCTGGCTGGTTTTGACTAACTACAATCAACATTAGCTACCATATTTTTATGTGTATGATGCCCACGCGTATAAGGTGACCTCTATTTTTTTGAACCCCAAATTAAGAAATCAGTATTCTAAATATCAAACAGAACAACTCTGATATTTTATTAAATATTCAAATCACCAGCACCAGCTTAGCAACCCCCGCCAGCGCCTGGTTGGCGGAAGTGGTAAGTGAAAGGGATGGTGGTCCCAGCAGCTTGTTCACAGCAGCCATGGGAAGGTAAGTAGTTTTTTTAAAAAAAAGAAAAAGAAAACACCTGTGCATTCACCATCCATGTATGAGACAACCCTGAATTTTTGATAAATTTTTTTAGCAAAAAACATTGTCTTATACAAGAACAAATACAGTAGTTTAGGGTCAGATGCAACACTAAACTGTCGTTAATCCAAATGGGGAAGTTCACAATCTCCTTCAGTATTTTTCTTTTCTTCTCCAAAAACATCTCTGTATTGCAGGGCCAGGGTGTGGATGTGTGCCTGCAGTAACTTCACAGCACATTATCTCCATCACTTCCCTCTCCAGGATGCTTGCTCTAAAAGTTAGGTACTTAAAATTATCCATACTGAAATGAAGCAATACAGTACATAGTCTCTTGAGTATTGCTTGCTTGATTAAAAGATGGAATTCGAAAGCTCCTGAGAAGGGGAACAAGGGAAGAGCTTGTCCCTCATCGTTGGTGACATCACATAAAAGATCCAGAAGGCAACACTCCAGCCACACAATGCACTAGCAAAGTTTGCTATCAAGGAGAAGCACAAAAAGCTGTCTTATGACTCACTCTTGATTGATCTAGCTCATTATTGTCCACTCTGACTGGCAGTAGTGGTTTTCCAGGGTTTCAGACTCTCCTCCCCCAAACCATGAACTGTGAGGCTATTTAGTACTATCAAGGACTAAGCCTTATTTAATAGGTATTACATTACTTCTAAACTCTGCTCTGGTCAAGGGTTTATAGTCAATGCTCTCTTCAAAGGTGGACTCAGGCCACAATCTCAAATACTGAGGATGAACTGATTATACTACAGAGGCTACTACAGAAGAGGGATTTTGATTGACCTGTAGGGAAAGCATTGCACAGGATTGACTGTGCCTCCTCTCCACCTTCCAGAAGGAAGATGGAGTCCCTTGTTCTCAGCCAAGTCCAAGCTTTGGCGAGGCCTGAGGAAGTCAGTGTCAGTTTCAATAAATTCAGCAGCCATCTTGTGGGCCTGACTGTCCATCCTGAGCAATGTGTTGTGGGCCACAGAGTCACTCTCATCTTGGTCCCGGGGACATTTTGGTGAGGCTCAGGCTGGGAAATGTCTGTCGAGACAAGTCCTCTGCAGGGAGATGTTCTTGTTCACAGTCCTTGGAGAGAATCCCCTCCACATCCAGCACATAAATATGGGAGTCATAATCTTGGTCACAGATTTTAATCTCAGTCAAAAGTTTGGCGAAATACAAAATATTGCAACCTGAACGATGGTAACATATGGTATCCTAGCAACAGAAACTTAACAAGAGAAGATTGCATAATAAATGCACATTTTCTCTACAAATAAAAAATGAATGCAGCAAAAGTGTATAGAGGCCCAAAGTGTACAGTATATATGCCTACAAAATATATAAAGATGATGTTTTATAAGTTTTGTATCATCATGGCTGTGAGATCTGAAGACCTGCTCCCTGCCTTGTAGGTCTTTTTCCACCTCACTCTAGCTGCAGAAGCTGAGGCTGCTAAACAGACTCTTGGGCTGGGATATTACTTAGAGAATTCTATTGGTAATAATTTTGGGGTCCTTATTTTTGTTCTTATGATTTAGGTGAAAATTGTTCAGTTTGGTTGTGTACTTTTTGCTGTTTTATTTATTGCTTATTATTACTTCTTTTTATGTTTGCAATTATGTAATTTTTACATGTTGTAAACTGCCTTGAGCAGGTTTCAACTCTGAAAAGTCAGCATACAAATAAAATTATGTATGAATGTAGTGCAGCACTTCTCAAATAATAAGCATGTCCATCAACTGCCCATGGAATCCTTTTTAAATGGTTTGCCAGGCCTGCAGGTGGAGTAGTGATAGTTGTGACAATCAAGGGAACCACAATGCCACTTCTGTGTGACCAGGCTGCTTTGTACTACTCTATTAGGGACAATTTATTTCAAAAAATAAGTTTGCGATAGGGCAAGGAAGTCTGCTGTTTTAAGACCAAAAACCTGTTGGGCATGCACAACTCCTGGGTGTGCTTAATCCCTGGATTAAGACGCATATGCTTGAATAATCTAACAGGCAACAATCGGGATTTAAAAGTGGAATTCTTCTGGTAGACCCTATGAAAACTAAAGGCTTCATCTATTCATCTCTTAACCAGATTTATCACCACTTGCATAGAAATACCTGAAACTTAGCTAAATATGAATAGCAATTAACATTCCAAAACAATCCTGTAACATAATGATACAGATTTCATAAAATCTGCACACCAGAATATTCTTAAAACGATTATGAACCGCTCTGAGTTTACTTGAACGTGAAATGCAAATTGTTATAATGAAACCCCTCAAAACTATTTATTCTTAAGTAGTTCTTTTTAACAACCTATCCAAACCAGGTTTACTAACAACAAAATCTGATTAACTTTAATTGGATGGTATCCAAAATTAGCCATACTCAAAGTAGACCTACTGAAATCAATGTATTTAAGTAACTTGTCTATTGATGTCAATGGATCTATTATGCGTACAACTTAGTTGAAATCACTTATTGCAAACACTTTCAAGCATACATATTTAGGATTGAAGCCTTGGGGGTTTTTTTGCTTGTTTGTTTAGGTAATAAAAAACAATACATGCTGCTGAACCTTGTTAAAGAATGTAGCTTGCAACTATTTTGAATTATGCTCAACAAATGGCTCACATTTTAAGTCACTTTTTAAAACAGTTCACCTTAATACTGTGTTTTTCTGACACACATTTCTAATTCACAATATACAACCATTTCAGCCTGGAAGATATAGTACACACAAGCTACAAATAAGAAAGATTTTAAGCAACTGACATATTACAAAAATCAAGCTATGGCATAAACCTTTTCCAAGTCTACCCCCCCCCAAAAAACATATTTTGTTACAAAAGAAAAGGCAATAGATAATTTAAGCTAACAAATGTTTGTAGAAAAGGGCGTTGATTCTTGGCACTAGCAGCAAGCAGGAGACACCCCTAGTGTTGACATAAAATACTACATCAGTAGTATTACTAGATTAATTTTATAGCAGTGAACAGCAAATTTTGATCGCCATGATTTTTAGGTAGGCAGTTCCTTTCTACCTCATCTTCCTTATCCACTGAAACCTGAATGGTCATGGACGTATCAACTCCTATATTCCGGAGTTAACATTACTTAATGAATCTGAAATACATATTATCAGGCATGCTTTGTGCAAAGGCTATGTGCACTGTAGCATCTCAGTTCAAATATGAAGATCAAACAATGCTGTACCACAGCAAAAAAAACACAACACAAAAAAACCCCAACCAGCACACTAGAAAAATATTAAATTTTTTAATCCTGCCTTTATGTTTTGGTGCACAAGACCCCTGAACAAATTTAAGTCACAATTTTAAAAAATAAAATAAAAATTTGTAGAAAGAGGATGTGTACAAGTGGAGGACACATTCCTATGGTGAAGAAAGGGTGGCTAATGCATTAAATGGTGAAAACATGTCTGTTTATTAGCACCTAGCAGAAGGTTAGTAAAGAGGGGGTTTATCTGTATAGTTCAGGGACCACTGAGAAAGATCAGTGAATGGGGATTATTTTTGTGGTGGTGTATACGAGGAAATTATGGTGTTGGGACAATTATGATGAGGATACTGAGGTAAAGTGTGGTCTAGATTAATGAAGGCTACATAAAAAGTGTAATAAAAATTGCTGTGCAGGTTATGCTTGAAAGGCAACTGAATAATATGACACTTTAGTACAGTAATTATTTTGGAAATGGGTTCAAGGCTTCAAATGAAATTAGAATGACCTTTCTCTATGGTTGCTTGTGGACAGTAAAGGGAAAGGAATATGACAGGTAGAGGCAACTGCAAGAAGAAATTAATATAAATCTGACCAGGAAATGAAAAATTATGAACATATTTCATTACAGCACAACACAAATCCAGGAGTTTTCACTATGTGGAAGTTCAGGCAGAGTAATGGAATTAAAATGGGATAAAGGAATATTGTGAAGTCTGTGAATGCTACAGGGCAAAACAGTTAAGACAGCTACTGAGAAAGGCAGGATCCTATGCAAAATCCTAGGCACATTTACCTGGCTGTAAATTCCATGGAACACAGTGATACTAACAAGCAGGCATGCATAGCATAAGGCTGAATATACACATAGTCAAGATGATTTAATATTGATTTATAAAGCAATCTTATTCAGAAGCAAGTCTCACTGTGCTCTATGGGACTTATCCCCAACTAAACATGCACAGGATTGCAGCCTTCGTTACACATCTGATGAAGTGGCCCCTAGTCCATGAAAGCTTATGCCATAGTAAATATGTAAATCTACGAGATGCTGCAATAACCATTTTTGCTGCAACGGACTAGCATAGCTAACCACCTGAAACTAGTTACCCATTAACCACCCTCTTCACTACCAGTTGGGCTGATTAAAAAGAGACACACACGCGCACACTTAAAACAAAAGCAAATTCTTCCAGTTGCTTCAAAGCATGCTTGTGGGTGAAATACAGAGTCCCGCCATCTGTTTTCACCAAGCACCCATAACCGTGGCTGTTATTCGGGGCACAGAGGCAGGATCATGTTATGCCGTGTGCCAGATTTCCTATCGCTGTGTGAGCATACATACATACAGGCATATACACACATGTGAGGTGGGAAGAGAGAAGAAAGGGAGCCTAGTAGGTGACAGCGAACTATACAAGGTAGAAAAGGTTGCAGAGGAGGAGGGGGGGTGCCGCTGCTGCGAAGCAAGCAATGCGAATACGCAAGAGGAGCTGCGTGGGATGAAGAAAATTTGCAGGATTTTTTCCTTTTACAGGGAGATGAGGAGGAGTTCGGAACAGAAAAGAGGGGCGCTTTCAAGAAAGCAATCGCAGGAGGGGAGGGGAGAAAACTAACGCGTGAAAAGTGCGTGCGTGGGGAGGGGGGGGGAGGTTAAAGTAATACAGCACATATTGAGGAGACGAATTCTTTGCCAGGGGTGGGGCACTGCAGGGAAAGAGAGGTCACTGCTGGGTGAAGGCAACTACCGGAAAAGCAGGAAAGCCACTGTTGGTAAAGGGGGGGGGAGAGAGAGATAGGAAAGAAACACACACACACACACACACACACACGAGGTCCTGGTTTTTTTGCGTGCGGGGGGGTGTCGTGTTTTTCCTTTTGCGGGGCGGGGTTGGGGTGCGGTGTCGGGGTGTTTTTTTTGAGGGGGGACACCGAAGGCGCCTCTCGATGAGATGCGGAAAGGAGGTCGCTAAGCCAGTGGGGAAATACGGGGGCTTCTGGCGGGTGGGTGAGGGGGCGGGTAAGCCTTCTACCAGAGGGGGGGGGTGTCTCAGAGAAGGCCTGACATGGAGGAAGCGAGAGAGCGGATTGCGCCTCTTCTCATATATATATGGACACCACACCGAAAGCGGGGGCGGGGGGGCGCTTCATTTCCTTCCTTTCGCGGCGGGGGCGGGGGGGGGAGAGGAAGAGCTCCTCGCCGCCGCCTTCGCTCCCTTCCCCTCCCCCCTCCGCGGTCGGTTGAGAACGGGATCCCCTCAGGGCCTGCAGGTGGCGGGGGGCGGCGGCCGGCGAAGGTCCTTACCATGGTGGCGGGTTGTCGAGAGCCTCCCCGCAGCCGAATCCACTGCCGAGTGCCGGCCTTCTTCTTCTCCTCGTCGTCGTCTTCCTCCTCCTCTTCTTCTCCTTCCTCCTCCTCCTCCTCCGCCTCTTTTCCCTCACGCTCCTCCGCCGCTCGGTCCCTTCGCAAGCGCTGCCTCAAGAGCCGCCGCCGCCGCCGCCGCCGCCGCCCCTCCTTTTTATTATTATTATTACTGTGGTTGTTGCCGACGACGGTTTCGCCGCAGTGGGCTCGCGCTGACCCGCAGCCTCGCGGAAGGGGAGGGGGAGGAGGAGGAGGAAAGAGAGAGAGAGAGAGAGAGAAAGATAGAGATAGGGAGGGAGAGAGAGAGAGAGAGAGACAGGGGAACCGAAGCACGAACGGTCGACAGCAAAGGGGAGGAGCCTCCAACATCCGGGCAACTACGCCGCCGCTTCAACCACGGGCTTCATTTGCATACGAGGGAGGGAGGGAGGACGTGCGCGTGACGTCACCCACGCCGCGGGGGGGGGGAGGTATTAGAAGGGGGAGAAGAGTGAAGCTGTAAAATGGCGGCTTTAGCTGTGAGGGGCGTTGGAAATGGGGCAAGCTAAAGATGTTGAGCCCGGCTTCGGCTGGGGAGGGCGGGATATAAATAAAATTTTACTGTTATTCTTATAAGCCCCAGGCCTCACCTCGTGCTCTGGTTTCACCGCGTGAGGAAAAGCCTTGAATTTAAAAGCACCCCCCACGACACAAACACACACACACACAAAAATAAAAACCCCCAAAGCTTCCGCCCTCTCGCCTTGAAAAGCGACGCTCAAATCGCGTCAGGCGCCAATGGCCGCCGCGCTGGAGAGGGCAGCCGCCACCCCCCTGAATGTGCGCCTGGAGCCAAACGGCTTTGCCCCTGGAGGGCAGGTGCAGATGTAAGCAGGCTTCTGGTGCTTCTCTGCGCCATTAAACGCCCCTGAGGGAATAGGGGCGTCTATCAGAACAACACGCCCAAACAAGCATGGCGTGGCAGCGCCTGCAAACCAGCATTAGAATCCATAAGGCCGTGAAAGTTGGAAGGGACCCCTGAGGGTCATTCAGTCCAGCCCCCTGCAATGCAGGCAGAAGTGTCCCTAGGGTCTCTTGCACCCTTGGCAGGGAGCTGTGTAGCGGCACCTCCCAAAAACTCTGTTTTTCTTTTCTTTTTTTAAATGATATTTATTAAAGTTTCAAAAAATACAAAAAATACAGAATACAGAAAGAAAAAGAATAAAGTTTTTTAAAGTATAACCAAAAAAGTAAAAACTAAAAAGAAACATACCAAATAAAACGGTTAAAAAGACATTAATTTTCCATAACCTATCTTCCCTATACTTATTTCCCCGGACCTCCTCATACCTCCCTTTTTTGTATTCCAGTTCAATTTGTTAGTTCAGCAAATCCTTACCATTAAACTTTTACCCAATTGCAAACCTTTTTTCATATCTCTTAAAGCATTACAGCTAAAAACCTCTTAGTTTCTATCCAACATCCTTCTAAGATTCCTTAATTTTACAATATTTCTGTAAATAGTCTTTAAATTTCTTCCAGTCTTCTTTCACCGACTCTTCTCTCTGGTCTCGGATTCTGCCAGTCATTTCCGCCAGTTCCATCCAAAAACTCTGTTTTTCTTTGTGTTTCACGCTCTGCCAGGGACTGCTCTTCACCACCTTCCAGGCTGTGCCAGTCTCTTCGTCGCCTTCCATCCTCTGCCAGGGACTCCTTCTCTTCCTCTCCAAGCCAAAGTGGAGAGACCATTTTTTGTGCCTCCCTGGGTCCGCACCAACCCGGACAACCCATAGGTATGCCCCTGAATGGGGGAATCTCAACTAAAGCACCCACAGCAGATTCACAGCTGTCAGCTTTCAGATTTGAAAATAAGGGATCGAAAATAAGGGATCAGCAGGCTCACTTGTCCCAGGGACCGTCTACGGGATATCTAACAATCCGGGATAGCAGTGGGAAACGGCACTGGAATAAGGGAATTTCCAACCGTAAAAGGGAAGATTGACAGCTATGAGCAGATTGCCACCCAACCTTTGCTTTAAAACATCCATCACAGAAAATAGATTGCTGCATTTCATGGAAGTTTCCAAACTTACCTAGGGAATAAGCTTCATCAATATGGCTTCCACATAGGGTAAACTGATAGGAAAAGAGTCGCCTGATAAATTTATTATCTCTTTCTTTTTATCAGGAGTATGTCCAGACATGGGCCTGTTCTACACAAAATGCTGTTAAGGGCACAGAGCATCAAGGTCACTCGAGTCTTGTTGTCTGGGCAGCCAAGGTCCTCCATACACACTGCCCAGGCTATCGCCCTGGAGAGGTCACTTCGGTGCTACGAATGCAGCAAACCAAGGCCACATACGCAGAAAAGCATCCCAGCAATTTTATGTTGCAAGATTTACCCTTCTCCCAGTACAGAGCCCATCTGCCACTAGCTGGTCAGTAAGACCAGCTTCCTTTGCCACCTCATCTTCCACCGGCTGTGTACATATAATTATTGTGGGGAGGAGCTACCGTTAGATAAAATATAGTCGATATGAGGGGCAGGTGTCTTACAGCTGCAACCAAATATATATATATATATATATATATATATATATATATATATATATATATATATATATATATATATATAAATAATGTTCCTACAGCTTAATTCTAAGTGTTGGACTGCAGTACTGGAATACAGTAGAGTAATTATTATTTTCTTGTGAACTGATATTTGAATAATGCCTTTCGTTTAGCTCAGTATCTCTTGGCCAGATAGAGCATAAGAACCAAGAAACTAACCATACCATAGGTTCCAAGAAGTGAACTGAACAATGGTAAACAAACCATTATGTTGCTATTGTTACATAAATGTCCATAGTTATCTTAGCCTTGAGAAGGCTTCTAGATGTCAAAACATGTGTGGGGTTTTCTGCTCACAGTGGCTTTTGCTGCCTTAAATAAGAACATTTAACATAAGCAGTAAGTTATATATTATAACTTATATTTCAGCAATATTGCTTGAAACTTGACCTTTTGCCTAATAAAATATATGTGCATAATTTATTTATGTAAATTTATGTAAATTATCTTATTTCACTATAGGAACAAACTTCGTTGCAAAGAACCTACTGGATTTGATATACCATCATCTTCTATATTGTCTTTTAGAGTCTTGCCCGTGACAATTTCCTCACACCTCTTTCACATCTGTCACTAGCTGCCTTATTTTTCACTTGTAAGTTAACTCAGGGCCTGGGACTCCATCTAATTAACTAATCTTCTCCTCTGACCCTTAAAAGGCCATAAGCAGCTTTTCCAAGCAAAGCGGGTGAGCCCTCGGGCATGTGCAGTTTCATTCTAAAATGTCTGCCTTTTTTAAACCGCACACATATAATTCTTCATGACTGTTGTACAAACTCACATTTATTTTTAGAAAGGGTTCCTCTGTCTTTTTTAATGTTTTGAGAAATGGTTGTGTTACTACTTCTTAAAAGGCAAGTTAGCAGTTCCCAAAACTCAAGAGAAAGAGGGTTACTTAATAAATAAGAGAAATATCATCCCATGTGTTAAAATGTTCGTGGAAATGTGAACTTTTCTATTGGTTGCAGCTGAGCATATTTACCAATGTGAATTCAGAAAACTGACAGCTTAATTTTACAGTTCCTATTTAGCAAGATGCCATGTGTATCATTTTCTGGTGGATGCACACCGAAAAAAATGAAAAGAAAACAAGACTAGTTAATTATTTTCTGAACACTTTCCTTGCTTTCTCTGAAGTAGAACATGGCAAATTAAGCACCATTCTGACACTGGACTGATTATTTGGGAAGGCCCTGGGCTTGTTTAAATAAAATCTAGTATTTTTAGGTGAGAAAAAGGTATGTAGAGCACAGCAGAAAACAAATAAAATCCAAACCTTTTGTAAATATCTATTAATTACGGTTACAGAAACTGGGTTACTACCATGTCTTTGCATGGAGGACAGATATGGAGGTGGGACCAGAGCAACCATTAGGCAGATTGAGGCTTCTGCCTCGGCTGGCAAAAGCCTCCAAGTTGGCGCCCCAATGGCCGCCCTGCCTGCTCTGTTGGCATATGATCTTTCGGGCTTGATCTTTCAAAACACATGAGATCTCACCCAAAATCGATGCCGGTGCTACTTCTCCGCATAGCTGTCAACTTACAGATTTGAAAATAAGGGACCAGCAGCCTCAAAAATAAGGGATCAGCAGCCAAAATAAGGGATTTTAGTCAACCAGCAGCCAAACGAAGCCTCAAGCAGTGGCTCCCACAGCGCAGCAACCCTGCAAAGGGGATGCAGCAAGGAAAACCACCGTCACCTCTCCGCTGGGAAGCACTGAGCAAAGGTGAGTCCCCAGGCAACGTGGCCGATTTTATTGGCACAAGGCATGCAAGCTCCACCCCCCAGTCATTCTTAGACTCCTTATTAGGTGAGCAACACAGCCAAGCAACACAGTTGGAGCCTCCCTCCTCCTTGGCCATCAGGGAGGGAGGGAGGGAGGGAGAGGAGCTGCTTCCTTTGAAACCCGGGAAATTTACGGGACATCATCAGTCCGGGACAGCAGCGGGAAACGGCACTGGGATAAGGGAGTTTCCCGCCAAATAAGGGACGGTTGACAGCTATGCTTCTCCGCAGGTGGCTGGGTGGTATAGGTGGCAGCAGCAGTGACAGGGCAGGGCATTTCGCCTCTAGCGGTGAAACGGCAAACACCACCACTAGGAGGAACACTGCAACAGCTATATAACAAGCACTCTGTGTGCAGTGAGGAATCATAGGGAAAGACGAATGCTCAGCATGTACCGTCCCTAGTTAGTGATGGGGCCTAGCATTTCTGCTTTCCTGCTTAGCAGCAGATACTGCTATTTTATACTAATCTATTCCTGTTCCAAAGCAGGAGTAGGCTGTGTGCAAGGCCCAGGCTACTGAATTCCTGAATTGTATGGATGAAGGTGGTTTGAATGAAAAAGCAGCAAAAATTGTGGGCTCTTATTGCTTATCTTGTTACAACTCCAGGTTTAAATTTGAATTAATACAACTTCAAAGCTATTGCAATTAACTAGAGAGCAGTTAATTTTTGCTATTCTCCCCCACTTCCCTGAAGCATTGTGTGGGCTTAGCATCTCAATAATGCATGCATATGTGAGCTTAATAGGTAGCCCAGGAAATAGATGGGGGGTGAGAAATGTCTTTGGAATATTCTATAGAGAATTTTTATCATAATCTACAGCACAATTCTAACCATATCTACCCAGAAGTAAGTTCAACTGAATCCAGTTGGGCTTGCTTCTGGGTAAGTGGGGTTAGGGTTGGAGTCTTAGGCTTTTTTCTTATGGGATATTCTTTTGAATCAATCTAGTAGGTGAACAACTTTTAAAATACTGTGAAGTGTTTTTCTTTTGAAAATCAGCCTGCTTTAATAGGGTGTTTGACCTGGGAACAATGACAAACGTTGTGGCATATGTCTGAAGAATGTTACAGGACATTGTATTCAAATTTGGAGGATGTTTATATTTGCGATCTTACCTAAGTGGTAAATATCAAGAAGCATTTGGGTGACTATTTTGTTCTTTTGTTTCCCTTGGGTAAGGACATGTTTACATATGCATGTTTATAGCTGATGATTGTGGCAACAAATGATCATCACAATTCAGACAGAAACTTTGACTAACTTGTGTCAGCTCCAACAGAACGTTTTTCAGTTAAATTTGTTTTAGCAGGTGTAAAGTAGCCAGACCCTCAAAATGTTATTCAAGTTAATAGAGAAATACGAGCTGAGAAATAGGAGACCCTTTAGTGTTATTAATTTGTCTATTGCTATTCATAGAATCATAGATTTGGAGGGGCTCCCAAGGGCCATCTAGTCCAACCCCCTGCAATGCAGGAATCTCAATTAACACATCCATTACAGATGGCCATCCAAGCTCTGCTTAAAAACCTCCAAGGAAGGAGAGTCCCCCACTTTCTGAGGAGTCCGTTCCACTGTTGAACAGCTCTTACCATCATAAAGTTACAGTGGTACCTCTGGTTACGTGCTTAATTCATTCTGCAGGTCCGTACTTAACCTGAAACTGTTCTTAACCTGAAGCACCACTTTAGCTAATGGGGCCTCCTGCTGCTGCCGCGCCACCGGAGCACGATTTCTGTTCTCATCCTATAGCAAAGTTCTTAACCTGAAGCACTATTTCTGGGTTAGCGGAGTCTGTAACCTGAAACGTATGTAACCTGAAGCATATGTAACCCGAAGTACCACTGTATTCCTGATGCTTAGAATCTCATTTCTTTCACTGTTGCCACTTTATCTGCAAAAGAGCAAGCCTGTTAAGTAAAATCTTGATTGTTTGCTGTCACATTCTCTGAATCTGTCTACAGTCAACAATAGATGTTTTCCATGGGGGGGGGGAAATCAAAACCACATTCCAAAATAATTTTCAGTGTTAGTCTTCCCAAATAAATCTGAGAAGAAGAAAGGCCATTGAGAGGCAATGGTTTTAACAAGCAACCGTTTTTATTTACAATGAGGAAACAATGTTGCTTCCATATTATCTGTTTAATCTGGAATTGCTATCTTCATGCACTCACTTGTAAAGAAGAATACAGGCATTGTTCCCAACATGTTGCATATCATTGTTTTCTGTATTGTCTTCCCATCTTTTTTCAAGCCTAGTTTAAAATGCAATTGCAACACTAGTGTGGACTGGTGAAGTGTTATGGTAGCTATTTAGGGTTATACTGTAGTGTGATTATCTATAAACATTCTCCCTATGATTTCTATCCTGTATTTGTTTCCTGTTGAGCAGGAATATAACATTACCATATTGTCCCTTATTTGGTAAGTTCCTGTTCCAAAAGGCAGATGCTGGTTTCTTCACATTAATTTTTTTCTTCGCTTTGTAAATTTTAAACACTATCTAGCTATCTTAACACAAAAACAAAAAAATGGAAAACTATGGAGAATTTGAATTGGCTAACAAAGAGCAATTATTTAGTAATATCGTGGTTGCTGAACAAGAAGTAATTACAGGGGCAGAGATCACAAAGAGGAAGCTTTTAATTCTAGTTTTACAGAACCATTACCATTACAGAAAGTTTTACAGAACCATCACTGAATGGAATAAACATAAAAGGATATTGGCCAAGGCTGGGGATTGGTGTTGTCAGAAAATATATTTTTTTTCTTTAATTTTTTTTTATCAATTTTCCAAATTTAAAACAAACACACAAAAAGAAAAAAAAAACATTACAGTATTAGAACTAAAAACAAACAAACATATAAACACCTAACTGTTAAAGGCCCAATTTAGTTTACATTGTTAAGTGACTTCCTCAAATCCCTCCTAACTGAATTTCAATAAATCTCATTGTAACAGTTTTCCAATATCTATTTTCCAATAAAATTTACTTATTCAAATTTCCATCTTCCTTCCTTTTCATAATATTTTCAGTCCTTAATGTTATAAAATTCAACATATTTTAATCCTAGGCCAATTTGGTACTTACAAGTGATTCTACTTATGTTATATTCAAATATCTAGCTAAATAGTCCTTAAATTTCTTCCACTCTTCTTGATATTCCTCCTCTTTCTGATCGCGGATTCTTCCAGTCAGGTCAGCCAGCTCCAAAAAGTCCAACATCTTCATCTGCCATTCTTCCACTGTTGGAGAAAATATAGCAGTATATTAAGTTCCACAGGAAATCAACTCTGGCTAGTTCAGCTCTGGCTGGTTCACCTGCTACGGCCCCTTTTGGGGCTGAGATGACTAGGCCACTGTACCCCAGATTGGATTATTGTAATGCATTCTATTTGCATTCTGTAACTTCCAGATTAGATTATTGTAATGCATTCTATGTGGCACTGCCCTTGAAGGTGACTCAGAAACTAGTCCACAATGCAGTGGCCAGAATATTGGCTGGGGTTCTGTTCAGAGCTCATATAACCCACATTTTAAACAGCTGCACTGGTTGCCAGCTCATTCTTGGGCCCAATTCAAGGTGCTTACGTTATTGTTTAAGGCCCTAAGCAACTCAGGCCCCTAATACCCCAAATACTGCTCCTTCCCTACACATCCTCTTGTGTATTCCGATCAGTGGAGGGAGCCTTCTTGGTTGTTCCACCACCCTTAGAAGCTTGGAGGGTGGCACCTTCTGTATGCAGCTTTCAGCAAATGTGCTTTATATGTGTAATTTTAAGTTGTTTGTAATATTGTATTTTAATTATTGTAGACTGCCCTAGGACTGTAAGGTGAAGAGCAGGTCATAAATTGTAATAATGTCGTAATCATAATAAATATATGATAGGTATACCTAAACTCTAAGAAGCCAGGATTTCCAGCTGTGTCAAAGTATTTGTTCATTTACAGGTAGTAATGGGAAATATAACCCCAGGGTTTATAATTCTGAAAAAGGCAAGTATACCACTCCAAATCTGAGACTACTGTTCAAAAGATTTTACAGTGGAAACCCATATATGCCTACTCAGAAGTATGTCCCACTGAGTCCAATTGAGTTTACTGCCAGATAACTTGTGTATAGTATTGTTGCTTTATTCAGTATGGGTTGCTGTCCAGGAAAAGAGTTTTGATCCCCCAAAACTGAGAATACAGCTGCCCCCAAATACTGTTTTTTTAAAATGTATGTTCACGAGGAAATAGCAAGTGTGGAAAGATTTTTTACTTTCTAAATATTGAGACAAAAAAAACCCATATTAAGTCTCAAATTAAGCTTACAGGTAAAGGAGAGGAAGAATAATAGTTTATTAAAGGAGGGCATAGAACATGCTTCCAGATCATGCTATAGCAGGGCATCTATTTTTTTGAAATTTAATACTTCTGCAATAGCCAGGTATTTTTATGCCTGGTCACATTATTTTTATCTTTCTATGTTTGATGAGAACATTGGGAAAACAGTAGTATAGTGGGGGCATTTTTAGTTTATGATCTTGGCGTTCTATGTAATGATTGAAGCAGGTTCCAGAGTAATGGATGAGGGTCTGTAGTTCATTTTTTATGTTTCAAAGAATAAGTTATTGCTACAGTAAGTAGGCTGTCAGTGTAATTAAAGATGGCTTGTGAGCTTTGTGTAACCTTAACCATTGATTTATGGATGTATAGTGCATTATGTATAGAGAATTCCAACTCCACCTTGTTCCTGGCAAATATATGAAACCTACTGCATGTGGTCAAAGAGATGCAATCCTAAATTGGGACCTAGAGTTGTATTCCAATCTCTACGCAAACAAAGCAACTCTGGATGAGTTTGGTAAATCGCTACCTCTTTCGCTTTCTTAACCACACATGAAATAAGCATAATAGTTGCCACCCCTGCATGGTTATTTATAAAATATAGTACAATAGAACTGTTCTGTAAATCATAATTTTATCCATCTATATTGTTGAAAGAAGGCTGTAATTCTAAACACACTCCCTGGGGAGTAAAAACCCCATTGAACACAATGGGATTTGCTTCCAAGTAAACATTTATTGGTGTGTGCTGTCACACTAATTGCCTGATGTTCATTTGCAGCCCCAGGCTTTGGGCCATATGTGGGAACAGAAAATACTTCCTGGCATATTCTCTGAGGAAAGGGGATCACCTTGCCTACTCCAACCCTGTCTGCAGCCCCTTGCACCATACTGTCCATTGTGCCAATATTATATTGCCAGAGTGTCTAACAAAGCAGTAGGAAACAAAACAACAACAACAACAAAATGATGTGAAAGAAGACAGGTACAGTATTTCAGTTCTAAGCCATGTAGGACTTTAACCATTAAGACAAGAGCTTTGAATTGAGCATGGTGCTTTACTGGGGGGCCCTGGAGTTTTTCAGTACAGCTGAGCTATGGTGTCTTCATGCTGTGATTCTTTTTCTTTGCAGTATTTTCCGTTCACTAGAGCAAGTGATATTCCACAAATTTGCTGCTGCACTGTTGCAGTACCCAAACAATTAGGTTGGTGTTTGTATATGTGTTTGCTTTGCAGTAGTTTGCCTCCTTCCCATGATTCATTAGAACTAAATCCAGGTCCCTTGAACTCCCTGTACTATTATCATAACTAGATATTTATTTAGTAGTCAGTGTAGTCAGTTATATCACTGAAATCGTTAAACCTTCTAGCCATTGTACACCAGGGCTAATTCAACAGTGTGCTAAAAATGTACAAAGCATTCCATCTAGTTTTGTAAATCTTCTTTCTCTTTATGACTTCCACCTCCATTTCAACAGGAATTACCAGTATTTTCTATTTTAAACCAGCCCCCACTTAAAATCCCATTCTAATCCACATTTCCTTTACTTGCCATCTTTTCCAGCATAACTGTTAGATTTTAAAGCAAAAGTAGGTGCTGAATAATTTGGACTTGCATGCCTGATATATTGCAGGCTACAATTAACTAGCAGTGACAGCGGATCAAAGAAAGAACATATAAATGTTCTTTTGCCATCTTAGTCACCGACCTTAAGCAACATAGTGCAGGAATTATGCAACTCCTACAAGGTTTAAATGGTCTGGAAAGGCTCAGTGTGAGCCATTTTTGAAGCTCCACAAACATTGGGCTAATGTTTATTATAATTCCATGTTTAGTGTACCCGTCTCCTGACAACCAGCATAGAGAGATGTTAACATTCTTTAGAGTTGGCTAAGCAAGATTTGGGCATGGAGCAAGTTTTTCTTCTTGATTTATATATGTAAAAAAAAAAATTATACGCCACACATCAATACAAAATATTTTGCGGGCAAATAAAACAGATAGAACAAACTACGGAACACACTGCATAATAAACCAACAATCAAGTCCAAAGATGGCTGATAAAAGCAGTGTAATTAGAACAGATAATAATGAGTTAAAAGGCCTGGGCAGAAAGGTCTTCAGTGGACCTTGAAAATACATCAAAGTAGACACCAGGCAAACTTTTATGGCAAGAGCTTTCCACCAGCAGAGTACCCCCTTGAAAGCCTTTTCCTCTCATCAGCACCCAGGTGAGAGGAGAAGTTGGAGGATGGCATCCAAAGGTGATCACTCTGTATGGGTAGGCTTGTACCAGAGCAGAATTCCGTGAGGGAAGGTGAAAAATAAATAAAAGTAAACAAATACATTTTGAAGGCTGCTGAAAAGTTTGGGAAATTAAGGGGGTTATATTCCGCCGACTCCTCTGCTGGCATGTACCTTAGGGGCATTAGGGCTACCAATACAGTTTATATCACCTTGGTGATACAAGGTTTCCAAAATGAGGCAGGATATTGTGAAATATGTTGGTCTGCTGCATTGAATGCTAAATGCAGACTCTGGTCCCTGTCCTATTGTTCTTGGTTTGGCTCCTGCTTGATCACCAAAATACCCAGAGCCTGTCCATTGGAATTATTTCAAATGCACCCAATGTCCTAAAACTGGTCCTAGATCACAGTTTAAGATTGGACTTGCTTTCCTAGGTGGGTGATTTATTTATTTTTGCATACAAGACCACTGAAATGGCCATGAGGACTACAGTCCAGCACATGTTTACTCCCCATCAGTTTCAATGAGATTTGAATGTAGTAAACTATGTGGGACTGTACCTTAATGCTACAATCCATGCAAAGTTATTAGGTTCCATTCAACAACTTGGGGCAGACCTTCAATGAAAGATGTGTAGGAGCCAAAATTGTTTAGTGAAGTTGCATTGAAGAGAAACTGCTGGGTGGAAAGAAAACAAGGCCATATTTGACGTGATTGAAAGGGAGTAGGCAAGCTCTGGTACAGATAAGAAAACATTAGAAAAATCAGGAGATGGAGAATGCAACAAATGCTGTAGCGGCTTCAAAGAGAATTGTAGATTAAGCACTTGTGCCTAGCTGACAATGTAAAATAGGGTAGCAACAAATGAGACTAACTGCGCATGTCAAAAGGTGTAAACTGCTAATTGGTTAGTGTCACTAAAATATACTTTCTGTGTTGAACTAACATAATGAAGGGGTTGGTTTTATGATTTTAGGTTGCTATATCTATGCTCGTTTTGCATCTGAATCCTTTGTAGCGACTTCTGCATAGGGGTTGCCACCTTGGACATGCAATAAATGTTTATTGATTCATACCTTCTTATTATTGACCTCCAGTATGGGAACTTAGAATTCCTCTACAGGTGTACAGGAGTAGAAAGCAGACGCCCTAAATTTTAGCTGAAACCATTTAGCTGAAATTCTACTTCCTTGCCCACCCATCCCCTTGGCTTGTTTCTACAGGTGCAGATATGAATAGAGGCCAGAAGTTAAGCAGAAATGCTTACTTAATGTTCCTTTTAAATTATCAGTCAACATGGGACACAGTGTAATTTTATTGGGTTGACATTTTAATAGTTGCCCTAGTACACCAAGTCCTCCATTAGAGCACAGCCTCTTTATGTTCATCAGGCTTGCACTGATTATGTGTCTCTGCTACCATTCATTCTCTTTGTGGCAAATGCTCTATTTAGGTAAATTCCACTCCGTGAGTTGCATAAAACGGATGTTAAGGATAGGTAGGTAGTTAAGGATAGGTAAAGGTAAAGGGACCCCTGACCCTTAGGTCCAGTCGTGACCGACTCTGGGGTTGCGGTGCTCATCTCACTTTACTGGCCAAGGGAGCCGGCGTACAGCTTCCGGGTCATGTGGCCAGCATGACTAACCAGAGCACCACACGGAAACGCCGTTTACCTTCCCGCCGGAGCGGTACCTCTTTATCTGCTTGCACTTTGACATGCTTTCGAACTGCTAGGTTGGCAGTTAAGGATATAAAAGAGCAAATATAACTGGAGTATATGTATGCAGAGTCCCTTAGGAAGATCAGTGACATAAAAATTATAAGTCTCTTTTAGGGGTAGGGAACTTGTGGCCAGCCATTATTGGGACTCCAACTCCAGTCAACATGGCTTGCTTTAAAGCTACACAGTGTTTCCTACCTCCCTTTACTTCCCAGGGTAGGAATCACACACATTTCCTTAGTCACACGAAACAGATTAAAATATAATAGAAGTTGCCTTCTTGGCCCCATAGTAATCAACCTCAGGATAACAATGTTCAGTTTCTTCCCTTATGTTCTTTCTTTCTTTGGTTTTTGGTGTTTGAACTCATGCTTACTGCACAGCCTAGATGCCGTTTTATAAACCCAGTATGTTGAGATCTGTGAATAATCAGACTGCATGTCTGTAGACTCCCTGGGCATTTTCAACCCATAAAACAAGGGTAACATGTAAATACAGAGGAAAAATTGGACAACCAAGCTTTACACAGCTGTTCCTGCTCCCATTGGGGCCCATTAAATGCTATACAAACAAAGCTGCCTCTCATTTAGGACTCGGCTAGCATGCTTTTTGTTGTTGTTTTTTCATAATGCCATAAATTGTTTTCAAGTGATGTCGTCATGATTTTTTGATGTTTACTTTCTATGGTTTGAACCAGAATTGTGGGGTGTCTAATAGCAAAACTTGGACAAGTTTTATGTAAGTGCAGTTTTGCCGTGAAAATGGATTCTGAGTGAGGCCATTCCTCGTTTCACGTCTCTTGATTACATGAAATGAATGCATTTACAGGTCCTAAAAACAGCAGAACTCAAATACCTTATGAATCAGATTTGGCTTCTCTACCTTTGTTATGGATTTAGGCTACAATCTAAACCCCACTTACCTGGGAATAGGGTTGGGGGAGAAATTTGATTCAGTTTGCATTTAAAGCCAAATTTATCAAATGTGCATTTTCTGAAACAGTACGAGAACCAAAACATAGCCAACCTTCAAAATTCACAAGTATCTGAATTTTACAATGCCGTTCTCAATCCAGCCAGTGCATATATGGGGGGGGGGATGTGTAAAACAAATATATTAGTAAAAATAACATACAAAAATGCATTACATTAGGATTATATTGCTTGCAAATATCTGTACATTAGTCAAAACTGCATACCAAAATGTGTTTATTAGGAGAAAGTGTTGAAGAATTTTCATGAGGATTTTTTTAAAATTGCAAATTGATGTAGAAACACAGAGAATTGAATTTACTATTGGAACAGTGGGAAACTGAGGGAACTAAAATTGATAGTTTCTTCTATCCTTACATGGGAGTAAGCCCCATTGATTTTTGTAGGGTTTACTTCTGAGTAGACAAGCTTTGGATTGTATTTACTTTTAACCTTGGTATGAAATTGATTTGCTGCATTGATCTGTGTACTGGCGAGCAATATACTAATAAGATTCCTGGAAACCAGTAGTTTTGTTAATCTGTTTTATGTTATGTATCAAATGCATTTATATAGTGTCTTTGATATTTCTGAACCTGTAATGAAAGTAAGGGCATAATGTATAGGAGTGTGTGTGTGTTCTGCATCACAGTAGAGATACTGACTGTATCAGCAGTCCTTATATGTTCTGCTACAATTAGTTGCAATGTACCATATGTATCCCTAAATTTTAATATGCTTTCCCAGTTGATTAAATGTTCCCATGGAGTTCAAAGCAGACATTATTGGGTAGCCATGCTTCTTCACAGATTGGTTTGGAGATCTTATTTTCACAACATAAGGTGGATGCAGATGCCGTTAACTGAACTCTTCCCCACCTTACTTTCTGCATTACGTTGCTTCAGGCACACATTTCGCATATCTGAAGTGAATCTCGTCATGTGTGAAGTGAGAAAGCAAAATGGGAAAAGGTTCGGTTTCCCCTTAACATCATGTCCCCCTTTTGCTTTAAATGTAGATGACAGACTCATGACCAAACAAGCATGTTTGCTCCATAGCATCTATTCTGGTCCAGAATGCAGTTAGTACATGACAAATTGCTCCATTATTGGGCACATTAGGACATTCTGCAGTTCTTGTTGAATTGTTAATACTGACTACATCTACCTTTCAAGCACAATGTGTTTTGGAATCCATCTTCCAGTACTGGAAGGACAAATTGTTCTTCACGGTAAATATATCTGTGCTCAAATGTAAATGATTTCTGCCTCATGTGTTCTGCCTTATAGTCACAGCCTTATAGTCACGGCACGACACAGTGCTTTTTTCACGCATCAACACACCCATCTCAAATTTGAGTGTCTCCTCCTAGTTTACCTCCAGGCCAGGAAGTTCTTCCTTAGTGTCTCTTAGACTAGGGTGTTCCTCTTTGGTTGAAATGTTCTGAATTCCATGTAATGCTAGTAGATAAGAAAGAAAGCTCAGCTGAAGAATTATTGTAATAAAAAGATGGAATTAACGGCTAATTTGCTAATGAGATTTATTTTGGGCGGAGGGGGTAAAGGTGGTGTGTTTTAAAACCCTTTCCTGAAAACTTCAGAGGTCTCTCCATTTGCAGAGGCCTCCTTAAAACTGTCTTCCTCCAGCCGATTCTTGTGTCCCGTGTGACTACATGCCACATACTCACTTTACTAAAAGGGGAAGTGATTACAATGGTAGTGCAAAGCAGAAAGTGCAAAATCAATAAGACTGAGTTCAACTTTCTCCAACTCTTGTGGTTTCTCATAACACGAGGCTAATATGAAGACATCTATTATACAGGGAAGAACTGAATACATATGTCATATTTTTCAACACATAAACCGGGTGTGTGTGTGTGTGTGTGTGTGTGTAGCTTATTTTCTTCAGATTATATATACTCTGCCTACTAAATGAACTTTCTGAGAGACTGCTCAGTGCCTCTCAGCCTAAGCTACCATTAAATGAGGAGGGGGAGAACCATGTATGCCACCTTGAGCTCCTTGCAGGGGGAAAAGTAGGATATAAATGCAATGTATGTATTTTTCCGTCTATAAGACACCCCCCTGTATAAGACGACCCCCTTTCTTTTTTAATCCAAAATTAAGTTGTTTAGCTTTTTAGGGGTGGGGTGGGGGAGGTCACTTCCGCCAATCGCTCACCCGCCTTCCTGCCACTGCCGATTGCTTGCCACAGCCACTGCCAATCGCACACCTCGCTACAGCCGTCAATCGTCTGCCCAATTGCCGCAGCCACAGCCAATCGCCAGCAGGCCTTGCCGCAACCACCAATCGCCGCTGCCAATCTCCTGCTTGCTGCTGCCATTAATCGCACCTCCCCCCCCTCTGCATTCACTATCTGTGTATAAGACGACACCCAATTTTTGCCTAGTTTTTTTTAAGTGAAAAGCATCGTCTTATACACAGAAAAATACTGTAGGTAGATAAGTAAATAAGTAAGTAAGTAAAATCATTGATGGGGAACCTGAAACCTGGGGGGCAAATATGGGCCTTCAGGCATCTCTGTCAGCCCCTTTAACTCTCCCCAGGCCATATCCCTCCTTGACATGGCTGCAATGTAGCTTTGAACTCTGAAAATGTGTATTGCTTACCTGGGTGACGGATACAGAGGGGCGTGTGAGTGTGTGTAGAACCTAGCCTACTATAGAAAGATAAAAATCGCAGTTGTTGTTCCGCCCACTTTTGCCTGTGGCTGTGTCTGCCACCAGCATGGAAAGCCCAGAAAGCCACCCAAAAGGACATGCAGTCCTTGGGCTGAGAACTCCCCCTGCCCCAGCAATAGACAGCATGACCAATGTCCATAATTGCAACAAGAATATGTATGTTTCCCCCAGTCCATAAATGGCTGTCCAAGCAGCAGGATGTTCAGTCTGACAAGTCAGTGCTTTCTCACTCAGTTCCTGGCCCAGATAGCAGAGGCAGGCAGTGATGGAAGCCTCCCTCAAGGCCACAGATATTTCAGTTGCTGCTCTAGGCCCATGGTCCATGCCCATGCAGAGCTTGTCTGAGGCCTGCAGGTGGGGGGGGGAGTCTTGTCCACGGGATGTGCCACCGTGGCACCACCACCTAATCTGTTCTGACACTATACACTAGTACGCAGTAACCGTTAGTTTCTGTTTTGCCACTGAGCAGCTGCTTGGAATCACAGGACTCTGTTTACATTCCAGAGTCCTTCCAGACTGTTGGAAGTCTCACAGGAGACGGGAGACAGGATGTGACGTTAGTGGTTTCCTGTTTCCTTTGTTCAGTTGCTCTCTGCTTTCAAGGAGAGAGGATGTCTTTTCTGTCTGCGTAGCTTAGAAATAAAACTCTTTGCAATGTAGCCCAAACCTCTCGTCTCTTTCCTGTGCTGGAAACTCTGCTGAAGAATGTGCCTGAGGCCTTATCAAAGGCTCAGGTCGTTAAACACGTTGGGAGGCGATTCTGAAGGACTCGGGGGAAGAAAATGAGCTTTATCAGCTTGGCCGAGCGGAGATCCTGACTGTAACATGGGTCCAAATTTTACTGTTGAAGCGTTGCAGTGCATACAAACTGGCATGGGCATTTTCCCATGGTTGTTAAGCCCATTAAGACCCCGGTCATTTAGGAGGCATGGGGTGTTCTTGACATGACAACGTGAGTGGCTGCCCGCATGCTCTGCCTTTGCTTTTTCCTTTCAGACCAGGGCTTCCTCAATGCTCAGGACTTTCCCATAAGATTCTGGCTCTCTTGGCCAATGCAGAGGGTGCTGTGGCAACAAAGTTATTAGAAGCCTCCCCCCACCCCACCCCCATTCTTTGGTATAATGAGTATCTCATACAAAATATGTTTACTTGGGCATTAGGTCATTACTACTGCTTGAAATCTCAGTTGTTTAGTCTTCCCAGTTGTACAATTCCCATTAGCACTGCTGAGACTTAACAGCAAGTATCAAGAGGAGTACATAATAGAAACTAGACCAAAGGGAATGTGACAGGCTAGTTAATAGATGATTAGAATAGAGGAGCTTTAAGCTTGATTCTCCCTTGGCTATGTACTTCACTGCGTTGTGACATACAGAGAGAGCGTCACCTCCAGGGACAAGATTCAGAGCAAGATTCAGAGCTATTAACCTTCCTACTACAGAAGTTGAGGCTTTCTAATTAAGCAAATAGGAGGGCTGGCAACTCTGCTGCAAGCTGAGCTTGCATATTCAACAGTTTGCTAGTTAAAGCTGAGCTCTGCTTGTGGTGATATTGGCAATTACAGAGCTTAATGAAAAGATGCTTTATCATCTAATTCAAATATGCTGGAAAGTGGGGGACTTGCCACCAAATATTTGGCTGCTTAGTGTAAATAAGGTGGGTGGGGGTAGACCTGCAGTCCTGGAGCTGTACCTAGACCCCAACTCCCATCATTCCTGACTCTTGGCCAGACAGACTGGGACCAATGGAAGTTGGGGGCCCACGGCATCTGCATAATCATCACTTAGCTCCCCCCGCCGCCGCCGCCGCCAGCTTGAATTTAGTGGTCAAATTCACACACTAGCAAGTTTGGAGTCTCTTACAACAGCTTCCATTTGATATTTCATAGTATTTCCTACAGTTATTACAGCGAACAATGGAATATTTATATTATGATCAGGTATTTCCCTCCAGAAATAGCCATGTCTTCTGGGTGATGAAATTTTGTACCTTTCAGAAACAATAATGAGATGTACTCTGATGTTCTGAGCTGCGTAGGGTTGCCAACTGGACAGGGAAAGAACAAGCCTTTCATTTTCTTGTGCCTTTAACATAGGTTTGATATGCATACATCAGCAGGTCGATTTTTCTTCACATGAAACTAAAGTTTATCTCCTGCTAATTGCTGTTGGGGGACACGGGTGGTGCTGTGGGTTAAACCACAGAGCCTAGGACTTGCCGATCAGAAGGTCGGTGGTTCGAATCCTCGTGACGGGGTGAGCTCCCGTGGCCCGGTCCCTGCTCCTGCCAACCTAGCAGTTCGAAAGCACGTCAAAGTGAAAGTAGATAAATAGGTACCGCTCCGGCGGGAAGGTAAATGGCGTTTCCATGCGCTGCTCTGGTTCGCCAGAAGCGGCTTAGTCATGCTGGCCACATGACCCTGAAGCTGTGCGCCGGCTCCCTCGGCCAGTAAAGCGAGATGAGCACCACAACCCCAGAGTCGGCCACGACTGGACCTAATGGTCAGGGGTCCCTTTACCTTTTAATTGCTGTTGATCAATCTTCACCTTAAGGGAAGATAGTTCCTGGGAGGAAGGAATTCAAATGATGGCATCTCTAGAACTATGGAAGAACGGACGCACACAGTTGGACATACCTTTGGAGTTCTAGAATAAACAAAAGCTCTACATTGCCATCTGATAACCTTATGAGAAATAGTTGAACTGCTAAATTGTTCAACTCCTTGTAAGGTCAAGATATTATGTAATTTTTATGTTGCTGCTGCAGAAAGTGGCATAAATTTAGCGGGTGTGGTTTACGGTTTCCTGATCAAAGACAGAAGGAAGGGAAGGCAGGATACACAGAATACATAGAAAGCTGCCTCAGACCATTGGTCCATTTAGCGCAGAATCGTCTTCACTGACTGGCAGCATCTCTCCAGGGTCTGAGGCAGAGGACATTCCAAGTTCTACCTGGAGATCCTGGGCATTGAAGCTGGTACCTTTTTCACCTTTGCAGTGCAGTTCCAACCATGTTCATTACTTGGTAGTTAGATCCAGTGTGATTTAAGTTAAATTTTCTTTCACGGAAAGAGGTTTACAGCCTCAGAATGGAAAGGAAGGGAATGTTGTCGCGGAGATGAGATCTATCAGTGGCTCTTTACCATAATAGCAACAGGCAGGAACGGGGAACCTCTGGCCCTCCAGCTAAAGCAAATTTTACCTCTTTAAAAATCAGAATGAACCACTCATTTGTGAACATGCTCTAAGGTTGCAGTCCTGTGTTCACTTACCAAGAAGCAAGTTCCGTTGAACATAACCTCTGGCAGTTGCTGCATTTTTAATTGTCAGTGATTCACTGATACTGCAATATGTTTTTGATTGTTTAAAATGAAGTTGTGAGGTTTGAGTATATTGCATAGAAAACAAGCTATAAATGTATTAAATACAAATAAACATGCCTATGATCAGGAACAGCATCTTAAAAAGCAGAGACATCACCTTGCCAACAAAGGTCCTTATAGTTAAAGCTATGGTTTTCCCAGTAGTGATGTATGGAAGTAAGAGCTGGACCATAAAGAAGGCTGATCGCCGAAGAATTGATGCTTTTGAATTATGGTGCTGGAGGAGACTCTTGAGAGTCCCATGGATTGCAAGAAGATCAAACCTATCCATTCCTAAGGAAATCAGCCCTGAGTGCTCACTGGAAGGACAGATTGTGAAGCTGAGGCTCCAATACTTTGGCCACCTCATGAGAAGAGAAGACTCCCTGGAAAAGACCCTGATGTTGGGAAAGATTGAGGGCACAAGGAGAAGGGGACGACAGAGGACATGATGGTTGGACAGTGTTCTCGAAGCTACCAGCATGAGTTTGACCAAACTGCGGGAGGCAGTGGAAGACAGGAGTGCCTGGCGTGCTCTGGTTCATGGGGTCATGAAGAGTTGGACACGACTAAACAACTAAACAACAACAACAATGATCAGGAACAGAAAAATCTCTTTGTGTATATAAGGAAACCTGGGAGTTCTTGATGAAGCTAGTGCTGTAAGTTATTTCTCTCCTCTTACCACCATCTAGTGGGGAAGTAGAACATGTTCTTCTACAGCATACTGCAGGGAGGGAGAAGAATAACCTGAGTCATGTATCCAAATCAGACCAAAGAAATGTACTTCTGTGACAACCATAAGGGCTTTGATACATAAGTATATCCAGCAGTCCTGCTCTCCTTTTATAAAAACTGCTTGTTAACTTGATGCAAAGAAAACTGAGTCTTTGGAAATAGCAAGGACAGGAGAAGGGATTATTTTGTGGTTGTGTAATGGATGACGGGGGGGGGGGGAGATACAAAGCCATGGGCTCATGCTGGTGCTTAAGGGAACCTTTTGGATAGGAGAGAAATAAGCAGAAACAGAGATGGGTTATGGGTGTGAGGAAGAGGAAATGGAAATGAGGAAATGGAAGAGAGTGGTATCAAAATAATAATAATATCTAAGATTTTTGTTGAGCTTTCAAGTGCACAAAGCACTTCATATGCATTATCCTGTTGTAATCCTCACAGCAAACCTGGGAGGCAAGTCAGTGTTACGACTGCCCATGTTGTAGATGTCAGGGAGGGAAGCTAATAATAATAATAATAATAATTTATTTATACCCCGCCCATCTGGCTGGGTTTCCCCAGCCACTCTGGGTGGCTTCCAATCGAATATTAAAAACACAATACAGTGGTACATACGCTTCAGGTTACATACGCTTCATGTTAAAGACTCCGCTAACCCAGAAATAGTACCTCACGTTAAGAACTTTGCTTCAGGATGAGAACAGAAATCGTGCTCTGGCGGCACAGCGGCAGCAGGAGGTCCCATTAGCTAAAGTGGTCTTCAGGTTAAGAACAGTTTCAGGTTAAGAACGGTCCTCTGGAATGAATTAAGTTCTTAACCCGAGGTACCACTGTACCAGCTTACCTGGGAGCAAGCACCACTTAGCACAGTGGAACTGAATTCTGAATAGAAAGGCACTGGACTGCTCTGTCAATAATTATGTATATTTGCTTTAAAAGAAATATTCAGGGCTGGGGAGAAAGTGCCAAGCTGCCGTAGCTTCACGGACCAGTCTTTCTAGCTGACAGCAAGAGGGGGAAGAAGAACAAAAAGCTGCTTTCCCCGCCCCCCAAGCCTTTGCTTCCTCTTGCTTTTGAACTGCTAGGTTGGCAGGAGCAGGGACTGAGCAACAGGAGCCGTGCACTCTGGCTTCTGTCACGGTGTTCTATTGTGCCAAAAGCTGTTTAGTCCTGCTGGCTACATGACCTGGAAAGCTGTCTGTGGACAAATGCCGGCTCTCTCGGCCTGAAAGCAAGATGTGTGCCACAACCCCATAGTCGCCTTTGACTGGGCTTAACTGTCCAGGGGTCCTTTGCCTTTCTTTCTTTTTTACCTTTATAAGGTGTGTGATCTTTGTTGTATATTTTGTTGTTTCTTCAGCTTGTAAACTACTTTGTGTATGGTAACATAGGAAGGCGGTATACTAATTTAAAATGGAATGAAATGATATATGTTTCTAGTGTGTTGCTGTTGATATGCGGCTGCACCCAATGGTGACTTTGTGCTAGCACAAGGTGGTGGAGTATCCAAAAAAATTCCCAGTTCCATCTCCCGCTGCCCAAGAGGTTGCTTCTGAGGACTAAGGGGTCCTCAGGAAAAATATGGAAAGGCTGCAATAGGTAGAGGGAAGCAGGAAAGAAGTGGTATTCAAGACTTCCTGCTTCCTACAATGGTAGTAGAACACAGCTGTTATGTCCAGTAGCTATTGCTAGCCTTCTCCATGAATTTGACTAACCTTCTTTTAAAGCCATCCCAATTGGTGGCCATAACTACTGTATTTTTCGCTCCATAAGACACACCGGACCATAAGACGCACCTAGTTTTTAGAGGAGGAAAACAAGAAAAAAAAATATTCTGAACGAAACAGTGGATGTATGATTTTTGTGGTTCATTCTGTGGCCACAGACATGTGATCTGATGGTAAATTTGGGGTGACCCAATGCAAAAATCCCGAGGATCCATGTGGAGCCGTGCTTTGTAACCACGTTTTTGCGCCATTGCGGCCCCATGCAACAGTGAGTGCGTGATTTTTTTGGTGCAGGCTGTAGCCATGGACATGCTATGTGATCTGATGGTGAATTTGGGGTGACCCAATGTAAAAATCCTGAGGATCCATGGGCTTTTACCTCGCCGCCTTCCGGGCAGCCTCCGCTAGAGTCCCTTATCTCTCTTCCGATCCCACTGATCAGCTGCTTCCTTTCAACACTCCCTTCCCTCTTGTTTGCCTTAGTGACTTTTCCTTAGCTGGAGCAGTTTTTGCTCCTCCTTTTCTTCTAATTTCTCTCCTTATTGCTTTAGTCTTCCTGTTTCCCCCCTTTGCAAGTTTGCTGTCTTTACCTCCCCCCTCCCAGGCAGCCTCCTTTATCTCTCGCGTCCCTTATCTCTCTCCCCGATCGGCAAACGATCAGCGGCTTTGTTTCAACACCCACTTCCCTCTTTAAAAAAACAAACCATGATCTGCTTTTCTCCCCTGGGCAATTCGGCTCCAGGGACCACACATTCGCTCCATAAGACGCACAGACATTTTCCCTTACTTTTTAGGAAGAAAAAAGTGTGTTTTATGGAGCAAAAAATACGGCACTTCTTGTGGAAGGGAATTGCATAGTTTTAACTATGTGCTGTGTGAAGATGTACTTTCTTTTGACTGCCACGAGACTTCCAACATTCATCTTCATTGGATGGCCTTGAGTTCTAGCATTATGAGAGGGACAGAGACATCTCCCTTTCCTCTTTCCCCAGACCGTGGAGAATTATAAACATCTCTATCATGTCCCCTCTCACTCCCCTTTTCTCTAAACGAAAAGCCCCAAATGTTATAACCTTCATTCTAAGGTTATCTTGCTCATTTTGTCTGTTTAAGCTCTTTTATTGTAAATTGTCCTGTGTTTGATTTTATCACAGGCAGGGGATGGGAAGTAAATGCCCAAGGGTGTCCATGCATGAGCGGGATGGACCTCTGCTCTTGCAAAGATATTTCACCTACCTCTCCCCCCCATGTACCCTGAAAAACTGCTCTGGGGAGTTGGGGGGTCTGGGCAGGGATCTGCAGGGTGGAGAAAATAAAGATGAAATCCCATTGCACAAGCAAACGTCCATTCGTGAAACGTCGGAGTCTACCCGTAATAAATGAATAAAAGCACATTTGGCAAATTGTGGGGAAATGACTGGAAAAATGGGGCAACTAAATAATTAAAGACTTAGAAATCCCTGGTATGGAAAAGTTAGTGATGGGTACCTGAACAAGAACTGAGCACAATTCTGCCACTGCTGCAAAGGCAAGCTCTCCTTTTAACACTCCAGCAACCGCTGCTAATGTGATAGTGCAATGGTAGTCCTGGGTGAACCTTCTGACAGGGAGAAACACAGTCAAAAGGCATACAGAAATCTTGGATAAGGGCTGTCAGATTGTTCGTGTTATGAGGCCTCATTGAGAGGGGTTTCTTCTGGTAATATGCTTTGATTACACAGCTCAGACTGTGTTGATGGCTAATGAAATTATTTATTTAGATATATTAATGATTCATCCTACACTACTCTGCTGTTACAGGTTTTTGTTTTTTTATCAACAGCGTTGAAAACTACCTTTTCCTGCAGGCAGAAACAAAGCAGCTCTTAATTGTACACGTGACACCTATACGTAAGTGGTCATCATTATTAATTATCATTAATCCCTTTGAATGGTGCAAGACAATGGCTTGGTTTGTTATTGTTTAGTCGTTTAGTCGTGTCTGACTCTTCGTGACCCCATGGACCAGAGCACGCCAGGCACTCCTGTCTTCCACTGCCTCCCGCAGTTTGGTCAAACTCATGTTGGTACTTGTAGCAGACCATTTTTATAGTGGCAATCTAGTCTGCTCATAAAATTGTTTTTTAATGCCATAGTGTTGAATCTTTTGGTGTTTGAAGGACGAGCATAATTCATCAAAGGTTCATGTAGGGAATTCTAAAACTGGTTTTTTTAAAAAAACCTGACATGATCAATGTTATTCCTGGCAGTATTCAAGCTCATGAGGGTTATTCTTTGATCTAAGATAAATAACAAGACACTTCACAAGTAAACACCACACCCACTTTTCCAAGTTGAGGGGATCCTATTTTCATGTGCTATGCAGGTACCAAGACACCAATCCTGCAAAGACATACATGGAGGCCTCACCTTATTTTTATCATAAAACAATGGGGGTGGGTTACCTGATTTTGCTTCCCATGCCAGTCCCACTAAAAGCAATAACCCAAAGGTTAATGGGTCTACTCTGAGTATGACACTGAGTATGGCATTGGATATCATAGAATCATTTAAATTTACGAGTTAGAAGGGACCCAAAGGGTTTAATCATAAGCTGCTTTGGGTGGGCATTTCCCAGAAAAGTGTCCTAGAGTTTTTTTTAAAAAAAGTGGCCTTTTAAAGAAAATTAATGATAAAAATAAATAAATTATAAAAAAGTGATGGCAAAAGAGCTTGTTTTAAAGAGGCAGCATTGCTGATTTAGTATATTTGAAGTACAATTTGCACAAGGATACCTGTCCTTAAAAAGTTCACATATTGACGCGAATGTCAGTTAAGTAAAATGTGACAAAACCTAGGGAGAAAACACAGGTTTCCAGCTCCTTTATTACAAAGGTCAAAAGTTATAACAATTTCAATTATTCACATGAGCGCAGCTGGTATGCACGGTTACACAGACACAAGACCATCTTTATTCCATGAGCGAAGCAACTTTCCACCTATTTTATTAGAGATAAGAATGTGCTTCTCATTTGTCACAGCTTTGTAAACAGGTTTACATAGGACATAGCACCGGAGTTCAGTCCCCTGCGCAAGCTTATGCAACTTTCCTTTTACTTTGGAAAGAGCTCTGTTGTGATTATGCTTAACCCGAAAGGCTGTCATTCAGTGCAACAGAGCTTTTGCAGCTCCAAAGTGACTAGCAGCCCAGTTTCGTTACATTTCACATACAAAAATATCACTGGTAACCTGAAAACCCAATGGGCTTGATACATGACCATTATACTGAATTACTGCATATTCAGGTATTAGCATTATACACACACACAAAACTTAAACCATGGATGTATCGTTTCACCACTCTCTTACACACTTCTCAAGAACTCCACCACTGCTGTTGACTGTAAGAGTTGTTTCAGAGACTGGGAAACAGGAAAACAACATCTCACAGGATAGGAAAGGTTTTACAAGATCCAACAATCACATTCTCCTTACCCCCTCCCCTAGAACAACCAGCTTGATTAGGGTTGTGTGACTATTCTGGTACCAGATGTACCATCATTGCATTCTTTGTGTGTGCCATGGTAGAAAGAGATTACTAGGAAGAGGTAGGTAGGTAGGTAGGTGTATTGAAGTTTATGGCACGTGGCAGGCAGACCACATTGAAGCGCCTACTAACTAGGGTGAAGGAGCACAGTGATTTAAACAAAAAGCACAAGAAGCTGTCACCAACATATTGCAGCATGGGATAAACATAGCTAGGAGCCTTCAGATAGGGCTGCCATATGTCCTCTTTTTCTAGGGCAATGGCCTCTTTTTCATGGGTATGTAAAATGAGAGTTCGTCATAACGATCCATACTTAAAAGCAGAAGTTGGCAAATGTGTCCTCCTCTTTTGCTCTTCAAAATATGGCAACCCTACTTCAGACCTCGATGGACACACCTCCAGTGTTCATTACAGCGAAGGTGTGGGAACAGTCAGATTGGGGAAGAGGATAAATGTCAAAATCCCAGTAACGCTGATGTTACGCCCATGATCTGGAACACATTCACTTGGAAACAAGTCCCATCAATTTCAAAATAAGCTTATCCCCAAGTGAGTGTGTGCTTTGAAGTCTCATTTGTCAAACAAAAGCATCTATACAGAGCGCCTCTGTTAAGGCTTTGTACTGGTCTGAAGAGAGGTTCTTTCAACCAAGAGATTGTTCTTTCGCCTCCGCCTCACTTTCCTTCAGAAGAAGGTTTCTTTGTTGATCCACATGAGGCTGCGGGTCTCGTTCGGCTTGCACTCATACTCAATGCAGGCAAAGCTGTTTCCCCACTGACAGTGGTCTCGCTTGTGGTAGTTGTAGAATTTGACTTGCCAGACTGTTTCAAAAGCACCAATGTCAGTGACCTGGAGAGAGCAAACCCAATTCACTTCTTGTTAAGAGCTAGAAAAACCATCATCATCATCATCATCATCATTATTATTACTGTTATTTTATTATAAGAATTTCATTTATAGAAGGACAGAGTGAGAAAAATAAAGAAAAAGTGAGATTGAATGGAAAAAAATGGAAAATAAAGTATTTTTTCTTTTTCTTAAAGAGCTGCAAAACCTGCACGACTGCAGATTCAGAGGTCCTGTGAATACCCTGTAGCCTGACAAACACTAACCTAAACAAGTGTATCAGAATTAGCAGAGTTGCTGCACATTAAATAAAATAAGTTATTTGAAATAAAGCTTTCGCAGGACAGTGCTCGCTTAACTCTGTGGCATGAGTAGCAACACATTCCTATGCATGTCTAATCAGAAACGAAATAGATTGGAAAGAGAAGTTGCTGAATTGCAGCTTATTACCAAACTTAAGGGATGCGGGTGGCGCTGTGGGTTAAACCACAGAGTCTAGGACTTGCCGATCAGAAGGTGTGTGGTTCAAATCCCCGTGACAGGGTGAGCTCCCGTTGCTCGGTCCCTGCTCCTGCCAACCTACTAGTTCGAAAGCACATCAAAAGTGCAAGTAGATAAATAGGTACCGCTCTGGCGGGAAGGTAAAAGGCGATTCCATGCGCTGCTCTGGTTTGCCAGAAGCGGCTTAGTCATGCTGGCCCACGTGACCCGGCTCCCTCGGCCAGTAAAGTGAGATGAGCGCCGCAACCCTAGAGTCGGCCACTTCTATGACAGATACTTATGCCAAAACAAAGTCAAATCTGGCTTCATTCCACAACAACTTATATTGGGCATGAAGATGCTTTAAAAATTGTGATAGCTGAAAAACCACACACAAAGTCACCCCTCTAGGATTCGACACCACTTACCATATGGACCTGCAGGTGGGCCAATTACCAGACTATTGTAACGGTAGACAAACCTATCCAGATACGTGGACGTGCTTAATCTCCTGTTAGTTTACTGCTGACTGCAACTGCTTTTAAAGCATTTTGGTTAATTTTTAAACTGATTTTATTGATAATTCAGATATTTCTTATAAACCACTTGCAGGGTATGTTACAATCAAGCTGTATCTAAATTTTGCTAAATAATAAAGTAATAGTACATCTAAATTCTCTTACGAAAGAAAACTGAATTCTCCCAGCTGAATAAGTTACAAATTAAGGAAACTTGCACATGGGTCTCAGGCTAGCACTTGGGAGACTAGGGTTCAAATTCCCCACTCAGCCATGATGCTCACTGGGTGACCTTAGGCCAGTCATAGGCTCTCAGTCTAACCTGCCTGACAGTGTTGTTGCAAGCATAAAATGTGGCAGGGCTGAAACTAGACTTTCTGTCACCCAGGGCAAAGACCCAGTTCAGCACCTCCCCCCACGTGTGTTTGCGCACACACACACACACACACAACTCAACACATTTGTTCATAAGGGGCATAAAAAAGTAGTTAGAGGCTGGAGAAGTCTCTGCAAATAGTAGAATTGTCTGTGGCTTTCATTCAACCTTAAGTAGATCTCCTCAGTGAGTAATAGATCATTTGAGGAATTCTAAGACTGTATGACCAAAGGGAAAATGAAAAAGTAAGAGTAAATTGAAAGGGTTTGCACAGAAGAACATTACTTTAAAATACCTGGGTGTGTTTGTCTAACTTATCCTGTTTTCCTAAGATCCTGTTACCATGGGGGGGGGGGGTTATGGGGCTGGGGCTCCCTGTTAGCTTGATTGTCAAGCAATTATTCCCTGTTTACCTGGCTTTTGACTCATTGAATGCTCTGTAAATGAAGGATTAAGATGAAATGGTTATCTGTTATCTCTACAAGCCGCAGGTCCACTCCACCCCCCCTTGCTGACAGGTGGGAAGCCTGGTGCCCTTGGGAAAGGGTCAGGGACAGAGATACTGACTGCTCCCCCATTGGCTACAGCCCTGAATGGGGGCAGGAAAGTCCATGTCCACAATCTTGAGCAGAGGAAAGGTGGGATATAAATGTAATAAAATATATTTTGGAATGTGACTAAGTTTTATTCAATGTAGATGCATCAAAATTAATGAACAGGACTATGTTAAGTCCATTAATTTCAATGGGTCTACTCTCAGAAAAAGGGACGCGGGTGGCGCTGTGGGTTAAACCACAGAGCCTAGGACTTGCCGATCAGGTACCACTCCGGTGGGAAGGTAAACGGCGTTTCCGTGCGCTGCTCTGGTTCACCAGAAGCGGCTTAGTCATGCTGGCCCCATGACCTGGAAGCTGTACGCCAGCACCCTCAGCCATTAAAGCGAGATGAGCGCCACAACTCCAGAGTCGGTCACGACTAGACCTAATGGTCAGGGGTCCCTTTACCTTTACCTTACTCTCAGTAAAGCCCCACCCTAACTACCAGAAATCTTGTTCTATATTTCAGCTGCAATTGCCCATGTGTCTTCTAGTACAGGACCAGCCTAATACATTTTGCCCTTGCATCTCCCCAGTCAAGATGCGCAGTAGACAAGGCTGGCCTGCACCATAGACAGAAAAGCTCATGAGCAAACTCTTTCCTTTCCTTTCCTTCCAGAAGTATAAATATAATAATAAACTAAACTATTCACTTCCCTTTCATGACACTACGCTCCATGCTTCTACAGAACTGTGGCAAAACCACAACCCTACTGCAACCCCAATGAATTACTTTGTGAATTTCCACCCCTTCACCTCTTAGTTTTTTCACCTACAATTATGTCTCTTGCGTTAGTATATAAAGTAGACCCTGGTACATCTGGTTGCACAAATAAAATGCACAGCTGGGGAAACATCAGCAAGAAATTAGCTTGCTTCAAGAGGCAGTGACCACCAATATAGTTTTGAAATAACTTCATTTATGTCCACTGAAAATGATGACCTGGTATGACTTGGACTACTGCAATGCACTCTGTGTGGGGCTACATTTCAAGGTGACTCACAAAATACAACTAATTCAGAATTTGGCTGCTAGGCTGGTGACTGGGAACAGCCACTAGGACCATGTAACAGTAGTCCTAAAGGATCCACACTGGCTTCCCGTATGTTTCTGAGCACAATTCAAAGTGTTGGTGCTAACCTTTAAAGCCATAAATGGCCTTGGCCCAGTATACCTGAAGGAGCATCTCCACCTCCATTGTCCAGCCTGGACACTGAGGTCCAGCTCCGAGGGTCTTCTGGTGGTTCCCCCACTGTGAGAAGTGAAGTTACAGGGCGTCAGGCAAAGGGCCTTCTTGGTAGTGGCGCTGACCCTTTAGAATGCCCTCTCATCAGATGTCAAGGAGATAAAGTATACAGCTATTAGAAGACATCTGATGGCAGCCCTGTTTGGGAAAGTGTTTAATGGATGATGTTTCGTTATGTTTTTTATATTCCGTTGGAAGCTGTCCAGAATGGCTGGAGCAACCCAGTCAGATGGGTGGGGTATAAGTAATAAACCATTATTGTTGTTATTATGATTAGGCCAGGAGCACTGGAAAACAGAAACTGTAAATCACAACTGACAAAGACTTGTTGCAGCTACATTCAGTTTGCTTAAATCAAAAGGTCTTGAAAGATGGGGAGGACAGAGAGAGAATTGAAAGCAGTTGGTCATGTTATTACTGACAGCTAATCTTTGTCAAGTGCCTTCATCCCAGTGATCAAGAGCTGACCTTTGCTCATCTAAATGCATCTAAGATTTTCCAGACCAGTGATTATTGTAAGCAAATTCCAGGATGACTTTTCAGCCTAGTCAGAATCAGAAGCTTCGGAGTCTCACCTAACAGACACAAAGGGGGGCTTGCTTGTTATTAGATTATATAGTGGCCCCAGGATACACTTCTGACAGAATAACAAGAGAGAGAGATCTCTGTCCCAAGGAATTTACAAATGAAATTAGCAACTGTTAGCCTCACAAGAAGAGAATGGTAGAAAAGGGGAGGCAAGGGTTAACCAGGATGCACATGACTTTGCCCACATTTCCAACTGTAAAACCTATGAGCTGAACTTATACACTGCTTGATGGTAAAAATAATAATAATAAAAAATCTCAAAGCAGTTTACAAAAGATAAAACAGCAGAATCGAGAAAAAATTGCAACTACCGTATTGACCCGAATAAAAGCCGCACCTGAATATAAGCTGCACGTTTAAAATTGGAGGTGGGGGGGGAGAAAAAAAGAAAAAATACCCGAATATAAGCCGCTCCATTCCTCGCTGCTTCTGGCTGCATACTGGGGGGGCGTGCTGCGTTTCCGTCGGCCTTTCCCCTTCCTCACACTCTCCCTTTCCGGCCTTGGGGGAAGAGGACGGGGGGGGGGACTACATGCGGGGAGAGCCCCCACTTTGCTGCGCTCCTGCTGCTGTTTGCCCTGTGCTCCTGGCCACATACTGTAAGGTCACAAATATAAGCCGCACTTCAACTTTTCACGGTCTGAATTTGGGGAAAAAGTGAGGCTTATATTCAGGTCAATATGGTAATACAGATTAAAATTAACAAAACTTTTAAAGCATCTGGGTAGGATTGTCTATACAGGAATGTTTTTAGGAGGTGCCAAAATGACTGCTGTGAAGGTTCTCAATAGGCGGGGAGTTCCAAAGTGCAAATGCTGCCGCACCGAATGTCTGAGTTGCACGATAAGCCTCCCACTGACAGCATAAACCAGGGACCTCTGACCTTTTTGGACCCGGAGGCACATTTGGAAATTTAAGAACTGTCACAGGTGCACAGAACACCCATTTCACAGAGGATGCTCACCTCCAGCCCAGGCAGGCAAAGCACCTATGCTCCCCCCAAATAAGAACATAGATAAAACAGGCAACCAAACCTCTCCCAAAGCCCACAGCTTTAAAAAATGGAAGGAGCAAAGGGCCTTGGTGGGGACAGTAGAAGATATCTGAAGATGCTGTGGTGGTGCCCACGGGTGCCACGTTGGGGAACCCAGGCTCAAGATGAGTGAAGGAATAATTGCTTGGGCATGCCAGAGATGTTTGTAATCAGAACATCTGCTCATAGGAGATTTTCAGGGATCTTACGTAACAGCTAGGCTTTCAGCTCCTGTGCAAGGTAGCAATGCAATGTTTATTTGAGCCCAGCTCCCAAACCATGATGTTTCTGCCACTACAGATACGTTAAAATCGGTCCAAAGGCTGGAACTCTGCCGTGTCGTCTGCTCTCAGGCTTGGCAGGTCAGCGTTCTTCCTGCAGAGGTGGATCCTGTGCCTTTAGCACAAAACTGCACAAAGCAATGATGCCAGGAAGGAAAACCTAGACTTGCAAGGTACTGGTTTTTACATGTCTCCTGCCTGTGTGAGTTGTTACCACACATGGCAGCTGTTCCATTCTCCTGGTCTTACTATGCAGGCTGCTCAGCAATCATCATGGTTTATATGCATACACCTTGCAGTTTGTGGCTATCTGATGCAGTGGGCCAGGAATCCTGCCCCCAGCACCCTCCATTTCCATTGAAATGCAAAGCCCAGTTCTGAAAGGTGGTCTCCGTTTCACAGTTATAAGAATGAAAGGCTTATGAAATGCAGAAGCTCTTAACAGAGAAGAAGGAAAATAAGTGATCTTATAAAGGTGTTCACAGCTAACAGAGATGCAGATGGCTTGCAAAATGGAAAGGGCTTTACTCTGGAGTGTGTGGGTATTACAGCCAAATATGATAGATGATATAAATAACAAACAACACCTTGGAGCTGATGTGTTGACAGAGGGTGCAATAAGCTGAAAAATGCAACTCAGGGGGATTAAATAACTTAAAGGGGCACAGTTTGGCCAGATTTGGTAGCTTTTGCTAAGTGTCTATATGGCAGAGATTGCTCTGTCAGTGGGACGAGATGGGTGAACATAAATCCTACACAGGTTAAAGGTAAAGGTAAAGGGACCCCTGCCCATTAGGTCCAGTCGTGACCGACTCTGGGGTTGCGGCGCTCATCTCGCTTTACTGGCCGAGGGAGCTGGCGTGCAGCTTCCGGGTCACGTGGCCAGCATGACTAAGCCGCTTCTGGCGAACCAGAGCAGCGCACGGAAACGCCATTTACCTTCCCGCTGGAGCAGTACCTATTTATCTACTTGCACTTTGACGTGCCTTCAAACTGCTAGGTGGGCAGGAGCTGGGACCGAGCAACGGGAGCGCACCCCGTCGCGGGGATTCGAACCGCTGGCCTTCTGATCAGCAAGTCCTAGGCTCTGTGGTTTAACCCACAGTGCCACACAGCTTACATTGCTGCAATAGCACAATACAGCAGTAAAAGATTCCTTGCACCTCACCACCAAGGATGGCAGGGGAAAGGAAAAGCTGTAATCCTTTGCTCTGGATTCAAGAACCCTGAATGGAGTCTCCCAATAAAGATAAAGAGATGATGGCAAACATGGGAAATGCTAGCATGTTAATGGTCAGCCACAGCTAATTCTGAGTGTTTTAGCCAAGGGCACATATCTTTAAACTAATGCCCAAGCCAGAAGAAGCCAACCTGGTTCCCTCTAGAAAATGTGGGACTCCTGTCAGTCGCAGCCTGCACTGTGCTTGCCTCTGAATGGCCCAGTTTTACTGCAAGAATATGTCTAGTCACGGATGACCACGTGTCGCTCCTTAAACCTCAGGTGAACTGGAGCGATGAATGGGTCAGCTGAGGTCATGGGCTCTGCAGAGTAATGGCCAGTCGGCCTTTGGAGGTTTACGCTGTCACAGATGCTTAAAAAGATAGAAGTCCAAGGTAAAGGGGAATTACAACAGACAGTGCTATGTTCTTAAGTGCTATACCTTTTAAACAGACCAGAATGCACTGCCCGTACCCAGACAACATGACTTATGCTACCCCACACCCCAAAACACACACTACCTGTATGTTGATTTGTATGGGCTGCCTCTCGCCACTTTTAGTGTGAGTTACGCCTTCTGTATCGTAGATTCCAGTGTAGGTAACAGCTTGAGGGTCTCTCGACTTCTCTTCCAGGGGGAACGTTACTCCTCCGATACCCATAGTCCTGAAAGAGTAGTTAATATTCTTAGCAAGCCTCTCTTCCTAATGTGGAGAGAGAAAGTAAGGTTTACAAGCAAACATCTGCCATGATTATAACCAGCTCCCTTTAGTTTTCTGTCCATATATCAGAATGTAACAGAGAAAGGAAGGCTGTACAAGTGCCACGCTACTGTCCTTCATTACAGTGCGGGAGGGGGGACATACAATGGACAGATACTCTCAAGAAACAAAGAAGTATTCAATTCCACCACTTTCTGTTCAGGAGGCCATCAAAGAAGATGTGCCTCCTCCACGTGAGGTCCAGAGGGTGGCAACACAAGAACAGGGCTTTTCTGCAGTGGCTCCCTGTTTGTGGAATGCTCTCCCTGTTTGTGGAATGCTTGCCTGGTACCTTCATTATACATCTTTAGGCTCCCAGGCCTTTGAATGATTCACATCACTTTTAAATGTCCTTGTGGGAGAGAGGGTTATGGGTTTGTTTTGTTTTTCACATTTTTATTTTGTATTTTATGCTGTGAACTGCCCTGAGATAAATAATCATACTCTCTCCTCCCCAAGGGATGCCCTTAAAATATGTCGGCGACTCTTTTTGCAGGTATCTGTCTATGTCATATAGCTGCAGTTCAAAACAATTTGATTATGTGCCACTAATCTCAATTAATACAAATGAGTAATAAGTCGAACAGTCGACTTATTATAGTCGAACAGTCGAAACGCCACAAAAGCCAAAGAAGAAAATTGGGCTGTAACAAGGAGAAATTGGAGGGGTTTGTTTTCAAACCTGCCTTTTATGACTCAGAAGAAAATACCTCTGTGTTTGTCCTATGGGAGCCTCTGAACATAGCAAACTGTTTTATAGCTCAGTATCGTCTGCAGAGATTGGTAGTGACTTTCCAGGATTTCAGGTATAGGATTTCCCCAGCCCTACCTGGAGATTATTGGGACTGAACCTGGGACCTAGTGCAGGCAAAGCTCTACCACTGAGCTATAAACCTCCCTTAGAGACAGCCAGCTCAGCTACCAACACTGGAAATGGAGCTATGGTGTCAGGGGCGTAGGAAGAGTCATCCTGGGTGTATGTGTGACAAAATCCCCCCTGGGCGGATCACCACCGCGCCGATCACCCTGCCCCTGGGAGGATCACCATATGGTGCCTGGAGAGTTGCTTCAAAGTTTCTAAGTAAATAGAACAGGATCTATTATTCACATTACGTCCATCAGGCATATCTATTTTGGAGCTGGGAAGTGCAGCAATATTGTGTCAAGTGAGGTTTATGGCCTTCAAGGCGTGTGTCTGGTGCAAGCACAATTCCTTGCTTTGAAAGGGAGGAAAACAAGCCAGGAGTTTGTAAGTCCTTAGATAAAACATGTGATCATGTGTATGCACATTTAAACTCACTTAGGAGCACAGCACCACCATGGCTTCATGAATGCAATGGACCTTCTGCCGCCTGATGCTACTCAGAAGCAATTCATATTTAATTCAGTGGGTTCCAGCTACACTGGTGGGCTTTCAAATTTCAGCAGCACCAAAATCCGGTGGCCTCTTGCCTTCCGTTCCAGGTCATTGTTGCGACGCCCCCTGCCGCACCCTTTGGCTCAGCACCTAGTGTGGGCGAACCAGTAGCCCTCCCCTAGATCCAGCTCTGCCAGGCAAGTGGGGAAAGGTTTGCAACTTCACTTGGGAATAAGCTCCATTTCACTGTAGAAAAGGTAATGCCTTCTTAAAGTAAAAGGAAAGGAAAGGGGGGGGACCTCAGACTTTGGGGGCCCATTAGCTTGCTGCATTTTACCTTGCTTATTCAGTGAGTTAGTTCTTAAATTTGTACACTGCCCTTCATCCAAAGATCACAGGGCAGTTCACAAGAAAACGAGAATGCAAAATGAAACAAAAACAACCCGGTAACCCCAACCTCCCCTCCATTTAAAACGGCACAGAATGCTAGTCAAAGGCCTGGTTATAGACAAACATTTTCGCATTGCACAAACGGGGAGCCACCCTCCCGGCCTTTCAAGGAGGGGGCAAAGAAGAAGGGCCTCAGATGATGATAGCAGGGTCAGGGTTGGAGAGAGACTTCTTTGGATGCTCCGGCATTTATTGCTTTAAGGTCCTGATTTTAATGGATTTGTCTTTGACATTACCCTAATACCCCCCAAAAACCCGTTTGAATGGAAGGCAGAAAATGAATGTTTTAAATAAATGTCTCGCTGGCAACCGCGCCTCCCTTACAAATTCCGAAGTAAAGAGAGAGGATGCTGCAGAGACCAGGATCAGTCCTCTGGCGGTCCAGGAGTCAACCCTTGGCCCATTTGCTGCTGCCCCTCCTCACCACCTGCAACTCTGCACCAGGTCTCCGGGGGGGGGGGGCCTGGCGGTGTCTCCTGATTCCAGAAGCCCTGGACCCGCCCTGCTTCCAAGACACCCCTAGAGGATGCGCGCAGGAGGGGAGGCCGGTTACATAAGCAAAGCCGGAGCTAGGACGCCGGGCAGATCCGCTCCGTTGTCCCCCCCCCCCCATTCCCTATGCATCGCCCTCCTCCGGTCTCCAGCGCCGCACCTCGCCGGGCCTTCGAGCCGAGCCTCTCCAGCCCCTTCCCTGCACCCGCACCGGCCCTTTTCTGCTGGAAGGGAGCGGGGCGTTTGCCTGCAAGGCTGGCCTTCGCGAGCAGGCTGCTCGGCGCTTTATTCCTCGGGCGCAACGCAGCAAGGGGGCTGGTTTCCTTTTTTGCCAAGGTCCCGTTGGCGCTGCGGGTCCAGCTGGCCGCTGTGCGGGGTCAGGGCGCAGAGATGCCGAAGGGAAAGAATAAGAATGGGGATAAAGATGGAAGCCTGTCCCTTTGCCAGGGAACAAATCTGGGCGGGCAGGCGCGCTGCAAGACGCAGAAGCTGCTCTGGGGAGGGAAAGGTGAGGAAGGCAGGCAGGTCCCACTTACGTGGCCTGGATGGCTCCGGGCTTAATGGCCACCTCGACTTTGTACTTGGCCCCCGTGAGCAGCTTGATGGTCCGGTTCTGCCCGAACCTCTGGCCGTCCACCTTGAAGTAGACGGGCCCGTCGTTGGGCTGGATCTTGAGCGAGATCTTGATCCGCACCACGGTGGGCACCTCGGCCATGGCTGCGTCTTTGCGCTCCGCTCCTTCGGCGAGGATGGAGGCGCCGAGGGAAGAGGAGAGGGAGAAGGAGGGCAGGCTCTCCGCCCGGATCCCCCTCGCCACGAATGACGACGGAGGCCCGCTACACCCCCACCCCACCCCCCCCTCCCGCGCGGGTGCGCGCTCGGGTGCGGACGGAAAGAGCGGCGGAGCGGGCGGAGCGCGCGCGCGCGCGCCGCTGGGTCTGTGCGCAACGCGAGGCGCGGAAGTTAATCCCCGCTGGCCTGATTCTGGGCCGCCCCCGAGCCAAGCCGGGCCCCTCCCCGCGGACTCGGTCAGACGCGGCCAGCGGAGAAGGGAAACCCCCCGAGCGCCTCGCGGGTGGGGCTGCTCGCTATTCTTTTTTCCGAAAATCAGTGCGAAGGGGGGCTCTGGCTCGGATTTAATCGCTCCGGGTGGAAACAGCTGTCTGCCGAGCATCATCTCTCGGGGTGGCACCACGAAGAAGCTGGACTTTGGGTACCGTAGATTGATAGTGGGAAGGGACCCCGAGGGTCATCTAGTCCAACCCCCTGCAAGGCAGGAATCTCAACTAGATCATACATCCAGAGGTGGACTTTGGGAATATGGTGCCCTGAGCGAGGATGGCGCCCCCTCCCTAAATATTTCTGATTTTCAACAATTCACTTCTGTACAGTTGCTTTCTTAGATCTTCTCAGTAGGTGCCCAAATAAATACAGTGGTACCTTGGGTTACATACACTTCAGGTTACAGACTCCGCTAACCCAGAAATAGTACCTCGGGTTAAGAACTTTGCTTCAGGATGAAAACAGAAATCGTTCTCCAGCGGCGTGGCAGCAGCGGGAGGCCCCATTAGCTAAAGTGGTGCTTCAGGTTAAGAACAGTTTCAGCTTAAGAACGGACCTCCGGAATGAATTAAGTTCTTAACCCGAGGTACCACTGTATAGGTTTTATTATGATCTTCCATACTTGCTGGATGGGTTTTGATGCTGGGTGTCATCAATGTTACTTCTCTCCTTAGGTCCCAGCAAGGTAGTGAGGTCCAGGTGTCTGAAGTTGGTGGTGATAGACTGGATGAGGCCTAACAAACTGAAAGTTAATTCAGATTGGTTGGTGGGAAGCAATCTGGTTGATCTAGGATCAAGTGCTGAGCCTATTCTGGATGGGGTTCCACGCACCCATCCTTGAAAGAGAAGATTTGCACCTTGAAGGTGCTTGTGAGTTTGGCTATTACAGGATGAACCAAAGGTAGCAGCGGCCAGTAGTTTTGCCTACTACACCAGTTGAATGAACTTTTAGCCACAGAGATGCAGACCACAGGAACCTCAAAATTAGACTACTGCAATGCATTCCACATGGGGCTGCCTTGGAAGAGTGGTCAGGATGCGCAACTTGTCCAAAATATGACAACAAGGTTCTTGATGGGCTTCTAGTTTGTATCACACCTAGTCTCACACGTCTGAATCACTTACCGGCTTGTGTCCAGGCCTTATTGAAAGTGCTGTTTTGACTTTCAGAGCCTGAAATGGTCTGGAACCAAGCTATTGGGGGAAAGGGTGTCTTCTTACATATTCCCCTACTTACACCATCTTGGGTTACTTCCTTTGCTGACCCATGGACAGTGAGAGCCACATCACGGGCTTTCTCTGTGGGATTCCTTTTGTAGGAGGAGGCCTCTGGCTGACCCTTGTGAGTTTTTGAGGGCAGCCAAAGCTTTCACATTTAGGAAAGCTTTCATACTGCTGGACAAGAAGAGTCAGTGTGGTGTAGTGGCTAAGAGTGGTGGACTTGTAATCTGGTGAACCGGGTTTGCTTCCCTGCTCCTCCACATGCAGCTGCTGGGTGACCTTGGGCTAGTCACACTTCTCTGAAGTCTCTCAGCCTTACTCACCTCACAGAGTGTTTGTTGTGGGGAAGAAAGTGAAAGGAGAATCTTAGCCGCTTTGAGACTCCTTAGGGTAGTGATAAAGCGGGATATCAAATCCAAACTCTTCTTCTTCTTCTTCTTTTTGTCTTGTTTTATCTTGTTTGATACTAGTGAATGATATGTTACTTGTCAGCTCTGATCAGCGGCGTAGCGTGGGTTGTCAGCACCCGGGGCAAGGCAAGTAATTTGCGCCCCCTAACCCCTAACCTGCCGCCGCTGCCAGCTTCTTCTTGCTGCTGCCTGGGCTGGTCTGGTGTGGTTCTCTCCCGCGCTCAGCGCTGCGCTGGGCGGCCGCTGCACTGTCCCTCCCCCAGATAGTCCCTCGCTCTCTCTCCGCACCGCACGCCTGGCACCCATCCCCTCCACAGTGGGCGGCGACCCAGCAGCTCGGATCGGATTCGCACAGCCAGCACTGCAGTGAGAGAGAGTGAGTGAGCCAGGTAGGGGCAGAGAGCTGCGAGTGCGAGCGCGCCCCCCCAGATGTTGCGCCCGGTGCGGCCGGCCCCCCCTGCACCCCCCACACTACGCCACTGGCTCTGATTGTTGTTTTCTTTGTGTATAATTTGCCAGCTGCTGCAAGAACCATGTACTGAGCATGCAGAATATACATGTTGTGCTCAGGGCCGGGGGTCCCAGTTATAGAAGATCTAAGCCATGGGTAGGCAAACTAAGGCCCGGGGGCCGGATTCGGCCCAACCGCCTTCTAAATTTGGCCCACGGACAGTCCTGGAATCAGCATGTTTTTACATGAGTAATAATAATAATAATTTTTTTTATACCCCGCCCTCCCCAGCCAAGGCTGGGCTCAGGGCAGCTAACAAGCAATAATAAAAACAAGTTGAATGAATACAACTTAAAAACAAGATTAAAATACAACATTAAAATACTGAAACAGTGAAATATTAAAATGTTAAAATGCAGCCTCATCACAGGAGGAGAAAGGAAAAAGAAAGGGGGGGGAATCAAATTGTCTCTAAGCCAAAGGCCAGGCGGAACAACTCTGTCTTACAGGCCCTGCGGAAAGAAATCAGATCCTGCAGGGCCCTGGTCTCATGAGGCAGAGCGTTCCACCAGGCCGGAGCCAGTGTTGAAAAGGCCCTGGCTCTGGTTGAAGCCAATCTAACTTCCTTAGGGCCCGGGACCTCTAGGGTGTTGCTATTTATGGACCTTAAGGTCCTCCGTGGGGCATACCGGGAGAGCTGGTCCCATAGGTACGAGGGTCCTAGGCCGAGAAGGACTAGCACCTTAAATCTGACCCTGTACTCCACCGGGAGCCAGTGCAGCTGGAAAAGAACTGGGTGAATATGCTCCCATGGCAGAGACCCCGTGAGGAGCCTCGCTGCAGCATTCTGCACCCGCTGGAGTTTCTGGGAGTTTCTGAGTAGAATGTGTCCTTTTATTTAAAATGCATCTCTGGGTGTGGGGCATAGGAATACGTTCAATTCCCCCCCGCGCCCCCCAATATAGTCCTGCACTCCACAAGGTCTGAGGGATAGTGGACCGGCCCCCTGATCTAAGCCTTCACCAAAGTACTCATCAGTGTGGGGAGGGTTGCAGATGCAGCCCAGTCCAAGCAAACCCAGGTCAAGTGCACATAATTAGTCTAGGTCCAAACATGATCCAGAGACAAGGCCAGGCGACAGTCTAAGGTTAACATCACAGGGAGGTTAGGCCAGACACAACACCACAAGGCAGGGAAGCCAGCACCAGGAACTAGCTACCAAAGACTTTTCTTTGTTTCCACAAACTGGAAGACTCAGGAGGGGAAGCCTTATATACTTTGGGCTCCTAAATTACACCCTAACCACAACCGCTGCCAGTGAAGGAGTATTAGGGACTCCGTTACTCATGAATAGTTGCAGTTGCTCAAAAGTAGACTGGCCTTGGGTTTGTAGACAGATACTATGCCTAGACCTGATGCTTTTGGGGCAGGCACTCTTGAGGAAGAGGGGCACGTTCCTCCTCTGCCACTTCCAGGGGTTGTTCATCAGGTAGCAGCCTGGAAGGGGCTCCTCAGGCTTGGCTTTAGCAAGTCCTCAACCTCTGCGATGTCTGGTTCATCCTCTGAGGACTCCACGTCTGATAACTGGTCAGAGTAGTACTGCAATCCGAATCCTGTTTACTTGCAAGTAAGCCCCACTAAATTCAATGGGTCTTGCTTTTGAGTAGAGAGAGTTGTTCTATTAGTTTTTAATTAAAGTCTGAAAGAAAAAATAGAAAGGTTAATATGAAATGGTCTGGATGATAATTAGCATTGGTCTCATCTAGTCCTCTACTGATTCCTTACCCCAGGACTAGACAACCTGTGGCCCACCAGATGTCGTTTGACTCCAGTTCCCATCAGCCCTAGCCTGCAAGGGTAATGGTCAGGGAAGATAGGAGACAGTAGTCCAGAGGTGTCCCCCCACCACCACTCCTCAGATATTCAACCTGATTATGAAACTCACCCACTGAATCATACGACATTTGCCAAAATCACAAATACAATGCACTGTTTTGTCTCAAGCGTTTCAAATCATCTAGTCCAGATGATGGATCCTGACAGATCTTCATTTGTCATCTCAAATTCTTTTACTGATGTCACTTAAATCCATACTGCTAACACTACTGCAGTCTCACATCACTGGGCTGCTGTATTCTATAGTTTAAGTCATTATGCATGCCTGCAGTCTCTGTATAATGGCTAAGTAGACAGTGGTACCAGATTCAGGTAAGTAGCCGTGTTGGTCTGAGGCAGTTTAAATAAATAAAAAATTGTCCAGTAGCAACTTAGAGACCAGAACAAACTTAGCTGGTCTCTAAGGTGCTACTGGACAATTTTTTATTTATTTAGATAGTGGTAATTAGTATATGGGACGCAGGTGGCGCTGTGGGTTAAACCACAGGGCCTAGGATTTGCGAATCAGAAGGTCGGCGGTTCGAATCCCCGCAACGGGGTGAGCTCCCGTTGCTCGGTCCCTGCTCCTGCCAACCTAGCAGTTCGAAAGCATGTCAAAGTGCAAGTAGATAAATAGGTACCGCTCCGGTGGGAAGGTAAGTGGCGTTTCCGTGCGCTGCTCTGGTTCGCCAGAAGCGGGTTAGTCATCCTGGCCACATAACCCGGAAGCTGTACACCGGCTCCCTCGGCCAATAAAGCGAGATGAGCGCCGCAACCCCAGAGTCAGACTGGACCAAATGGTCAGGGGTCCCTTTACCTAATTAGTATGTAGGATTTCGATGGTTTGAGTTAAATACATTTAGATCTGGCAGGATTAGTTGAGCATTCACACATTTACCAGCTTCTATGGTGTCAAGTCATGCTGGCTGACAAGCAGTTAAGGGTGGGTGTTATGTATATTTGGATGATACTGCTAGCATCTTTATATAACAGGCCCATGCCTAAAATGTAGGCCTTTATTCTTGCATTATTTGTTTCTCATTTTTTTTATGTGCTGGATTTGGGATTTCAATCCAGCATGTCTCTTTCTAAGATTCAAGCAGATTTTTATCTACAGAATTGACTCTTAATCTGGTGCCTGGGGAAGTTGTGTTTATTCTTCTTTGGGGAGTTTCCAGAAAAATGCTGGACCAGAATCTACTGCCAGGGAATCCTTCAGATGTTGTTGGACTCAGTTTCCATCAGCCCCAGCCAGAATGGTTGACAACCGACAACCAGGGATGATGGGAGCCCATCCACATCTGCAGGGCACCATGTTGCATACCCCTGATCTACCACAATGTTTCTGTACAGAACCAATGGCCAACTGGTTCTCTTCATGCTCTGCTTTGTTGGAATCCTTTTTCCTGAATCTGCTCTTTTAATTTCACATAATTAGAAGGATAGTTTCACAGTACCCTTCATTTTCTGCAATCAGCTCACAGGGAATGAAGGTCATTTGGAGGACTAGTAAATCCATCCTTTACTTTTCCTGTTTCTTGAAGCGCAAAATGTTAGTAGCATGCATCTATATTAATGCTGCCTCAGCACTGGTAGTTTTGAGAGATGGGACATGGAACTAAAAAGCAATCTATTGTGAATTGTACATGAAAAGTGTGCATGAGAAAGGGGAGTATCAGCTATTTTCAAGAGTGGAGTTTACATATGTACTGAATTATTTCCCCCAAATTTACCTAAATTCAGTTTTGGGGTGTTTGGAAAATCCATTGTACTGTGTTGATCATAAACAGTACAGTTATGATGAACTGAGATATACCACTTTATATCACATGACGAGAGTGAGAGGATGGTGAGGATATCATCTTGTATTGGGGGCTCATTCTTAATGCTTGCAAGTATTACATTTTTAAGGTCAGGGTTCATATTGTAGCACCTGTTACAGCTAGCTACAGCTATTATTATTTGAACTTATATTTTAAATGCAAAGTTAGTAGATAGATGATAGCTAGCTAGCTAGATATAGATAGATAGATAGATAGATAGATAGATAGATAGATGATAGATAGATATAGATAGATGGCCAGCCACTTGCACTGGGAAAACAGGGCAAATTGCTCTTTTACCACTCATTGATCATCCTGACTGTATAGGCAAATGGGCAATTAAGGCTGTACTAAAAAAGTAGGTCATTTGTGCAGTCATCCTGAGGACACACCCTTAGAACACTTGTGTAATCGTAGGTGAGAAAGGCATCTGGCTGTGTCATACCAACAGGATAAATTGGCCAACAAGGAAAGTTACCATAATACATTGCAAAACAGATTTGGAGAATCAAAAGTACAAGGAGCAGGGAGTGAAAATGCCTGGCAAACAACAAGTGCAATACTGGTGCTGGCATGTGAGAAGAGGACTAGAATTAAAAAAACAGCAAAAAAGGGCTCATTCCCATTATAAAGATGTTTAACTTAGCTCTAAGTATGTCTTAGCAATGTAAATTATTGACATGGGGTTGAAAGTTGCTCCTGTCTAGACACCCAGGGTTCTTTCAGCACCATAGATGTGGACAGTTACCAACTAAGAAACTGATTTACACACTGCTAAAAGACAGCTACTCAATGTAAACTCCCTCCCCCTAGCTACAGTGGTACCTCAGGTTAAGTACTTAATTCGTTCCGGAGGTCTGTTCTTAACCTGAAACTGTTCTTAACCTGAAGCATCACTTTAGCTAATGGGGCCTCCTGCAACTGCCGCGCCGCCGGAGCACGATTTCTGTTCTCATCCCGAAGCAATGTTCTTAACCTGAAGCACTATTTCTGGGTTAGCGGAGTGTGTAACCTGAAGTGTATGTAACCCGAGGTACCACTGTATTTTAATTCCTACAGAACCCAAATCTTGTGAGTCCCAGCTAATCTAACATTTCATTATCCAATTGAGGAGTAACAAATGATAACACATTTGTTTCTATGCATAGAAACAAGTAGTCAAACTATTAGCACAACTAATAGCAGAAGGCAGAATGCCAGAACATTGGCTAGCACATTGGCTAGAATGATTAATCAATTAGAACTCTCGCTTGAGTGGGGCATATCATGCCTGGGTAAATTGTGTGGAGCTGAAAATATTGATTTGAATTTGCTTTTCTCCTAAACAATAGGCTGGATCTATAATGAGTTTAAATCCATTGCCAGCCTTTTATATTTATTCCATTAGAACAAACAGCTTTATGTAGACAAAGGGAGAGTGGCAATTTTCTTTTCTTGTCCTGGGAGTTTTGCAGCATAATTTGTTGTTGTTGTTGTTGACCTACTCTTCACTCAAAAATCCCTGGGTAGGTTGTTGGCATCCATATGTTTTGGGAGACAGTGGAGGAGTGCACTTTTGGGGGTGAAGTCAAATGGTTGGAAGGTTATAGAGCCTGCTGTGGCTGTAGAGACCGATATGGGAGAGAGATGTTTTGTTGCAGCTACAGAAGATGAGAACAGTTTGAGATAACTTACCATTACAAAAATGTTGTGGGTCCTGAAAATATATGTCTTAAGTGTCGAAGACCAGGGTTCAGAAGTGCTTTCAAGGAAATCTGTGTCGTGAAGGTGACAGATGCACGACAGTGGAGAGGGAGTTCCACAAATGAGGTGGTCCTTCAGAGAATGCCCTCTCCTGGGCCAGTATCTCCTCAAGCTTCTGAGAGTGGTAGAGCTACTAAGAGCGCTATCTATCATCTATCTATCTATCATCTATCTATCTATCTATCTATCATCTACCATCTATCATCTATCTATCTATCATCTATCTATCTATCTATCTATCATCTATCTATCTATCTATCTATCTATCTATCTATCTATCATCTATCTATCATCTATCTATCTATCTATCTATCTATCTATCTATCTATCTATCATCTATCTATCTATCATCTATCTATCTATCATCTATCATCTATCTATCTATCTATCTATCTATCTATCTATCTATCTATCATCTATATATCTATCATCTATCTATCTATCTATCATCTATCTATCTATCTATCTATCTATCTATCATCATCTATCTATCTATCTATCTATCTATCTATCTATCTATCTATCATCTATCTATCTATCATCTATCTATCATCTATCTATATCTACAGTATCTAATCTATCATCTATAACATCTATCTATCGTCTATCTATTATTTACCTCCCTCCCTCCTTATCTAAATAACTTTTTATTGGGTTTGATAAATAAGAGTGATAGGAATAATAAATGATGTAAATAAATAGACCAAGAATAAAGCTCTTTCTTTTTCATCTCATTAATTAAATGTGGGCCAAGTTCTATCAGTGCTGTGGCTTTGTCATAATGCTTCATTGAAGTAAATTTGGCACTCAATCCTTGGGAGCCCAACTGCTTTCAGAGCCTTTTTGCTCTCAGTTGTCGTAAGCATGGGGGGCCACACACACATTTGCATATACTGTGGTTCCTCAGGTTAAGAACTTAATTTGTTCTGGAGGTCTGTACTTAACCTGAAACTGTTCTTAACCTGAAGTACCACTTTAGCTGATGGGGCCTCCTGCTGCTGCCACACGATTTCTGTTCTCATCCTGAAACAAACTTCTTAACCTGAAGCACTATTTCTGGGTTAGCGGAGTCTGTAACCTGAAGCGTATGTAACCTGAAGCGTATGTAACCCGAGGTACCACTGTAGTGCATCTTATGAGCACTTGTTGAGTCACTATCACAACTGGGTGCCGCTTGAGAAATAACCAGGCTAGGTCTAAAATAGAATGACTGCCCTGTGACTCTCCCCTGCTTGCTTTGGAAAATAAAAAGCCTGAGAAAAACCCAGGCTTTAATGAAAGAAAAAAGGACAGCAATGAAAATGTTAGAAAAAAATCTAATTAAATCTAGAAAAACTTGTACCTTGGAAATTTTATCGCATAGTTTTCAATATTTGGGTTTAGCAGCAGTGGGCGCACGAGACCTCTGTGCTTCTGGGTTGATTCTTCTCCACCTTTTTACTGTAGCTTGTTAGTCTAATGCCCTGAAGATGCTAATGGACAACACCATCTTCCTTGACCATTGGCCATGTTGGCTGGGTCTGATGGACGTCCAAGAGCATCTGCAAGACCACCAGTTCTGCATCGCTTGTCTAAGCCCTGTTCCTCTCCCCAGCCAGCAGCACCAGTGGTGGGGACACCCACCACCACGAGGAGGGAGATTGGCAGAGTCCTCCCCTCCTTCATTCCCATTGTGTACTCAAATAACCCATCAAAGCTCATCTCTGCTGCTGGTGCTATGATTTAAGTAGCTTACCTGAGAAAGTGGGGGGGTTTAAGAATGCTTTAAACTGGAATAATCATGTTGTACCTAAATTGCTTCACCCAGCTTGTGGCCAAGATGAATGGAAGACAAAGTCTGTGAGTCACTGCTTCATTTGTTGCCCTGAGTGAGTTTGCACTCTTCTGCAAAGCATCTATTTTTGAACATATTTGCAAATCAGGCTCTGTGTAAGTAGTACATTTTGGGGAGTGGGGTCAGTAGTTGACCTTGATGGCCTAGGCTCTAGTAAATGTCAGCTGTCAGGCAATGCTAGTGTTGCAGGAACCCTTCCCCCAATCATTTAGTTTGTACAAACTCGACACACACACACTCACTCACACACGACATATGCGATGTTTCTGTTATAAATTCATAGAAAATCAACCGTACATCGGATCTACACCATTCCACTTTTATTTTGCTCCATGACGAAAGGACTACCAAAGGGGGAAGGTTTGATACAGGGCAGCCATAATCCCTTGAGCGTACCAACACGTACTCAGGAGCCCTACCCAGTTGGCATGCCAACCGTGATGGTCCCAGACAGAAGACCATCAAGGTCACAAAAAATTTGCATATGGGAGTGGATTCAGCACAGACTGAGACAAAGGACAATGATCAGCTCTTCCCTCTGGAGGCAGGATACTGCAAACTCCCCTTTGTCCACTGGAAAGTACTCATGGGGAGGGGGAAAGGCAGAACTGGCCAGGTGAGAAGACACTCAGGTTACCACCACAACTCCTCCCTCAACCCCTCCTTTTTGTGATGTGTCAATGATGTAGTCATGATGTAGTTGTGATGTAGTTCTAGGGGTGTAGCTTGGGGGATTAGTAACTAATAAAAGTTGAGGTCTCCTTTTGTTCAGGGCTTCCATCTTGTTTCACCTGGTGGCAGGTGGGAGTCCTGTCGCGACAGTCTTCAATAAAGACCAAGCCTACTGGCTGCTGTTTTGCTCTGGTATTCCTGGCTGGTATCCTTGTTTTTTGTCCAAGGGAGCCCTCAGATTTCTCCATTAACACTAGCTGCTAATGCAATGCCTGATCACAACCTTTTTCTAGGGGAAATCCTCTCACCTTCACCTTGCCTTGAACCATAAGAATGAGCAAGTCAATTTTTACCATGCAACAGGGAGGACCTTAGCTCAGTGGTAGAGCACGTGATTTGCATGCCAAAAGTCTCAGTTTAAACCCACAGCATCCACAGGTCGGACAGGGAAAGACCCCTGCCTGAAACTTTGGACAGCTGCTGGCAGTCAGTGTTGACAATATGGAGCCAGCTGGACCAATGTGTTCTCTATACAAGAGAACTTTCTATGCTCCTAAGATTGCCACCAGAATCTGGCTCTGTTGCACCCTATTGCATTGGCTTTATGTCCCTACTGTAGCCTTATTAGACTTTACCGATTGGTGGGCTCTGCGTTGCTCCCGGACGGGAGGAAGGAAGTCAAATGACACCAAGGGTTGGTTCAGAGAAGGAGTTCTTTATTTCTGCTCTCCGGAGCAGCAGAAAGGCACTTGCGTGGTCAGTCCACAGCAAGTCCAAAGAAATGAGAGATTTCATGCAGTATATATATCCTCCAGGCACCCTCTCCCCCCTTCTCCAGGAATCCAGCTACGTCAGCTTGCACACGCAGGTTGACATCACAGATGTTCCTGCTCCAGTACTCTTAACCATTAAAGGGTTTTCCTTCCTGTACTTCTGACCATAAAAGGATATTCCTGTTCCTATACTCTTATCTTGGAGCAAGAGGTCACCAACTCCAAGAACACACTCTGGTGCTGTTCCCGGACTAGGTCTGTGCGTCAGAGTGTGGTAAGGTAAGACCCGGACATGTCATCCCTACTCCACTGGAACAGCCAAGGTCGTCCATTGCCATGACTGATAAGGGAGAGAGCTTTGTTTATACAGCTGTGTTCTTGTTATGCATTTTGCTCAACAGCTCAAGTTAATGCATTTTAGAAATGCTCCCTTGGAGATAGAAGAAAAGGGGGTTTTGGGGTCCGTTTCAAACTGACTACACAGAAACCCATTCCTTCACTACTGCATTCTGACTTCTCCATATTCATGTGTGCGCATGGCGGGGAATGTGAGACTCGTAGAAATGTTAGTTTCTTAACTAGCACACTGTCTTTTGAGGCAGCAAAACTGCATCTGCTCCAGAGCCACAACCAAAGAGCTGGGCTTACATGTCACCTCCCTGACTATGCGACCTCATGTGCAGCAAGGCAAGCAATACATTCAACGCAACCCTTTAGCTTGGCTCTGGAGCATATTACGTTTTTCTGTTTTCTGCCTTTCTCAGCTTGTGGCCACCCAGATGTGATTGCCAGAGTATCTGGAACAGTGAGGGAAAACTGGGAAATGTGTCTGTTGTGTGCATTTGTTTAGACTCATTTGGTTTGGGAAGGCTTCAGCGCTTTAATTAGTGGAATGAAGCTGAAAGTCTGCTCTTCTCTAAAAATAACATCCTGTGAAATTTATGTTGCAGACTATGAGCTCAGTTGTGGCATTGTGGGGTGTGTGTTTTTTATTAGCTCATTTCATACCTTTTGGGATTTTTCTCCTGCTTAGAGAAACAACTGGGTTTTTTTATAGCCTTAACAGAACCAGCGGCTATGTAGATTTGTTACCCTCTTATTATAATTCTGGCAAACAGCTTTTGACTCTGCTCTTCTCTGCTTGCTTAACAGTCTATGGACAGGTGGAGTCAAATCAGCACCAGATTTAGGGTGGTGCAAGGAGTTCCGCCAGCACACAGGGTGCCAAGCTGAGGGGGTGCAAAGTAATAATAATAATAATAAATTTTGTTCTTCAGTCGTTTAGTCATGTCCGACTCTTCGTGACCCCCTGGACCAGAGCACGCCAGGCACTTCTGTCTTCCACTGCCTCCCGCAGTTTGGTCAAACTCATGCTGGTAGCTTCGAGAACACTGTCCCACCATCTCATGCTCTGTTGTCCCCTTTATGGTCTTTATGGTCCAGCTCTCACTTCCATACATCACTACTGGGAAAACCATAGCTTTAAATATACAGACCTTTGTCAGCAAGGTGATGATGTCTCTGCTTTTTAAGATGCTGTCTAGGTTTATCATTGCTTTTCTCCCAAGAAGCAGACGTCTTTTAATTTTGTGACTGCTATCACCATCTGCAGTAATCATGGAACCTAAGAAGGTAAAATCTCTCACTGCCTCCATTTCTTCCCCTTCTGTTTGCCGGGAGGTGATGGGACCAGTGGCCATGATCTTAGTTTTTTTGATGTTGAGCTTTGGACCATATTTTGCACTCTCCTCTTTCACCCTCAGTAAGAGGTTCTTTAATTCCTCCTCACTTTCTGCCATCAAGGTTGTGCCATCTGTATATCTGAGGTTGTTGATATTTCTTCCAGCAATCTTAATTCTGGCTTCGGATTCATCCAGTCCAGCCTTTCACATGATGAATTCTGCATATAAGTTAAATAAGCAGGAAGACAATATACAGCCTTGTTGTACTCCATTCCCAATTTTGAACCAATCAGTTGTTCCATATCCAGTTCTAACTGTAGCTTCTTGTCCCACATAGAGATTTCTCAGGAGACAGATGTGGTGATCAGGCTCACTCCCATTTCTTTAAGAACTTGCCATAGTTTGCTGTGGTCAACACAGTCAAAGGCTTTTGCATAGTCAATGAAGCAGAAGTAGATGTCTTTCTGGAACTCTCTGGCTTTCTTAATAATAATAATAATAATAATAATAATAATAATACCACCTATATTTATATGGTACATTCTGAGGAGATCTCTAAAAAACAAGTGTACCAAAATGAATTATTGTGAAAATAAGAAATAATGAAGGGTGGGGCACCAAATTTTGTCCTTACCCAGGGCACTGTATTACCAAAGTCTGCCCATGGTCAAATGCACCCCAACAGCACTGAGAGAAAAATCTTTAGACATTTTTTTTCTGGTCAACTGGCTACCCTAAGGTTGAATGCATATCAAACCTCTAGCAAGATTAGGATGCACATATATGAGGGCTTTTCCTAGTGGGAAAAATAACAATTCAAATTTGCTATAAGATGTGAAATTTATCCAGGGCTTTAAGAAACAGTATATGCAGCAAGATAATCCGTAGGTGTTCAAAGATGGGTTTAAATACTCTAGGGCTGCCATATGTCCGGATTTTCCCTCTATTTACAGAAATATTGTAAAATTAAGGAATTTTAGAAGGATGTTGGATAGAAACTAAGTGATTTCTAGCTGTAATGCTTTAAGAGATACGAAAAAAGGTTTTATAAATGGGTAAAAGCTTAATGGTAAGGACTTGCTGAACTAACAAACTGAACTGGAATACAAAAAAGGGAGGTACGAGGAGGTCCGGGGAAATAAGTGAAAGGAGGATATGTTATGGAAAACTAACGATGTGTTTTTAATTGTTTTTATTTTGTATGTTTCCTTTTATTTTTATTTTTATTTTTTGCTATATCTTAAAAACTTTATCCTTTTTTCTGTATTTTGTATTTTCTTCTATTTTTATTTTCTGTTTTTGTATTTTTTGAAACTTTAATAAATATTATTTTTTTTAAAAAAAAAAGATTTCCCCAGACATTACTGGGATTTCAAAGGCAGAAATGACGTCTGGGGGGGATTTCTGAAAGGTAGCACTTTGTCCTGGATCTTAGGCAAGTCAATAAAAAACGTTTTTTGGCACTTTTCTAAAAAAGGGGGGGAGGGGAAAAAATTAAGAACCTCAACAATTTTCAGGGTGCCCTGGTTTTTACTTTTTGAAATATGGCAACGCTAAAATACTTGTATGTCTGAACCTGAGCTGTAGTAGGAGAGTCTGTTACAACCTTGCTTCCCATCTACCAGTTTAGCTGAAACTTTAGCAGTCTAGTGTCACATTTGACTACAATGAAAGAAAAGGCGGCCGTCACACAAACGTATTCCAAAATAGGTACATCCATAGAAACAAACATTTTATAAATATCTCCGGTTGCTTCTAGTACCAGAAGGGGGCGCGTCTATAACTGAGAAAAACAGCCGAGTAGACTATGGTGAAGTAAGCAAGCAATTTTTAAATCTTACCAGGAACAGTGATTTTTAAAAACCCCAAAAAACCTGGGATTAAAAAAGTTAAAGGAAATGGAAATTTGGTTTTTAAGAGGTAAAAATTTAATGTTATATTATATTAAGATTAAGGATTGGGATTAAAAAAGAGGGAAAGAAACTGCTGGACAAACAAATTGAAATGGAATACAAAAGAGGGAGGTATGAGGAGGTCCAGAAAATAAGTAAATTTAAAAATGGTGATGAAAAGGTGGTATTGTTTTTAACTGTTTTCTTTTTTGTCTTTTTTTTTTTTTGGATTATGTATTGTGTATTTTTGAATTGTGTATTTTTCTTTTTTCTTTTTAATTTTTTTATTGATGTGTTCTTTTTATTGGAAATCTTAATAAATATCATTAAAAAAAAAAAACCCAAAAAACCTGCAGTAACTATACCACTCTTATGCAGCTATTGCAGGGCACCCTGACATCTTTCCTCAGCCCTTGCGAGGATATTGAGTTGTTCAAGGACTGAATGTCTTGTGGTTTGTCCCTGGGAAAATATGCCCTATGGCTAACACATTCATTTCAGTTGTGAATATGACTGGAGTTCTACCACTGGATTGTGTCTGTGGCAATAAATCCTTCTCCCATTGCACACTATTCTGACCTGTATGTTATATATGCTTTTTAAAAGCAGTGAATTCTAGCAGAGCTCTCCTTCTGTAGTAATGCTTCATCTTTGGGGTTTATTTAGTCTTTTATATAGAACAGGGCTGGAGAAACTTGTGGTCCCACCAGGATTTTTTTAGCTACAGGTCCTACCATACCTTTCTGTTGGCCATGCTGGAGTCCAGTAACATCTGGAGGCTCCCCACATCTGGGTGTTCAAAATGCCTCAGATGCCTTATTCTATTGTGATCCTGACCGCAACCCTCAAAGAGCAGATGTTCCACTCTGCTGTTATTGTATTATGTATGTGTTGTCATACCTGCGTGATTCTTTATTAGAGAATTTGTATATCACCCTTGATAAATTCCAGGGTGGTTTATAATACAGTGGTACCTCGGGTTACAGACGCTTCAGGTTACAGATGTTTCAGGATACAGACTCCACTAACCCAGAAATAGTACCTTGGGTTAAGAAGTTTGCTTCAGGATGAGAAGAAAAATCGTGCTCCAGCGGCAGTGGGAGGCCCCATTAGCTAAAGTGGTGCTTCAGGTTAAGAACAGTTTTAGGTTAAGAATGGACCTCCAGAACGAATAAAGTTCTTAACCTGAGGTTACCACTGTACACAATTTAAACACAATGTGAAAACTAAAGCAAACATACCACAGTCAGTGTTGTTACCCCCACATTTCAGAGAGGGAGCTCCTCTAAGTGGTGTACATGGAATGCAAGACAATGAAAAGAGGTTAAAATGATAATATCAGAATTGAGTTAACATGCCTGCTGGCACTGGAATTTCAACAGGGGTGGGGACAGCCTGACCTCATACGGGAGGGAGTCCCGCAAATTTGGGCCCACAATAGTGAATGCATGATTCCTGGTGAACTTGAGCCGTGTGTCCACGCCATAGGAGACTGCTAACAGTGATGCCCTCAGAGACCTTGGTGATCAGGCAGGGACACCAGGCAGACCTTGACATAACCTGGACCCAAAACACCCACCCACCCCACTCACACATGAAAACAAAGATCACCACAGCCAATCACAAACAAACAACCACACCCTAGGCCAACCACAAGCTCTCTCACCACCAAAGAAACACAGATGAACAGCAGAGAACCTGCACGAGCAACACTGACACCAAACCCTACATACATTAAGCAAAATAGAAACATCGCCACCCGACCCCACCCCCACCCATCTTCCCCCCCCCTCCACCCCTTTTTCCTCTCTAATGTCTCAACAAATGAAACTGATTTGTAAAAATGTTACATGGAAAAAATACGAGAGACATTACACATACTTCTGTAAAATCTTTAATAATAATTAAAAGAATAACCTGGACCGAAGTTGTTAAGGACTTTCAACCTTGAACTCCACCTATCAGCATATGGGCAGGGGGAAAGATGGCTTATAACCATTGCTATCCAAAGATGATGGATGGAACAGGCAACAGAGCTTGCTGACTAAACCTCAGTTGGTGACCAGAGTTATCCGGGGAGAATCCTACCTCAATATTCTTTATCCTAAACAAAGCTGAAAAGATGTGTTGTGATACCATTGCTGCCGGGTCATTGTCCTTAGGAGAACTTCATTGTTTTTGTCTGGGTCAAATATCCCAGGCTGCCACTCCACAAGAGCACCTCTTAAAATGTGTACTCACTTAATTTAACAAGAGAAGCTCTGTTCTCTGAGACTTCTGGAAAAAGAAAATACATTGGTGGTTATTTCCCCCACCCAGTTTGTGCTAAGAGCTCAGTGTAAACAATGTTATTATTAGTTTATACTGTATTTTTAAAAGTTCTTAACTTACCATGTACACATGATTCTGCATTTCCTTCTTCCGGAAGAGGAAATGAGCCTGCTTTCATGTGATTAACAAGCAGAGGGATTTGCGAAAGTGACAGCTGTATAAATGCAGCTGGCGAAACCTTTGCATTGTCAGATGTGTTTGAATTCTGCTGGAGCAGAAGGAGCAGCGCAGAGATGGAACCCGAGCGAGAACCCAGGCGTATCAGGGAAGGATACCTCGTCAAGAAGGTACGTGCGAACCATTTTGGACAAAAGCTGTGGGAGGGCAGTGCTTGATCTGAGCAAACTGGAATGCCGAGTTGACTATGCTTGAGCTTGTGAACCTCAGAGCTATAACTCTCAGGCAGAAGGACAGGGCACATACGTAGAACATAAAAGCCTTCGTTAATCTCGGTAATATTTATGTTTGAAATATAGAGTGCCTTTTGTTTTCTGTGAGCATGCAATGGCAAGCGAGGCAGAGGGACAGGACAGACATGCCTCTTCCACAATAGCTCGGTTGGTAGAGCATGAGACACTTCACCTCACGTGAAGTGAGGTTCAAGCCCCATGTTGGGCAAAAGATTCCTTCATTTCAGGGCGTTGGACTAGATGGCCCTCGTGGTCCCTTCCAACGCTACAATTCTATGGGTCTATGTATGAAATTATGCCTGTTGTGGAGAAATTGGATAGAGAGACATCATAATCCAAGAATATGGGTTAGCCAAAAAAGCTGGCATCAGCTGGTGAAGGGCAGGTTTTAAGTACAAATAATAAATATTTATTTGATGATGCTGGATGAGACCACAGAAGACTGTGATATTAAAGCAAGTGATCTTTCTCTCTAAACCAATGAGAATCCTCCGGGGTAATTGACACCCACATCCCACAACACAGGATTGATGGAATGTTTGATGAGTAGGAAAACCCTACAAGGAAATGCCCAGACCACAAGACCAACTAAGATGGCAAGGGAGGAACCAAAAGAGGCTTCTTGTGTGCTGATAAGGAACTTGCCAAAGCAGAAGCTTTTCTGTTGGGGAATTCTAAGTGCCACAAACAAGAACAAAAGAGTTGGCACTTCATCTTTGCCTAAAGTTTATTTTGGACATTTATACCCTACTTTTCTGGGGCAATTCATATGAATTAATGCCGAGGGCCTTCTGGCGGTTCCCTCGCTGTGAGAAGCCAAGTTACAGGGAACCAGGCTGAGGGCCTTCTTGGTAGTGGCACCCACCCTGTGAAACGCCCTCCCACCAGATGTCAAAAAGAAAAACAACTACCAAACTTTTAGAAGACATCTGAAGGCAGCCCTGTTTAGGGAAGCTTTTAATGTTTAATAGGTTATTGTATTTTAGTGTTTTGTTGGAAGCCGCCCAGAGTGGCTGGGGAAACCCAGCCAGATGGGCGGGGTATAAATCATAAATTATTCTTATTCTTCTTATTCTTCTTATTCTTCTTCTTATTATTATTAAAAACAAACTTAACAAGAAAACAGCAGTGTCATAACACAGTGTTATAAACACCATTGTCAACAGCAGACAAAAGACATATCAAAGGCTCAAATAAAAAAATGCCCACTGGATTGAATTAGTCTTAAAAGCAGGAGAAGGCATGGGGCCTCTTTTCACAGGCTATTCCATAGTTTAGGTGCCACAACTGAAAAGACCTCTCTTTAGCTGGTGAAGGGGAAACCAGAAGGGCCTCAGAATCAAGCAGATTCATATGGAAGGGTCTAGGGTAGAATGTGGCCCTCCTAGCATCTCTATCTGGCCCTTTGGACTCTCTCCAGGCCACTGCCCTCAGCAGCCATGCTCCACATGCTTTTGCCTGGCTGGAATGTGCTCTTTCCCTGCAATAATGCCTCTTGCTTGCCTGAATGAAGTTATGCGTGTGTGTGTGTGTGTGTGTGTGTGTGTGTATACTTCTGACTTTTACATGGCTAGAATGTAGTCAGCTATATAATAATAATAATAATAATAATTTATTATTTGTACCCTGCCCATCTGGCTGAGTTTCCCCAGCCACTCTGGGCGGCTTCCACAGAGACCAAAAATACACTAAAATGTCACACATTAAAAGCTTCCCTGAACAGGGCTGCCTTAAGATGTCTTCTGAATGTCAGGTAGTTGTTTATCGCTTTGACATCTGATGGGAGGGTGTTCCACAGGGCGGGCGCCGAGAAGGCCCTCTGCCTGGTTCCCTGTAGCTTTGCTTCTCGCAATGAGGGAACCGCCAGAAGGCCCTTGGCGCTGGACCTCAGTGTCTGGGCTGAACGATGGGGGTGGAGACACTCCTTACAAAGGTAAGAAATGAATTTAGGGAATACACAAAGCAAAACACAGCCATTCTTCCAGATTCACACTTCTCTGAATTTTGCCACTTCCCTAGCCAAGAAATATATGAGGGTTAAATGTGGATAAAAATACATATAACAATAATATTAACATACAGAAATGCATTACATTCAGGGAGAGTGTTTTGCAAAAAATATATGTGTTAGTAATTCCACATACCAAAAAAACTTTTTTTACTGGGAGAAATTAGCACTAAAATGTGAGCAAGTCTTCACGGGAATTTAGAAAGATAAATATCTGCACATTCCTGCAGAAATGACATGAACCTAAGTTGGAAAAATGAGATGCAAATGAACCCAAATCAATAGATCTATCTGGGGCTGGGTTATGACAACAGATGTGGGGAGGCTTTCTCATCTGGGGCATGCTGGCCATGGGCTTGACTTACCAGCAGAATATATGTGGTGCAGCTCTCAGGATTCAACAGGTGGGGCAGCTGGGAGTAGCCGTTGTGTTTAGGCATGTGGTGTAACAGACTCAAAGGAAAGGAGAAGTGGTATTTTGGGGAAGTTGCCCAGAGGCCACACTTCTAGTTTTCTATCTCTTCCCCTCCTAAAAAAAGAAAAGAAAAGAAGTATTATTCATTTGAGAATAATATTCAGGGAACTTCTGTCTTGGCTCTGTTCTTTGATTGATGAAAGAGTCGGCAACAATGGGTTAAAACAAAAGCACATGGGGGGGGTTGTAGATGCAAAAGAGACTAGGTCTCCTGCTTCTTTACTAATTGCATAGGAATTTCAGCAAGTGTAGCTCTGCGTCTATATAATTATTTAAGTTACAGGAGCTCTGTCCTCTTTTCCATCTGACTAACCTACTACACCATAGGAAGTGAAACCAATCCCTCCCTCCCCTACATGAACTCAGTTTGGGTTCCAGGGGTTGGGGTTTCCAAAGCCAAACTTCTTCCAGCTGGCCTTAGAAATATTACTGCAAGCTCCAGGCCTGCGTGCCAGGAAGAGAAAGCCCTAGTCATTTGATTATCAGTTCTAGAGAGCACAGTTTGTCTCTCCTGTACATCACAACCTATGAAGCCCTACAAGCTTTTCAGAAATGAAATCTCCCATTAATTATTTCCAAGCCAGAGCCTACGAGTCTCTTTTGGGATGGTGCACAATGCGTATGAGGATAGAACTTTGGGAGCAATTCCGAAGTAGAGAGTAGCCACGATTTCAATGTAGAAAATCAGACTCTACATGAAATAGGACAACATTGCCATTATAAGCCGTAAGGTATCACAGAAGGCAGCAAAGATTCTCTGGCCTCCGTGCACAAAGAACAGACATCCCATACATGTAAGAAGATCAGACGCAGCATCATTTGAGTCACTGTGGGAGATCTGAAATGGCAGCTGCCTTGCCTTGGTCATGGTGCTGCCGCTGAAGCAAAAAGCTGCCTGTCAGCTAATATAAACTGCTTTGCCAAGATGTGCCTGCAAATCTCCAGATGTCCCTGACCCTAACCAGGACCGGCCTAGTGGTTTGCATTGCGAAGCCTTACAGTATGAATAGGTAACAACAGCAAGCTACGGAGAAAGCAATTAACGGTATACAGTGGACCTCTGAAGCTATAACCCTATATAGTGGTACCTCAGGTTAAGTACTTAATTCGTTCCGGAGGTCCGTTCTTAACCTGAAACTGTTCTTAATCTGAGGTACCACTTTAGCTAATGGGGCCTCCTGCTGCCGCTGCACTGCTGCTGTGCTATTTCTGTTCTCATCCTGAAGCAAAGTTCTTAACCCGAGGTACTATTTCTGGGTTAGCGGAGTCTGTAACCTAAAGCGTATGTAACCTGAAGTGTATGTAACCCGAGGTACAACTGTACTGAGTTACTTGGGACTCAAGGAAGCTCAGTGTAAGTCCGTGGGCTGTAAATCTGAGTGTGTGACCAGGGGACAGAATCTCAAACCCAGGGTTGAATGCAACCTCTCTACTAGTCCTCAGAATTGCACTACATGTCACAAACAGCATACATATTGTAACGAAAGAGAATGCTTCTCGCTTTCACACGGGACAGCACCTTGTGGTTTTCTCAGCTTCTTCAGTTGAGAAGTGCTGGGGAAACTACATGATTTCCCTGTTAAGTTTTGCTTCTTAATCTCATGTGAGTACAATTATGAAGCACTTTCTTGAATGGTTATGTCTCATGTTTCAGGGCGTTGCCCTGGCACTGAAAACGGATTCTGGGCTCAACTTTTACCGTGAGCACAGCCCTTTGTGTTAACTTAACTCCTTCTATCCAAAGCGACTTTCCTTTTCTTTTTCTTTCTAATGTGTTTTTATTAAAAGTGCATACCGTCTCTCTGTTTCCAATCACAGAGTCCTTCATGCAGGTCAGTTACATTCAGTGTGACATTACTGGCCAACGTAAATGAGCAGTCATCATTCAAAGGCTGTCGTGCTGGTCCCTGAGCCTTATAGCGCCCTCTCTGCCCCTTCCACTTCTCTCTGCTTTCTGCCTCCCATCCCATCCCCTGGAGCAACCTTGACCTGAGCAAGCAATGACATCCTTCTGTGGTGTGTACAGAGCTTCTGAACTGAGGCAACATTAGGCCTTCAAACCATGATTGAATCAAATAATTCAGAAACCCCAGTATGGGCAGCAATTAATTAAAGCTTTGTGGGTCTGGTTTTAGAGACCTCTTCTTTTCAACTGCTTTATGTTGTAGTGCAATCCTGCTGGCCACTACTTACAGGTACACAATAGATCATATATATGTTATTTTCCTAATCACAAATTACCAGCCTCTGTCGACTAATCAGGGACATCTTGTTTTTAAAACCCTGTCCTAAAGCCATACAGCTGAACACGCCTGCTTTCTTAATATATCGGTATGTTAGTTTTTGCTTATTGGAGAAACCTCAAAACAGCCAGTATAGTGTGAGAATTAAGTAACCAAGCTAGTTGCTTCACACTTTATACAGAACTGCGAAATTGCAAGTCACCACTAAATGCTGTTCTAACCTAACCACTGTTCCATAATGCTCAGCACTCCTTTTCCCTTAACCCCCTGCTCCCCTATTATTTTTCAGACTACCGCAGAGATCACATGGCATTTGATACAAAAATTATATTGTCTAAGGTGTTTGTACTGTATATCGGGTCAGTCAAATTCCTCTCCCAGCTCTAGGAATAGGCACAATTTACTTAGTTATTTAATTTGCATCTTGCTCTTCTTCCCAGAGGAGCCCAGTGCAGCAAACATCAAAATTTTTAAGAGTAAGGCATTCTTCCAGAATGGCAGCTGGAAAAAGGAGAGGACTTCTGCAGGAACCCAAACCTCTATTGTGTCTGTGCCTGCTGTATACTCCTTTCATTTCATTAAAAGGTGGAATACGCACCTAAGGACAGATCAACCCCATATATACAAAGCACATTTGATGTACATTTAAAGCATCAGCGTTAAAGGTCAGCGTTTTGATTTGGATTTCGGCATCAATGTCAGCCCTTGTGAAAAGATAAGTGCCCAATGGTTCCCAAGCAGTTATCTTTTCACACGGGCTGACATTGATGCTGAAATCTAGCATCGCCTGAGCTCTGCGAGTACAGCTTTCTCCCGATTGAAGTGCAGAGTGTTTGAGGTCCGGGACATTCGCAGGGAAACCAAAATGCTTGTTTCCAAAGCTATTGTACTACCAACCTTACTGCATGCTTGTGAAACATGGACCGCTTATAAACGCCATCTCCGACTCCTTGAAAGTATCCATCAATGGTGTCTCCAAAATTTTTTACACATCACTTGGGAAGACAGGTGAACTAATACCAGTGTACTGGAAAATGCAAAGATCACCAGTGTTGAAGCAATGATTCTTTCAACATCAACTTTGTTGGACTGGTCATGTTGTTCAGATGCCTGATGATCGTCTTCCAAAGCAACTACTCTATTCTGAACTTAAAAATGGAAAGCGTAATGCTGGTGGTCAACAAAAGTGGGTTAAAGACTCTCTCAAGGCAAATCTTTAAAAAATGTAGTATAAACACCGACAATTGGAAAACACTGGCATGCGAGCCAATTGGAGAACAGCCTTTACCAAAGGTGTTGTGCTCAAACTCAGGATGAAAGGGAGGAAGACATGTTGTGTAAGGATGTGTGGATCCAGAATTGGCCTCCACAGTCACTTACAGACTCACTGTTAAAACCATGTTCATGGAAGACCATCTTACTCGGATATGAGTGATTGCCAAAGAAGAAGAAGCTTGGGAACCATTGGGTTCCACGACAGAAGAAAGGAACGATCTAAATGGCAGGGGGTTGGACTCGATGGCCCTTGTGGTCTCTTCCAACTCTATGATTCTATGAAATGTATGGGTGGGGAAATGAATAAATAACCCTAATACTGTATGTTACATTGTTTTTAGAATCTCCTTGTGACTTTGGGGATTGATAGGTGCTTGACATGTTTTGGGTAAATAAGGATTTATTTAGATGCAACTTCATGAAAAATGCTTTCATTGGCATTGTCACAGGATGCATAGATAATTTTGCCTTAAACTTGTTTGCATACAGGGTAGCATGTTTAACACCTGGAAACCCATGTGGGTAGTCTTGTTAGAAGACGGAATTGAATACTTTAAGAAGAAGACAGACAACAGCCCTAAAGGAATGATTCCTCTGAAGGGAAGCACCTTCACAAGTCCCTGCCAGGATTTTGGTAAAAGAATGGTGAGTATGCATGTTTTCTGAAGTACACTGAAGAAAGCAGGCAGGAAGGTGGGGGGTTTAAGCTATGGATTAGGTTTTTTCCACTGTAGTTAAGATATTGTCAGATCTTGCTGGCTGCATAAGCTGATACTAGCCTTCCTAGTGTTTAGAGAGGATGCCATGCAAATTCAGCCCAGCAAAATGCTAAGACAGGGTGGGGAACCAGACGATTTTGGACTCAAACACCTATCAGCTTCAGCCAGCACGGCCAACGGTCAGGGATGATGGGAGCTGTAGTCCACCAACACCTGGAAAGCTGTTGGCTTCCCCAGCCCTGTTCTAAGAAAACAATGCTGGTTGTTTTCTTTCTAAGGATAGACTCAGGGCTTATTCCATTTGCCCTGCCTCTTTCCCCTGGGGTAACCCAGTCAGAACAAGTAGCCTTTGGGTTTTTCATGGACTGCTGTTCCAGTTTTGTGGTGGGACAATGGCAAAATCACTTGGACCTGTGGCTAGAAAGATGGGGAAAGCAGAAAACCAAAGCATGGGATGAGCGGAAGGGTGGACGAGCCCTTGCTTGACAGATTTTTATTGTTATGGGAATTTATATGAAACAGAGTTGTTAAGGTCCAGCATGCATCTTGACTATACTTTGACAGTGCAGTTCTTCACACAGATAAAGAACTGGGGACTATTGATATTGTGGTGAGACAGCTTCTCTGTCTCCGAAAAACTCACATATCTGAGTAAGGGGCAGTAGGAATTGTTGGCTGGAACTAATGCTCTTCAGTTAGGAGGAACAGCAGTCTGAGCATGTAACTGTTGCTGAACTGTATGGGACCATTTCTTTCCAAATCAATATGTACAAGATCAGACTGTGCTAGTCTTCCAAGATTGGGGCAAATTGATTCAGTGTTTCCACCCCTGGAACACTGTAGTAGTCTGAGTGCTCGGTGCCTTTCTTAGATATCCGTCTGGGCAGAGAAGTCAGAAAGATGATTAGACCACTGCAGTTTTCCAGAAAGGGCAACATGAGAGCAATAGTTTAAAATAGTCCTACTTTGGAAAGCATGCATGTGTTCCCAAGTCCCTTTCAGTTCAAACGGTTGTATCCAACTTAGAACAAACCCATGAAAATGAATGAACCTAACCAAGTCATTTCCATTAACTTCAATGGGTCTACTCTGAGCACTCCTTGGATACAACCCTATTTTCTTCAATAGTGTGTGGACTGTGCTAATTCCCTAGCCTAAGATAAATTAGATACCCAGCTTTTGCTATGTTGTGTCTTTGTGTATAAACAATAAATCAGCATGAATGTTTCCTGGTTATTTCTGTATTGCATGATCAAACCAAGGTTGCAGGTTTGATGGGACAGCTGCATATTCCTGCAATATAGGGGGTTAGAGATGATCCTAAGAGTCCTTTCCAACTCTACAATTCTATGATTCTAAGAGCAGATAATGGTGTAAAAATTCTATTCTGTTCCATACTACTTTACACTTCCTTCCCAGCTTGCCCAGTTTAAGCAGTTTATACTGCTGTATTTAGGCTGCAATTCTATACAAACTAAGGGACGCGGGTGGTGCTGTGGGTTAAAGCACAGAGCCTAGGACTTGCAGATCAGAAGGTCGGCAGTTCGAATCCTCGCGACGGTGTGAGCTCCCGTTGCTCGGTCCCAGCTCCTGCCAACCTAGCAGTTCGAAAGCATGTCAAAGTGCAAGTAGATAAGTAGGGGTCCCTTTACCTCTATACATACTTACCTGGGCATATGCGCCATTGATCTTGGTGGGAATTACTTCTGAGTAGGCAAGAACATGCTTGTTCTGTTCGTTGCTTGTTAATATAAGCTGTGCTACCAAATATATGTAAGCTGCACACACACTGTACCTTTAGAGCACATTATTTCTCTCAGAGAATTCTGAGCATTGTGATTTGCCTTTCAGAGAGTTATAATTCCAAGCAACACTTAGCAAACCACAGTGCCCAGAATTCTTTGAAGGGGAAAATGTGCTTTAAAGGTCTAGGGTGCATGCAGCCCTTATGCAATGGACAAGTGTAAATCATTATGAAATGGTTCTCTTCTAGTTTGTCATGAAGCTCACAACTGCCAAGCAACAGGACCACTTCTTCCAAGCCTCTCATCTCGAGGACAGAGATGTCTGGGTGAAAGACATCAAGAAGGCCATTAAGTGCATCGCGGGAGGGCAACGGTTTTCTAGGAAATCCACCAGGAAGTCTATTAAGCTTCCAAGCACCATCAACCTGGGGTTCGTTAAAATAGACTTCTTCAAATATTAATTTAAAAGGCAGGAACATATTCTCTTGTTTACTTAGGGGCTAATTACACATATGGGACGCGGGTGGCACTGTGGGTTAAACAACAGAGCCTAGGACTTGCCGATCAGAAGGTCGGCAGTTCGAATCCCCGCGACGGGGTGAGCCCCCATTGCTCGGTCCCTGCTCCTGCCAACCTAGCAGTTCGAAAGCACGTCAAAGTGCAAGTAGATAAATAGGTACCGCTCTGGCGGGAAGGTAAACGGCGTTTCCGTGCGCTGCTCTGGTTCGCCAGAAGCGGCTTAGTCATGCTGGCCACATGACCCAGAAGCTGTACGCCGACTCCCTCAGCCAATAAGGCGAGATGAGCGCCGCAACCCCAGAGTCGGTCACGACTGGACTTAATGGTCAGGGGTCCCTTTACCTTTAATTACACATAAATGTGATACTATGGTTTCAAAAAAGAAAAGAAAAGCAGCCTTGAGAGATGGAAATTTGGGCTGGAGAAGTGATGGGGAGGTAGAGGAGTGTGTTATCCTTTCCCCAGCTCTCTCCCCCGCCCCCTCAGTCGCATATCCCAGTTGTTTATCCTCCAATGGAGCCTGGAAAAAATACATATTAAAATTGTGAGTAGAGAAAGGATTAAACACACACACACACACACACACATCCTCTTCTCCAAATTCCCATCTCTCAAAGCTGCTTTTTATTTATTTAAAGGATATATGTGTGTGGAGCTATTTTAACGGCATTCACGCTTGGGTTGTAGTAATCTGGTTTTATTGAGTCATCATTTCTTTGCTTTCCTGTGACAGTAGCTGTTGGGCAGATACGTAGGCACCAGGCATTGTCATAAAGCGAAGCTTTGTTTCCCCTATTCCCAAAACGCACAAGAAACTCAGAACCTGGCTAGAACAAAGCACTGAGATTACAAAAGTTAAAAATATTAATTGACAAAAGAGGAAGTTGACTTTTTTTGTTTGTTTCCAAGTCCACTTGCAATTTGACTTTCACTTAGATTCAGTTAGGGGTAGGAACATAAAGAGCTCTGGTGGCTCAGTCCAAGAGCCTATATATAGCCCAGCATCCTGTTCTTACAGTGGCCAAGCAGATATGTGTTGAAAACCCACAAGCAGGACATGAGTAGACCAACACTCTTCCCCACTTGTGGTTCTCAGCAGCTGGCAGTTAGAGCCATCCTGCCTCTGAAAGGGGAAATAGGTGCTATGAATTTGTCTAACATCCTTGTAAAGCCATCCAAGTTGGTGGCCATCACAACATTCTGTAGAAGCAGAAAGTCCAATCTTTGAGGGAAGCAGATTTATTGTGCAAGAGCTCCAAATCAACCTAAATTGTGCAACCTGAATTTGCTGGAATGTGATTGAATCCCACCTGAAAACAGGGAACAGCCTGGAAGCAGCCTGTGTTTAGACTTATGTCTGTATGATTATCACAACTGTGTTGTTGTTGTTTAGTCGTTTAGTCATGCACGACTCTTCATGACCCCCATGGACCAGAGCACACCAGGCACTCCTGTCTTCCACTGCCTCCCGCACTTTGGTCAAACTCATGCTGGTAGCTTCGAGAACACTGTCCAACCATCTCGTCCTCTGTCGTCCCCTTCTTGTGCCCTCCATCTTTCCCAACATCAGGCTCTTTTCCAGGGAGTCTTCTCTTCTCATGAGGTGGCCAAAGTATTGGAGTCTCAGCTTCAGGATCTGTCCTTCCAGTGAGCACTCAGGGCTGATTTCCTTCAGAATGGATAGGTTTGATCTTCTTGCAGTCCATGGGACTTTCAAGAGTCTCCTCCAGCACCATAATTCAAAAGCATCAATTCTTCGGCGACCAGCCTTCTTTATGGTCCAGCTCTCACTTCCATACATCACTACTGGGAAAACCATAGCTTTAAATATACGGACCTTTGTCGGCAAGGTGATGTCTCTGCTTTTTAAGATGCTGTCTAGGTTTGTCATTGCTTTCCTCCCAGGAAGCATGGACAAAAGCTTTCATAGAAAGGCCACTTATTAGTTGTCTAAGTTATAAAAGCATGAGGTGAGCCTCCTTAAAGGATGTAGGCTTTTCCTATGCCTGTCTAAGGCAGGGGTAGGCAACCTAAGGCCCATGAGCCACAAACAGCCCACGGGGGTCATTTAACCGGCCCACGAGCCACCTGCTCAGTGAGTCCCCCTCTGCTATGCTAAACCGGCACAGTGTGGCGCTGGGACTCGCTTCTGTGGCGCTGGAAATCACGTCTGCGCATGCACAGATGCCGAAAATCATGTCTGCACAGATGCAGATGCCGGAAATAACATCTGCGCAGATTCTGGAAATCGCGGGCGCATGCTCATGCGCACACAGTCCAGCCCACGGAGAGATCTCCGCCAGAGTGAACTGACCCAGGTGAGGGAAACCTTGCTGACCACCCCTGGCCTAAAGCATCTTTCCCCCTGTCTGCTACATTGTCAAGTGGCTCTGGTAATTGCCTTGTAAATATGCTTTGTACTGCTGGCTGGGTGAGTGGTGAAGCAAGCCCATCGCCACTTCAGAAGAAGAAGAAGAAGAAGAAGAAGAAGAGTTTGGATTTGATATCCCGCTTTATCACTACCCGAAGGAGTCTCAAAGTGGCTCACAATCTCCTTTTCCCTTCCTCCCCCACAACAAACACTCTGTGAGGTGAGTGGGGCTGAGAGACTTCAGAGAAGTGTGACTAGCCCAAGGTCACCCAGCAGCTGCATGTGGAGGAGCGGGGAAGCGAACCCGGTTCCCTAGATTACGAGTCTACCGCTCTTAACCACTACACCACACATTGGACTCAAACCATATGCTTACGTGATGATTCGGGTTTGACCAAATAAGGTAGAAGGAAATGCCTTCTCGCCGGTCAGGCTAATGGTCCATTAACACGATACCAGCTACCCTGACTGTCAAAAGCTCCCAGTCAGGTGTTGCTTTCTCAGCCCTAGATGACAGAGTCTTCCTATTACCCAGAAAATACGTGCTCCACTATGAGTTATCTGCAGTCACTGGCGGAGGAAGGGGGCGCAGGGGGGGGCGGTCCGCCCCGGGTGTCATCGCTGAGGGGGGGGGTGACATCACCCCCACCCCCCTGGGACAGCATGTGCCAGAGCAGCTAGCTCTGCCTCTGACGGCAGTGAGTGGCCTCATGAAAATGGTGCTTTTAAAACAGCCATTTTGGATGCCCCTACACAATGTGCTCTTTTTTGGGTTGTTCATCTGTATAGAAGCTCCCCACAGAACACATCTGATTCTATAATTAGGGGGTCATTAAGGATTGGAGTTTGAAGAGTCCCTTTGATGCATTTGCAGAAGTAATTTAAACCCCAAAGAGCCAAATCGAACATTGTTTCCTAATTCTGCCTCACTTCTCTCACTGCACAGTGAACTGTATCTCTCAATGAAAGACCCCGACAAAGGGATCCGAGAAATGAAGCTGGAAAAGGACAAGAAAATTTTCAACCACTGCTTTACAGGTAAAGAGCTCTTATTTTTCCCTTTCAAAAAATGCTCCGTTGAGTAAAACAGGTGCTATAAAATGGAGTCGCGACAGGAAGCAGTTTGACTGGAGGAAAATGTCAGTTGCCATTCCAAAATAGTTGAACCTGCCAGTTCCTGAGAAAAATGTCCTATAGATATTGGACAGAATGTGGTGGCATTGAGAGGGAAATTGTTTCTAGTAGACAGAATATGAAAACCGCATGGTCAAGGCTTTCCGATAAAGTGGGCTTGAGTTTTGAAAGCTAATACCACAGCAAATTTGTTAGTCTTTAATATAGACTGGACACAGCCCTAAATACTTCATATAATTTACCGTATTTTTCACTCTATAGGACGCACCAGACCATAAGACGCACCTAGTTTTTGGAGGAGGAAAACAAGAAAAAAAATATTCTGAATCTCAGAAGCCAGAACAGCAAGAGGGATCGCTGCACAGTGAAAGCAGCGATCCCTCTTTCTGTTCTGGCTTCTGTGATAGCTGCACAGCCTGCATTCGCTCCATAAGACGCACACACATTCCCCCTTACTTTTTAGGAGGGAAAAAGTGAGTCTTATAGAGCAAAAAATATGGTACATATTCACTGGCAACTGGAATATTTGGCAGAGCCTGGCTCAAGCCAAGCCCAGATATAGTCACCGCTGGCTTCATATTTCCAAACTGTAATTGCAATTTGAATTTAATTGAGAACACGTCTCTTTGATATGCTTAACTACTTGCAGTCTGCAGTACTTCATTTTGTGCCTGTCTGCTCACACACTTTGGTTCATTTCCTTGCCCTTAGGTAGTTGTGTAGTTGATTGGCTCCTGTCAAACAACTCTATCCGGAATCGCCAAGAGGGTCAAATGTTGGCATCTGCCCTGTTGAACGAAGGTTATTTTCAGCCTGCTGGAGATATATCCAAGAGTGCACTTGAGGGCCTGTCAGAAACTTCCTTCCTTGACCACGAAGACGCCTATTATTATTTTGTAAGTAGCAATGCATGACACTTCTTTGTGGGATTGCTGGAGGTGGGGCAGCACGGGAACCCTAGAAAACATAGCTTTTCAGACTGGCTGCAATATGAGGGTCTCATCTAACGCAGTCTTTGTGGGTAGGTGTATACTGTATATATGTGCATGTGTGTTGAAATATATGTCCATGTATATTTCCTGGTGGGACGCGGGTGGCGCTGTGGGTTAAACCACAGAGCCTAGGACTTGCCGATCAGAAGGTCGGCGGTTTCAATCCCCACTACGGGGTGAGCTCCTGTTGCTCGGTCCCTGCTCCTGCCAATCTAGCAGTTCGAAAGCATGTCAAAGTGCAAGTAGATAAATAGGTACCACTCCAGCGGGAAGGTAAATGGTGTTTCCGTGCACTGCTCTGGTATGCCAGAAGCAGCTTCGTCATGCTGGCCACATGACCCGGAAGCTGTACGCCGGCTCCCTCAGCCAATAAAGCAAGATGAGCACCTCAACCCCAGAGTCGGCCACAACTGGACCTAATGGTTAGGGGTCCCTTTACCTTTACCTTTATATTTCCTGGTACTACACTTGGACTCCCCATTGACTTTTTTCACAGGGCGTATACTCCACATTGCTTAATACAGTTTAAACACCTTTCACTACTGCAGTTGGTGAGATCAGAGCTGAAAGGTGGTCTATTAGGTGCAAACATCTTCAAATATTGATGCTAGCTGACTGGCCCCCAAAGTTTCATGATTCATCTAATTTTACCTTCAACCAGAATCCTTCCTTCTGTTTTTAAAGTGGATGTGTTAGTTATGCAGTAACAAGGATTGACTTTTGACTGTTACAGGATTGCAGCATTGGTTTGGTTTTTCCCCCAGCTGCCACAATTTTTTTAATACAATGTCTTGGATACTTATATTTAAATCTCTGCTTCCCAGCCTTTAATTTATTGCAAAGCACTTGGGAGGAAGAATGATTTGGCATCCCTCTGCTTCAGCAGAAGCAAGCCAGCGTTCCTTCGAAAACTAGTGACTGTGAATCACTGAAGTGCAAGAGCTGGCCTCAGTTAGCTGTCATTTCAGAGGAAGCTGCCTTGTCTTCTTCTGTAAATGTATTCTATTGACATCTTTGTGGGTATTTTCCTATCCTAAGAGGGTTAATTGTAAATATATGACTCCAACCATTTCCACAGGCCTTCTGGAAATACAGGGTTGAATTCAGTTCTACTGAAGTTCTACTCAGGGTAAACCCATTGAGGTTGATGGGCTGAAGTTAGTCATGTCCATTTATTTGAAGGGTTCTATCCTGAGTATAACTAATATTGGATATAATGAGTGGGAATCAACAGAGTTGCTGCATGCGAAGAATGTGGTCTGCTCATGCAATGGGCCTCCCCAGTGTCAGGGACTGGCTGGATCAGGAGGAGTGGTGGAGGCTGCCAGCCCAAGAGGATGGCAACTTAGAGTAAGGTTACCAGATTTTTCTCATATAATCCAGGGATACTTTTTTTTTAAAGAGAGGAAAAAAGTTATTATTATTTTTTTAAAAAAGAAGTAATATCCTTCCTCTGGGCCCCGGTCTGCTCCTTTGGAGCACTAGCTGCCATGGAGTAGGCTCAGGTCGGGCTTGGGCTCGGCCGCGTGTCCTTGCCCTCCCAGTGCTCTCCTACCTCTCCTCCTAAGCGGTGGCGGTGGCGGCGGCGGTGGCGGCGGTGGCAGTGGCATGGCAAGGTCAGGGCTCCCTTCTTTTTTCTCCTTCCTCTTTCTCTCTCTTCCTTCTCCTTCTCCTCTCCTCCTCCTCCCTGCATCGGCTCCAGGGTTTTCCTGGCGCCGGAGGGCTGCTGGGCAGTCAGCCAGGTAGCCGGGCGCTCTCGCTCCCAGCTCAATTTGGGTCACACAGGGAGGGGGTGTCTGTGGTTCCCCCTTGGCAGCGGCAGTCTCAGCAGCCTGGAGCCAGCCTGGTAGCGCAGTTGGCTCTTGCTGGCTTCAGGAGCTGCTCGCTGCCGTGGCGCCCTCCATTTTGCCTCGCCGGAAGTCCCCATATGTATGATGTGTCTTGTGCCGTTGAACCAATCACACAACATTCATTCCCTACCAATAAATCTACAACACTTAAAATATAAATCCGGGGACATTAAATGAAATCCGGGGACATTCCGGGGACGGATTTTGTCCGGGGAGAGATTTGTAAATCTGGGGACTGTCCCTGGGAAACAGGGACATCTGGTAACCATAACGTAGAGCCCAGAGCCTGGGGGGGAGGGGGATTGAGGAGCAGTCAGCAGAAGGGATGAGCTGGAACTGATAGAAGCAGGAGACCTGAACAGTCAAGGGTGTAGAGACAGTCCCAGTCCTACAGACTCTCTTCCCCCTCTGACTCCTCGCTCCAGGAGGGTCCTATGCCAGACAGGCCCAGAGGAGGAGCTCACCCCCTCGACACAGCCTTCGTCTGCTTGGGAGGAACCCAGAGTGAGAGGATAGAGGAGAGCGGCATACCTAGGGTTTAGTTTCAGCAATGCCTTCATTGAGTTAAGATGAAACAGGGACATTGATGTATTGTTGGTACGCTGTTGTTTTGCTAATAAGAAGCTAATTTCATTCCGTGCCTTCTGTATATGTGTCTACCCTGTGGATGACCTGGTTCCTTGACAGCTCCTTGACACCCATCCTCTCCTCCCCCCCACTCTCTAATCTGCTCTGGAAAGTAAGGGGAGCCCTCAGAACAGGTTGGGTGTGTGTGCGTGAATGGGGGCAAGAAAGAGGGGAAAGTCCCATTGCATGAGTAGACCTCATTCCCCATGTGCACACTCTACTTAGGACTACAATGAATTCTATAAAACCAGACCTTCGATTTGGTACATCCATCCTAGTGAGTTTGAGGTTCTACTTTTATCACTAAATGGAGCTTGTGGGGGTGGAAGTGGGAATGAACCTTCTCTTTCCCCTCTTACTTCCCCCTGTTCCACTGCTCGAAGACTTTTGGTATTGGAGTTTGTGGTGTGGATTTAAGCAATGAAGCGTGGGAAGATAAGGAGTAGGTACATTGTACTCCATCCCCTGTGTGCTTCACTTCATGACAAAAGTGCTTTATAACCAGTGCACAACTGTTTGTTGTTGTTTAGTCATTTAGTCGTGTCCGACTCTTCGTGACCCCATGGACCAGAGCATGCCAGGCACTCCTGTCTTCCACTGCCTCCCGCACTTTGGTCAAACTCATGCTGGTAGCTTCAAGAACACTGTCCAACCATCTCGTCCTCTGTCGTCCCCTTCTCCTGGCACCCTCCATCTTTCCCAACATCAGGGTCTTTTCCAGGGAGTCGTCTCCTCTCATGAGGTGGCCAAAGTATTGGAGTCTCAGCTTCAGGATCTGTCCTTCCAGTGAGCACTCAGGGCTGATTTCCTTCAGAATGGATAAGTTTGATCTTCTTGCAGTCCATGGGACTCTCAAGAGTCTCCTCCAGCACCATAATTCAAAAGCATCAATTCTTCAGCGATCAGCCTTCTTTATGGTCCAGCTCTCACTTCCACAACTAGTTTGGCCTTCAGACAGGCCTTCTCAGTCTTCTGTATGCATGATTATCTAGATTGCCAACTTCATTCGCTGATGCTCTCTAAGGGAATGCTAGTTGCATAGCTGTTGGCAAGGTCCCATATAAACAGTCCTGAGATTCTACAACTCTAGTTGGCAACTTTTTTAAGAAAGAAAAACAAACACACGCCATATTTTGTTGCTGAACAATTTTGGTTGTGCCATCTGACTCACTCCTCCATGACAAGGGCTTCCTTAAATTAGGTACTCTAAATTTCTTTTTCATAGAATGCAGATGAAGAGAAGAGTTATTTAACCCTCCCTTGACCCCACCCCACCCTGCTCCAGTGTGACCAGGGAGAGGAAGAAAGAGTACTCTCCATATTCTGCATTTCAGTTGCTCAATCCATTTCGCTCGGATATTGACTTGTATGCACAAGAAAGCAAGGCGAGAACTTTCTCTGAGCCTCTACTGATCACATCGGAGAGGAAGTAACTTAAAATGCTGTTTGCCACAAAGGAAAAAGGAATTTGGTGCATACCGTATTTTTCGCCCCATAGGGCGCACCGGCCCATAGGACACACCTAGTTTTTTTGGGGGGGAATAAAGAAAAAAAATTATTTCCCCCCCCCAGGCACGGGGCTGGGGCAGGGGAAGTCCAAGCTTCCCCCGACCCCAGCCCCCAGAACAGGCAGCTCTCTGCAAGCCTTGGGAGACCGGCGCGACTTCCCGCCGGGCTCCCACACCTTGTGGATATCTGCCTGAAGCCCAAACCAGGTCGGGGAACAGCGGGATGGCGGTGCTCCGCCTCCCCGCTGTCCCCTGAGCTTGTGGGGCTGGCGGTGGGGAGACCCGCATTTCTCCCCACCGCCAGCCTCCAAACCAGGTTGGGGAACCGAAGCCTGGGGCGCGCTGTGCAGCGCGCCCCAGGCTTCGAGATGCAGGCTGCTATCCACAAGCCTAGGGAGCCCGATGGGAACTCCCACGGGCTCCCAAGGCTTGCGGAGAGCTTCCTGAAGCCTGGAGAGCAAGAGGAGTCGGTGCGAAAGCCTGCATTCGCCCCATAGGACGCACACACATTTCCCCTTCATTTTTGGAGGGGAAAAAGTGCGTCCTATAGGGCGAAAAATACGGCACTTCCTATATACATGCTTTGTTCATCATGCATGTATTCACTACAATGCATAAATCTTAGCCTGTAGTCCAGGTAAAAGAATGACAAGTGGGATCCCAATTCTGGGATAGGGGAGAGATTGAGCTCACAGCCTATTTGTTTGGAAGCTTTGGAAAGTTCAGCAGATGCTGACATTATTTGCTGTCTTATTTAGAAATATTTTTAACCTTCATTGCAAAGCAATGAATCTAGAGTAACACATCAAACTTGAAAGATACTCGGAGTCGAGTGTGGATTTCATGCTCTTTATTCAGCTCATAGTAGCGAGGAATGAAGGTTCCCCCACAATATCTGTTTTATATACATTATTTGCACAATGGGCCACATGTGATTGGCTGATTCTGGGATTCTCCTGTAGGCCAATCAGGTTGCGGATTCACTTCCACCTGGAGCTGGATTGGTGGCTCCTGTGGACCAATCATACTGCTGCATTGTTCTAGGACCAATCAGACTGCTGCATTCTGAATCCTATTGTTCTAGAACCAATCAGACTGCTGCATTTTGGATCCTATTCACTCAGTACATATCAAAACTATTTCAGGTGACGTTAGCAACATGGTCTTGTTCTTTCCTTAAAACAGGCAGACAGTGGATTCTTCAGTGAAGGGAATTCCAGTGATGATGATGGGATCTTCAAGGAAGAATTCAGAGGTGCAGTGGTCAAACAGGGATGTTTACTGAAACAGGTTGGTATAGACCTTGTTTGCTGTGATGGCTCAGAAAAGCAGTCAATATAGTACAGAAATATAAACCTTCTTAGGGAAACTGCCTATGCTGAAACCTCTCTTGACTCTCATAGCTGTGCTGTGTTGCTCAGTGGCCATCAGCAGGTGAAACAGGGCATCCTTCAAATCCCCCGGGGGGTGTGTGTGTCACAATTGATCTGGTTTTGCCCAATTCCAACAGAATTGCAACACTGCCGTCACGCACGGGGCATATGAAGACTTTATAACCATGTGACTCACTGAGCTTGTCACTTGCTTCATGCAATCCTAAGAAGAAATTGCAGCACTGAGAGGAAATGATTCCAGACTGAATCCACAGTAGAACTTTGGCCGTCAATTTTGAGGCACTTTCAGGAATATAACTGGCACAGTATACAAAATGTGAAGGGGAAATGAATTCTAAATGTTGTGTTTTCTTTCTAGTACTTTAGAGACATTCTTCAGTCTGAATTATTTCAAGAGATACTGAGTTTTATAAGGAAGCAAAAGTACCACTTTTTTAAAAGGGTGTGTATTTGGAGTTACCCAAGCGAACACTTTTAAGAGGCTTTTTGGATGTAAGCATTGGTGCAAGAAAAGCTTGCATTATAGCTAGTTTGAGGCTGAACAATATATCGCCTAAGGTCTACAACTGACCTGTAGAAGCTGTTGCCACAGATCTTCATTCCTTCTTGGGAATAATACTCATTATAGTCTGTGCTCTAGACCAGGGGGTCCCAATCTGTGGTCTATAGACCAGTGGTCTGTGAGGTTTATTCAGGTGGTCCACAGCATGTTCACATTAAATTGACATATTTATTTTTTATTGCTTCTTTAATTTCTTATATTGTACTTTACTGGATTGCAAATTGAATTCTGTGGAAGGCAAATAAAATATAAGAAATAAAGGAAGCAATGAAAACAGTAAGAAATCATACAGCATCTAGCATATCGCATTGCAATTGCTAAAACAGGCAGAAAGAATCATTAAGTGGTGATTAGCAATTTTCAAATGGTTCATGGGGAAAATAGTTTAGAGCAGTAATTGCCAAACTATAACGGCTATTTCCCACCCAAGAAAGAACCAGCAACCTTCTGAAAATGAAGATACTGTATGTGGCAATTGGTTTTAGAGGTCAATTTTAATTGCATTGGGAATTCTATAGAAGGGTGACATATACATCCCTAAAATAAAATGAAATAAAATAACTTTTAGGGTCTTGATTGTGCTGAGGCAGCAAAAGCAGTAGAACTCCAGAAAAACCCATGGATACTCTGCTTCTGACATTCCTGGGATGCAGCCAGGGGATTTTTTGAGCAGAAACGTACCTTTTTAAAATCAAATAATTGTTTTTTTGGCCAGGGGAGAGGGGAGCTGGAACAGATATACACCCAATGCCTGAGCCAAAAATCCACCTATATCTGTAATCAATAAAGTTGTGGCCATTTCTAATCCAGATCCCTGTCTGCTTGAGTTTATGAATAATATCTTACATTTAGCCACTGCCCGGGGGGAGGGGGAGAGGTGTTGCAATGTGACTGGATCTGCAATAAACAAAAAAACCCCAAACTTACTTCTTCGTGAATTTCCCCAACTTTCTCCCCCAGAAGAAAGCGCTGTGTGCAGCTATCACAACATTCTCGCTTAGCTACCACAGTGTTCTTCACTTCTGTTTTTGGGATTTGTTATTGCAGTGCAGAAAATGAAAGTCATACATTCATTACATTTATTTAGGGGCACCGGAGGAAAAACTGGAAAGTACGAAAGTTTGTCCTGAGAGAAGACCCTGCCTACATGCATTACTATGATCCTGCAGGGGTAAGCCCATTTTCTGTGGTTTTGCTGGACATTTGATATGAAACCCGCCTTCAGAATCATTGGTTTGAATGGCAGGGTTGTTTATGTGAATTGTGTTCAGTTGCTGGGACCTCTCCTCTTGATGAAAAAAAAGTATCTTCATTTTTAAAAATATCTATTTATTTTATTGAACAAGAAAAACCTTAAAATACATTCCATACCGACATACATTCCATACATTCCATAAATTATAAAGTTTATAAAGAATTGAAATAGAAGGGGGGGGGAGAAAAGAAGAAAAAGAAAAAAGGAATTAAAAGAAATAAAAGTATAAGTAGAAAAAGGCTATACTTTTATCTGAAGTACACATCAGCAAAAGAAAAGAAACTTCCAACTAAACCCATTGTACTATTTGACCTTTAAGCTATTATTTACACAGTTTCCTAAAGTTGTTTCTCTTCATCTGAAATCTGACGTTTTCCAACAATTACTTTATATTACATGGCTCATTCAATATCTGTCAGGAAGTTTTCATTGTCACAGTACCCTTTGAGATATTCCTTAATTACTATCCATTCCTTATTAACTTCTTGTGTTGAGTTTCCTCTCACTGTTCCTGTTCTCCTTGCTAATTGTAAGTATTCTATCAATTTGGCTTGCCACTCAATCTTTGAAGGGATAATTTCGCTTTTCCAATTTCTTGCTATTAGAATCCTTGCTGCTGTATCTTCAGGGCTGTATATTCTAATATATTTTATCAACTTATTTATAGGCCACCTTTCAGGGCATAACCCCACGCAAGGAAGCTTATATGTAATAAAAACGCAATACAATGCAAAGTGAAACAAAATCTGAATGGCAGTAGTACAATCGTTATTTAAAACATGGACTGGTTAAAATAGGGTTGCCAAAAGTTAAAATCCAGACAAAGTTGTTGAGGTGTTTTTTTAGCGGGGGAGGGATTAGGTCAAAATTGTTGACTTCTTTTTGGGAACATCTCCACACAAAAAGGAAGACGTTTGGGGGCTTTTTTGGAATTTTTTAGGGATTAATTTTTGAAAAATGACACCCCTCCCCACCATACGTCTCGGTTTCCCAGACATTTTGCAAATTCGGCAAAAATCCACCTGGACGCCATTCTACTGGCTGATTCGTGAACATGTCCGAGAAATTCCGGACATATGGCAGCTCTAAGTTAAAATAACTGAATAAAATAACTGAATAGATTTATGCAGCCAAAAAAGCTGTATAAAACAGCTCTCTGGTTTAGCCACATTTAATAAACACCTAAATAAAGGGGAAGTATCCCAATTTTTTGGTTTGTGCAGTGAGTACAAAATGCACCTATTTCAGAAACGCTTTGTCAAATGAGCTTCAGTCAGCAAAGTGGCTCCCATCCCCCAACTTTTGCAACTTGTTCTGTTGCACAGTTTTTCTTCCATCTGTTCTGACCCTTCTGCCAATACACTGAGTTCTAACGTTATGTGTCTGAGAGAGAGGGGGGGAAACCTTTTCATTATTTCCACATGGTTCATAATGTCAGTAACTCCCAGTGAAACCTACTTTCCTTCACCTTTCTTCTACACTGAAGAACCCCGATTTTCTGGTTTTACTCTTCGATTGCCTATAGCCCATAGCTGTCAACGTTTCCCTTTTTTTACGGGAAATTCCCTTATTCCGAATAGGATTCCTCGCAAGTAAAGGGGAAAGTTGACAGCTATGCTATATCCTGTGCCAACACGCACACACACACAGCCATAGCCATGTCCATCTCATTTCAAAATGAGTTTTTAACCAAGATAAGAGACTCAAGTTCTTCATGATTTCCTCCTAGATCACACCATGGCCTGCATAAACACACACACTGATGGCCGTAATAATTTCTGTCGTGTTGGTTTCAGCTGGAAGCGAAAAATGGTTCCCAGAATGAGTTTTTAGCCAAGCTAACGATGGTTTGATTTTGAATCATTTCAGGGGGAAGAGCCACTTGGAGCCATTCACTTGAGGGGTTGTGTGGTGACAGCGGTTGAAGACGCACCAGATGGTAAGCAGCAGCACATAGAGACTGTCCCTCATGTTGTGCATGTTCATGCTTCATTCTAAGAAGTCTTTGTAAGACTTCTGGTGGTGCCCCTAGGCGGGTGCCTCAGACATCTCTTTCTTTCTTTCTTTCTTTCTTTCTTTTTCCTTCCTTCCTTCCTTCCTTCCTTCCTTCCTTCCTTCCTTCCTTCCTTCCTTCCTGTAAGTCTCCAGTCCTCTCAGAAAGAAAGTTGTGAAGCAAAATGTGCCTCCTGGTACTGAGGAATGCTTGGTTTTAGAGAGGAACAGCAGTGTATAGCTGACTTTCCATCGTATTTGTTAAGTTGTGGGTGAACATATCAGACGACACAGCGATTCTTCAGACAGCTCTTGTTTATTCACAGGCCAGAACAGGGCTGAGGGGTTCAGCCAACCTGCTTATATAGAGCTCAACTACAAAACAACAGTAGCAACTTTCTGTAACTATCCAATCACTGAACGTCACTTTCAATTCCTTATTTGCATATGCAGACCTGAGTGAAAACTAGCTACAGTATCCCCCTGCTGGCCCAGGGTGAGAACTTCAGTACATAACACCATGCATAAGATTGTCAAGGGCAGGGCCGTCTTAACCATAGGCGCCAGGGGTGCGGGGCAGCCAGGATCTGAGGGGCACCAGGCCAAGAGTCCGGGGCCCGAGAATTGGAGTCCGGGGAAGAGCCCGCACATTGGTTGGAACGCCGCGGCGGGCTCTTCTGCTGTGGGCAGCTCTGCGCCGCGAGTTCGGGGGCGAGCAAGCCAGCGAGGTGCTGAGGTGGGCAGGCGGCTCCACCCTCCTGCGCGCCTGGGATTGGCGTAGGGCTGTGGAGAGGCCCACCCAGCGCACGCTGCTTACACCACGAGGTGCCCAGCTTTGCTCAGTCGCCGACGCCTCAGGCTGGTTTGTTGCGCTGGGCTCTTTTTGTTTCCTGTTTTCTTTTCCTGAGCAGAGAAACACGTGGTCTCAGCACCCTAAAAAAAAGTCGACAACTCTGGGCAACCTGGAAGGGGGGCGCCAGGCGGATCTTTGCATGCACTCCGCGCCACATATACTTAAGACGGCCCTGGTCAAGGGGTGGTTGCCACTCTAGTTTTGTGTTATGCCACATCCCCTCTATGGCAGCCATTTTGTGATGGGCAGCCCCAGCACGCTTTCAAAATTCAAAATGTCCCTGGTGGTCTAAAAAGGTTGGTGACCCCTGCTTCTTAACATATTCGAGGCCTGGAAGCAAATGGCTCAAACACTCAGTTTTGCTGATTCCCAAACTGGGGCAGTCACATGAAAAAAATCAGCATCTCCCTCTTAATATGTCAATTAGATAGAATTATCTTTGAATGTGAGCTGAATTGAATGTCTTTCCCCATCCATATTTCCTTGTCATGAAGGCATTTTGATCTGTTCATTTATGCTTAAATCTGTCTGCAGGTAAAACCAACATTGGCTAGAATTTTCTTGTGATTTATTCTGTCTTTTCAGTATCAGTATTCAATATCCATACAATGCCTAAACAGAGCACGAGAGAGGCTTAGAAAAGGTTGGGAACAACGATACCATTTCTGACCATTAGTGCTGGCGCAGGCTCAAGTTAGAGTCCCACCATGCTGGGTCACTGGCTTAGCTAACCACGATGCTGGCAGATATGACTCCCAATTTCAAATGAAATGCAGGCTTATATATGTATGTAGAGTTGATTTTCTACGTGGAAATTGGAAGATTTTCAATTGTGTTTGCGAGAGTTGTGTGAAAATGGAAGAGACCATTGAGCCAGAAGAACTGAAACAGCTCCCAGACTCCTTTGCTCACAGTCTTCTTTTTCTCACAATTAGGTAAGAAAAATGATGTCGGGGGCAACCTGTTTGAAATCATTACTGCAAATGAGGTCCACTACATCTTGCAAGCAGCCACCTCCACAGAACGTACAGAATGGATCAAGGCCGTTCAAGTGGTTTCCAGGACTGGAAAGTGAAAAACTATAAACTCTAGCAAAATACGAGTGCCTCTTGTTCAAAGGGTTTCTCCACACAACTGGCTATCTGTAGCCTTGTTCTCGTTCACAGATACCAGGGTGGTTATAACCCTGAAACTTTTATTTGACAATAACCTGTCTTAGAATTAGTACAGTATTTCATGGGCTTGTGTCCTGTTCGCTTTCTATACCTTCCCATTATCCAAAACAGGATCATTTGGCCTTGTCACAAGAGTCTGTAAAGTTTTCTCATGTACCACCAAGTAAATAAGATGCTACTTTAAGGCAGATGCATGACTAAGTGTTACGTAACCTTTATGATTTCTGCATATGGTAGTGGTTTGGGGGGAATTGTTTGTAAAATGAGTTTTGTATTTTAACAAATCCTAACCCTCTTCACATATATGTGTATCTGTAAGAAACCCCAACTGAAGTAAATGGAGTTCTATTTGCCCTAAGAGTATTAAAACTACAGCTAATATCATGGATATATATATATATATATATATATATATATATATATATATATGAAAAATGAACAAACTTGCTTTTCTGTCAGTTTCTTTCTTTCTTTCTTTCTTTGATGAGCCAATGAGAAGAATGGTGAGGATTATTATTTTTAAAATACATACATGTATAAAAATACAGACGCTCTGTCTCATACGCACCCACATCCACACAGCCAGCACTACTGTGGTCACTGAATAAGCCACAGGCTTCAGGCCGCTATTCTAGATAAGAGTAGGGCTTGTAACTTTAACCCAAAGCTGTAACCCAAAGTTATGATGGGGAACTAGGGCTGGCCCAAGACACCTTGCTGCCTGAGGTGAACCAGAAAATGGCACCCACCCAGAACTGTCGTTTGTCAAGGGTGATGGGTTAGAGCATGGATAGGAATATCAGGCTCACAGAGGCAGGATCTGCTACCCCTTCCAGCTTTCCAGAACCTTCTACTCTGGTGTTTCCTGCTTTTTTCTTTTTCTTTTCTTTTCTTTTCTTTTTTTTGGAGTCTTTTTTACTTTATTTATACTTATGCATCATACAATAAAAGAGAAAAAATACAAATCATACAAATAAACAGAATAAAGCCAGAAATACATAGATACAGTCATACCTCAGGTTAAAGTCGCTTCAGGTTGAGCATTTTCAGGTTGCGCTCCATGGCGACCTGGAAGTAATGGAACGCATTACTTCCGGGTTTCGCCACTCGTACATGCGCAGACGCTCAAAATGACGTCACGAGCATGCGCAGAAGCGGCGAATCACGACCCATGCACGCGCAGATGCACAGACACAGGTTGCATTCTGCTCTGGATACAAACGGGGCTCCGGAACAGATCCCGTTGCATTCCAGAGGTACCACTATACAAACATAATGACATAAACTGCAATAAAAAATATAAGCACTATACTCTCCTAAGAAAAAGGAAAAAGATAAAATAAAAAGAAGAAAATAAAAAAATGATTTTTAAAAAAGGTGACTTCTAACTAACTAGCTTTAACAATTCACCATCCCTCCTCCCCAAGCACTGTGACTGGATTCTAGTCCTGGATTGGAAGCTGGAGCTGTCACTGAGCAAAGCTCAACTCCCGTCTAGCTACCACAGCATTCCCCCAATATTGTGGTGCTTTGCAACACTTTGAAGACAGGCTGTCTGGCTTTCTTAAAGCACACTGTACAAGCAATTGTCTCAGGAATCTCTTGCCATACTTTTTGAAAGTGATCAACAAGGTGGCATGGGCAGGGCAGCATTGTTACCTAGTTTCCCAATGCTACACATCACTGCTGGTTACTGAGAGGGAGAGTGGGAGGGCTGAGGCCAAGGGGAGCTCCATGGTGCAGACACAGTAGTGGGGCAAATCTTGCTACTTCACTACTGCTTGCCTCCCTCCCATATGTTTAATTAAGGTTTAAAAACCCCGATTAAACAAGTGGTTTGGAGTAGGAGAAGGAGACAAAGCCAGCTCCCTCGGCCAATAAAGCGAGATGAGCGCCGCAACCCCAGAGTCGCTCACGACTGGACCTAATGGTCAGGGGTCCTTTACCTTACTAGTTTAGAAGAACTACAACGTGTGGACTCTCTCTTCACTCACACGTCAAGTACTCGCTGGGCCCGCTCTGCTACAAGTCCGGGAATTCTGTTGCTGTGGAAACGTACCGGACCAGTCAGTTCCTGAGTGATCTGACTGACTGGTAACTCCTGACCAACTATTGCCCACCTGTGGGCCTCCAGATGTCACTGGACTGCAACTTCCATCATCCCTGGCCATTGGTCATGCTGGCGAGGGCTGATGGGAAGTGGAGTCCCAACACCATCTGGAGAAACCTCAGGTTTGCTAACCATGGTTTAGAACAGGCTTCCTCAACCTTGGCCCTCCAGATGTTTTGAGACTACAATTCCCACTGGTCCTGCTAGCTAGGGATCATGGGAGTTGTAGGCCAAAAACATCTGGAGGGCCAAGGTTGAGGAAGCCTTGTTTAGAAAGAGCACTGCAGTATCTATCACTTCGGTCTGGTTTGGATGAGCTTGAATAGTAAGTAGGTCAAGGCTGGCTGCAGGGGCTGTTGACAGAAGCAGATTTAGGGCAGCACAACGGTTCTGCCGTCACTGGTATGGATGCACTGCATCCCCTCTTTGACTTGTGCCATCTAGTATAGACCCCCACAGTGCCACCTGATTGATAGGAACGATGTCGTCAAGGTATTGTTATAAGTGTTTTTGGGGGGACACCTCTGAACCCAATAAAGTAATGAATGTCAGAATCTAGCGAGGAAAGGAAAATGCAAGGTACAGAAATGTGCCAGAAAAGGAATTCCTGGCTGGGCTGCTTGAATGCAAACTCTTATGAAACAACGGCCAGGCACCTACACAGAAAGTTCACAGGTCTGTGCAAAACAGGGGTTGCCAAGGTGACGGGGAGGACTGTGAGCTGACAAGAGAAAGTGCCCTTTTACGGGAGGTTTGGGTTTTTGGCAAGAGGTGTGCTGGGAAGAAGGAGGAGGACAAAGGCCAGGCCTCCACAAACAGCTGGGCAGTCCAGAAGTCCATGCAGGAGCTGGAAGTCAGAGCTATATTGGCTACTGACCACTGAGCCTCTTGGACTTGCCGATTGGAAGGTCGAAGCTTTGAATCCCTGCGACGGGACGAGCTCCCATTGCTCTGTCCCAGCTCCTGCCAACCTAGCAGTTCGAAAGCACACCAGTGCAAGTAGATAAATAGGTACCGCTGCAGCAGGAAGGTAAACAGGGTTTCCGTGCGCTCTGGTTTCCATCATGGTGTCTCATTGCACCAGAAGCGGTTTAGTCATGGTGGCCACATGACCCGGAAAGCTGTCTGTGGAAAAACGCCGGCTCTCTCGTCCTGAAAGCGAGATGAGCGCTGCAACCCCATAGTCGACTTTGACTAGACTTAACCGTCCAGGGGTCCTTGACCTTTTTACCTTTGCCTTTTACTGACTGGAGGTGCATTGTACATTGTACATTGCGGCAGCCTTTGGCTATGTGCAATAAAACTGACTGATTGGAGGCACTGCAACACAGATACTGGGAGCCATGGCTGACTGCTGCTTTGAACCCCAGCTTGCTGAAGCTATGACAGGAGCAACAGGAGACACTTGGGGTTCTGCACCCCCTCCATTGCAGATTTCCAGGCGTAAATATGTGCTAATAGAACATATTTCTTAAAGACACTAGCCTCTGCTGTGCCTTGCTCTTTCCAACGGAGACAACCCTGGGAAAGGCCTGGAATCTCGCACTGCTCATGGACCTTGGGGTGTAACAGAATGAATGTATGCTAAAGGGCAGGATTGAGAGTGTCAAGATGACACCACAACACAGATGACCCACAGAATGTAGTACCTGATCCAGAAGTACCTTTCTGAGTATATCAGCCATTTTGGTTGTGGTAGGTAAGCTTGAAAATGTGTGCACACATTGCTGCTAAAAAGAGCATGATAATGCACAGACAGAATGATAGAAATCAAGATCCTCTGGTTTCTTTCCCCAGAGTGAGTGGGGAAATTCTCTGTTAAAAGTGGGATTGATATAGTGTAGTGTACCCCAAAACTTAGTAAAGCTGTGTGACATACCTGCTTGAATGAATGCATAAATTCATTATGCCAAAGAATAATGAATTGTGTTACAATGTGTTACAAACAGAATTGTTGTTGTTGTTGTTTAGTCATTTAGTCGTGCCCGACTCTTCGTGACCCCCTGGACCAGAGCACTCCTGGCACTCCTGTCTTCCAGTGCCTCCTGCAGTTTGGTCAGACTCATGCTGGTAGCTTCTAGAATACTGTCCAACCATCTCGTCCTCTGTTGTCCCCTTCTCCTTGTGCCTTCCATCTTTCCCAACATCAGGGTCTTTTCCAGGGAGTCTTCTCTTCTCATGAGGTGGCCAAAGTATTGGAGCCTCAGCTTCAGGATCTGTCCTTCCAGTGAGCACTCAGGGCTGATTTCCTTCAGAATGGATAGGTTTGATCTTCTTGCAGTCCATGGGACTCTCAAGAGTCTCCTCCAGCACCAGAATTCAAAAGCATAAAAAGAAACCAGGCGAATTTATAAAGGGAGCAAAAGGACGTTCTGACTTTATTATCTGCTTCCTAATTTGTACTGATGACTAGCTCACTGAATTCAATTACCTTATCAGTAATGTAGCCATAATCATCAAATGAACAGAAAATATCAAAATATCTGGGAAGAGTACTAAATTTCTGGAGGAATCAGCCTCACTCTAGCCTCCCTGCAGTGTAAAAAGGAGATGACCAACAGATTCATCATTCCAGTTCCACCAAGACAAAATCTTTAACTTAAGCAGAATCTTATTAAATTGAGCAGTTAGAGGAGCAGAGGGCAAAACATTAAAACAAGTGAGCACTAAAGCTTTCCAGTACTGGTAAATAGTTAATGTCCGCAAATATGAAATTTTGATAATTTCATAACCTGTGGAACTGGAGGTCATCGCAGCACAGTGCCTCTGAACCCCACAACCTTACATGTAGTATAATTTCAAGTCCCTGAACAAATTTCTCATTTTGGACTCAAGGAATGATTACAACAGCAGCAGCAAGAACGTTTTTTTAAAAATGGGGGAAAGTGGTCAGCTTCACGTACACCATGTCTCAACCCTTAATCATGTACATGTTTCATCATTCTTTCTGAGTTCTAAAAATTAATGTTTTAAGGGGAAACTACTCATTGCTAGCCTTTCCTGTAAGTCGTCAATGCTGACAGGACTACAAATGTGTCAGTGGTTCCACAATGAAAAGGGAAGAGGAAGGAGGAAGATAAAGCTTGCTCATTTAGCTAATGTCTTCATGATAATTGCTGTGTGGTTCCTACCACCCAGGCTCTTACCTCTAAAAATATGCTGTAGTGTTGCAAACCAAGGAAACCGGAACTCATCCTATTTTTTGTACTACAATATGATGTGTCGGTCTCAGAGTTATAAAAAGGTCACTGAGGCTGTGCAAACTCTACACCACTGT